ATTTGTTGTTACAAGTCTGTAAATAATTTACTTGGTATTTTATCGTTTACCTTTTTTAGTTCAGGATTTAAGGAAATAGAACAAGGTGATTTTATGTAATTCTATAATGTCAAAAAGACCTTGTTTTCCAGCCATGTCACGGTGTGCAGGTAGCATTTGGATTTTTAGTAATTTGTGGGTGTTTTGCTTTGTTTGGTTTTGTTTTGTTGTTGTTTTTTTTATGAGTATTTTTGTGTAGTATTTCTCATGGTATATATAGTTCTTATTTATTCCCTCCCATCCCCCATGGTAACTCAATACATTCCAGTCTTCGTAGCTTTTAAAGCACACTATCGTGTTACCAACACAATGTGACTCATTTGGATGATGTCCATTTAGTCAGCGGGGTGATATGATGTTACAACGGCGTTTACTGATACAGGCTTTTCGCATCTGAGTACCCACCGGTGGGTACTTGACATGAAAAAAGGGAATAAAAGAAATATATTCGCGACTATGATCTTGGGCAAAAAAAGACTCGTAAATCGGCGCATTAAATTTAATAAATTCAATAAATATATAGTACTTCCACAAAACGGTCTCTGATCAAAACTCTACTCTCCCATTAAAAAGTTTTAGCTTCGCTGCTCAAAGTTTGCTCGTAAATAAAATTTGCTGATTGAGAAGCTAAAGTCTTGGCACTGTTCAAGAAGGATGATGAAACTGACAAACAGAGCTATGGACCAACTATGCGTCTCAGGAAAATTGATTGAACAGATTGTTGCCACCACAATAACAACTCATATTTCGGAACATAATCTTGGCCATTCTCACCAGTGGGCCTAAAAAAAGTCACCCAACCGAATTGTTGTTGGTAAAAATGATCGGGAACTGGAGAAGTCCACTGGATAAAAATCTAGTGGTTGGCATCGTCTTTGATGACGTCCGCAAGGCTGTCGATTCTATCTCTCATCATGTCCTGCTGAATAAGTTGCAAGCATTCGGTTTTGCTGGCGATCTATGGTGCTGGATTGAAGATTATTTAGATGACCGCTCTCGAGCTTCAGTCGGTTTTAGTCGGTTTTCAGTCCGAAACTTTACCTGTGAAGTTTGGCGTGCCACAGGGATCTGTTTTGGGACATACCCTGTTTTCGTTGTTTTGCAACGATCTGCCTGATATAGTTGAGGATTGTGATGGAGAAATTCATATCTATGCTGACAACATTAAGATTTACGTGATTGCGTCTTCTCCCGATATGGTTGTTTTTGCCTTGAACGTCATCCTTCAGAAGTTGTATGACTGGTGCTGCCTTAACCGCCTCATACCCCCCCCCCCCCCCCGGTAGAACTGAGTACATGATGAGTGTACATCCGGTCAAGTCAACCAGGTGTTTAGGCAACGAAATTAACAGTGATCTTAATTGGAACGTTCACGTAAAAGAGTTTATTAGTCCTTTTCATAAAAATTGAATCTTCCTAGATATTTGTATTTCTTATCAAGTAATTTTACTATCTGTTACCTATGGGTTGGTTGTATTCCTGAGGGAAATCGCTCTTTGATGAGCTGAAGAGGATACACGTACGTGCCTCAAAGATCATCTATGGCCTGGATTGGTACAAACCCAGCGATTAGGTCTTAGTCCTAAGCAAGTGGCCCACTGTTAAAGGTTTATGCGAATATAGATTATTTATGTTAGCACACGACTGTTTTTATAACTTCTTCGCCGTTCCTATTATGAAGCTATTTCCGAAATATGGATTACCTTTTGTGACCAAAACCAAATACTGAAATTCTTCGCAAGTCCACTTGTTACAAAATCGTATCTCTTTGGAATTCTCGTGACAACCGTGCCCGTGCACTCTCAAGCAAAAGCTTATTTAAAAATTTTCTTAAACGCAGAACTTCATGCGAATAGATTAGTTTACAAATATATAATTTTTTTTAAAATAGGTTGGATCTTTTTTTTTAATTTCAATTAGTTTTAAAGCTTTTTATTCACTTGTAAACTTTGTTTTAACTTCAAAATACACGACCACATCAGCTCCGCTGTAATTTTTATCGTGTTTAAATAAATGTTATTGTTGTTGTTGTTAAGACGTTGATTGAAATTGCTTAATCCGTTGGGAATTGGAACCAAAGTAGTTCTCTCGACTTCCCGTCGAAAAGAAGTTTTTTTTTTTTTGCCCACGAAAAGGGGTTAGGACACGTGGTTCACAACAAAAGAAAGTTAATACCTTCATGGTAAATTAAGTTCAGTTCAATAACAATCTGCTGCCAGCTTTTACGACAAATGGCGTTAAACACTCTGTCCCTCTTCACTGTTTTACATTTTCCCACGTCACTGGGTGTCAACAAGTACTTTCTCCGCATTTCCAATGTTTCCCAAAGAATAATGATTGTAGATATATGAAAATCATATATATGCGCTGCGGTGAAGAAACGAATATAAGAGATCCTCGCAGCTATGAACACTACTGAGCTAGTAGTTGAAATAAGACCAAAGAGTTCCGATGTTTAATTAGACCATACCAATTTCCGTTTCGAGGCTAGAATGATCAGAACGAAACTAAATTAACTCGTACTTGAGGATTTCGCTGAATAGCTGGTTATAGTTCAAATGACTCCATACGTCATCCCGGCAGTCCAGGAAAGAAGTCAGGGCTGAAATACCCGCAGCGATTACAATCTTTCCTTTCCGTGAATCAAGTAAACATTATAAAAGATGATAACCTTCGATTCTAATTCGTTATATCAACTAATTTTGGTTTCACTTAAAATCACCTGCGAAACAGATGATATGACAAGGAAAAATTAGCATAACACGTCACTCATCAAGCTGGGTTTGATGGTCGCAGGGAAATGTCGAGTTTGTCGTTCATAAGCGTTGTGGTCCATTCAGCGTAAAATCATTAACGATGGAAGAAAATTTGCAGAAAGGAAGGCTATATCATCGCGTTCCGTGCGCTAAATCTCGGGAGAAACTGCAAGAATTTTTTCAGAGTGTTGCGTGTTGTTCTGTAAATAACACTGAGACGTATTTTAACTTGTTTGTGTGTTATTTTAAGCCATGCAATACGTCTGTAATAACCAGAGTGCCAAATTTTATTCTTTAGTTTTGATCTTTTCTACACTGTGTATTTCTCATGACGTGACATTTCAACGAAAATTACCAAGAAGGCGCTTCCGACCCTTTGTTTACTTTGTAAGTCACGCAAGCGCGCAAGCGTTACGACCGATCACGTTTACGCAACGTTTTAGGACAACTCAGCATTTATTCTCCATTCGATTGTTATGAAAACCTAAAATACTCAATGCAGAAGACAAAAAACGAAGTTTGAACGGTCAAAAGGAGATCTCGGCCAATTTTCAGAATTTGTAAATAATCTTTGAAACAAGTGCAATTGAGCAAACGCATGGATTTGCGTTGTTTTTAAGATGTTGGTGGATGAAATTTAGAGATATAACTGCGAGTTTGAGGCGAACGGTGACCTCATTGGCGTATAAACTGTGCATTGATATGCTTTTTTAGCCCGTTTAACGCGTGCATTTTGAGAATTATTTGGTACAAATTGGTGAGTTTGGATATGCAGGTAAAGTTCGACGAGAAGGTCCGTTATCATCGCGCTTGTATGAAAAATGTTCAGGTGAAGTCTCCATATTTTTTCAGTGAACTAGCTGAATACATTTTGTAACTTGTAGCAAGGAATTCCGTGAGCTATAGGAAATAGGAAATAGAGCAGTGAAGTTAAAACCGAAGAATTGTTTATGCTTAATAACACATTTTCATAGAATTGTAATAAATTAAGTTTCTTTGTTTGAGAAATTTCTCTCTCCAACATTGAACAGAGGCTCTGACGTCCGCCGTGGAATGATCAATTTAAAAAAGTAATTCGTTATTTATTGCGACATTTAAACAGGCTGGCTCTGTTCTGCTTTAGAGCTAGTTTAAACAGGAATGGGAGCTGACATTAAGAGCTACGTCTCCTTCTCTCTGAGAGAAGTGCACCCTTTAACAAGTTCAAAGGATTACGGTCAAGGGAACGGGGCCAAAGGTTTATCGTCCTTAGGGACGGTCAAAGGTTTACCGTCCTCTCCGAGAAGGCTAGAGTGTCTTACCATTTCTCAATGGCTCTAACAAAGACTACAAGTTCTCCTCAGTTATTTCAAGACCATGAGTGTTAGTCCGGTCTGGGGTTTAAACCCTCAATCTCCCGCACGGGAGTCCAGCGCTCTACAACATGAGCTAACCAAGTGCAATTGAAAGAATGAATCTAACGCTACGAAGTGCTTTATTAACCCAAGAAGAGTCAAAACGTTTTACATCAAAAGTATCGATCTAAACGTCATAAGGGTAACTCTTTTCAAGAAAGCTTGATTTATATCGAATTGTTTTTGTGTTTAGAGTTATGTGATAAAATCTACCTATAAGCTGTCGTAAATGTATTGCAAATAACATACCCTTTCGAAATTTGTCTTCAAAAACACCAAAGTTCGACACCCCGAAGCCACCAATTTGAAAACAATTAAATTATTATTTGGTTGTAAATATCAGGACATGAACTACATTAGTAAATCAACTGATTCATTCATTTGTTTGTTTGTTTGCTTGTCTAAAGGTCTTTCATAGAAGGAAATAAAACGTGAGACCCTGTTACAAGAAAGTATTATTGGTAGGCGGTCATGTTGCTAAGCAAAGTTCAAAATGGCGGCGAACAATACTAAATTTTTTGCCACTTCAAAGTTTTAGAAAGTAAATTTTATCAAGTTAACAAGTTTTTGCGAAGCTTAAAACACGTGCAGTGTCATAATTGTGCGAAAGATTTTTTGATGAGGAAGGTGGAGCAATACGTTTTAAGACGGTCTCAATGGGATTAAACGTAAGCCGTAAACTGGAGAAATTAAGCCGCTTGGCATACAAATGAATGCAAACCGTTAATTGTAAGAAAAGTGCATACAAATGAGATGCTAACCGTTAATTGTAAGAAAAGTGAACTGTTTCAAGTGATCTATTAGCGGTAAAATGGCCTAAAGTTCAACCGTTAGCAGAAAAAGCCATCACCCCATTGAGACCCTCTTTTTGGGAGGATGCTTCCCCTTCACAGTACATTTTTGCCACCCTTCCCCTGTCTCGCTTTCTTTCTTTCGCTGCTAAAGCACAGCGAATGTTTATTCTCCACAATATCGTCCACAACTATTTGGTTTTACCAGTCCATATGAAAAAAAATCGCCACAATTCTTGACCGATATATATTTCCGATCACCACAACAGTCGTTCTCAGAAGTAAAGCACACCCTCATGTTTACTACACCTTGCGTCACATTAGGGTGATGTCCATCCAACCATCCGGGTCTATTAGTATTGCAGTGAGATTGAGGAACACAGGCTGTTGGCATTTGAGTACCAGCTGGTTCGATAAAACGGAACCATTTTTTTTCGGATGTTAAATTACTTCGGTCACAATGGCCGCCTGAACCCTCGAAGGTTTTCTTCCTTTTCGCCTGATTTAGCACATCATGATTATAGCAGGGGTCTATGGATTAAATAACAATTATTCCATGCATGTGCATTATAGCAGGGTTTATGGATTAAGTAACAATTATTCCATGGGCGTGCGTTGGATATGAGATAGTAAATAGCCAACAAAGCGTCTAGCGCCGAGTTGGCTTTAACCAATCTTATCTCCAACAGGCGCGGTCAGAATAATGTTTTCATTCAATTTCATTCAATCCTTAATGTTTCAATATTTGGAGCCTTTTTCAGCTCCTCGACAGTTGGCGCAATACAAATCCATATAAGATGACCCTGGATATGACTTGATAGCCGCAGTTGAGCAGACCAATTTGAACACTAAAAATGCAGTATTCGAAGCATAAAACTTTATAAATTAATTTATCATTTGCTTTTTCAAATAACCAGTTTACCTTATTTATCAACCACTAAACGGAGAGGTACCATAAACGGCCTCGTATCTGAGTGCAAAACTTTTCAAAATTTTAAATCGATAGAACACTTCTCTAAAACTTTCCAAGATTCTATAAACAAAAGGTTATTGTAACTAACTATCTCCCCAATAGATTTGGCTATGGCTGTTCTATTCTCTGAAATGTGTCACAAGTTGGGCTATAGAATCTCCAAAGGAAATTCTTCCAAAATTACCAGGTCAGTATTGAAATGCACAGCAATAATAATAAACAATAAAGCAATCAGATTTTAAGGATGTTTTATTGTGTATTGTCGACTTTGTCTCAAACCTGATTGAACTTGACGGTGGGTAAGTTGAGAATGCTACTTTCACTACTACTGCTGCATCTGATACAACTTATTCGAACTCTACCGCTACAACTACAACTAATGCAACTACTAGCACACTACAATTACAACTACAACTACTACTACTACTACTACTACTACTACTACCGCTACCACTACTATTACTATTAACACTACCACTACTACTAAAACTAGTACTTCTACGTCATTGAAAATGTCAAGAAGATGACATGCTTACCATCGAATCCATAAACCTCCACTTTTAGGCAATTGCAGACATGCTGTAAACTTGGAATAAAGCGAACATGCCTCGCAGACACTGTCTTTGGAAGCTTGTGTTGGTCAACTGTAATATTTTTGCCCGACCTGTCAAATTGCTTCGGAACAAAAGGAAAGATCAAGTAAAAGTGATGAGTGATTACTCTTTAATATTTTTATAAACGATCATTGTTTTGATTTGATTAATGTTTTCATTCCTAAAAGGTATTAGCTAATTTTTATCGCGATACCGTAAAATTTTAGAGGAAAGAGAGATTATGTATGTATGAATGTATTCAGACAGTGAAGTTGAATTGACTGCAACACGAAGGTACGTCATCACGGCAAATCAGTGTTCATTAAAATGGCTCTCATAGAAGGATTTGGTCATACCCTCTTAACCAAGTAATGTAAATGGAAACTCTAACGATAATTCAGGTCATAGCGAGGTTCTTGTGTGCCATGAGTCCTGCATGCTGGTAGGATCATTCATTACTTACGGTTATTGCAGATTATTGCGACTTTTTATAGTATCTCTTGTCACAAACTTTCTATTGAAACAACCAGTTATGCAGTCGCCAACCAGAATAATAATACTTATCATAACTTTTTCTTTTCTAGAACTCTTTACAATCCACTGAGTCACTAAATCACCATACCATGATGGAGCCATCTTCTTGTTCGTAAGGCACCCACTGTGTTCCATTATTTGAGAATGACAGGCTGAATTTGGTAATCCAGCCGTCTGCACCTCCTTGCGTTGCAACAGCACAAACATCGATTGTTCGATTGAAATCAATCTGGAGCCAGTCCTGGGAGCTAGCATTTCCCGCACACCAACCTGTCCCGTTTAGCCGACCATGAGAGGCCTGATGAGATTCATCTAAGTGCGAAGACGCTCTCATTTGCTGATTAGAGATCACGTTGGGATTGGCAACACCAATAGGGTTGTCGAAGCAGTCGTTGACAGGATCTATGCAAGCATAAACGTACTTTCATCTCTTTACATTTTTGCAGGTTTGCACATATAATTTGGCCCTGGGTTAGGTTGACCATTTCATTAAACCATGTTCATTTGTGGGCAGTTCTTACCTTCAGTTTTGTCTGAAAACAGTACTTACGAGGTCTCCACCCTGGTACAAAACACAAACCCAGCTCAACTTCTAATTCTAGATTGATACTGGTCGGTTTTCAACAACCTAGCCTTGTGTTGTAACCAATTTTGTGCTTTAAGTTAGCACGACACAGTTTTTCCGAAATTGAAAAGAGGTTAAGTGGTCACATGAAGTCCATCGTAGTCGTTCAACATAAACACCATCACCATTCCTCTTTACCGTCATAAAATCAAATGACAGCAAGGCAATATGAGGGGCTTTAGAATGGTCTAACAAATATCACTCTGTAATTTTTATTTCACTTTAAACAGTTTCACTTTCTGTCAAGACGTCAATTCAGCACAGGTCCTCCCATTTTCAAATATGTATTGCAAACAGTCAAGAGTTGGTCTCTTCGTTACGCCCATATAGTACACTTAACTATATATGTATACATATGTATATATATATAATTGTGGGAAATTGTAGCAAATGCTTGGAAAGTGCTCAATACACATGAGTGTAGAGCGAAATATATATATATATATATATATATATATATATATATACCCTTTTGTATAACAGGGTAATTTGGTATTATTACTCAGTTGATAACGTAAATTGGCCATCGTAAAGTGTATGGAGAAACGTGAGAAGTTCTGATCTTCAGTGGAGGAATTGTGGGTTGTGTGTGTGTGTGTTTATATGCAGAAAATCAAGCTACGCTATTGGTGAGAGTATGGTGACGAGAAAACAAGAATTAATTAGTTGAATGAAAAGCGTTCGTTGATACCGTGGGGATTAAGAGTGTTGATTTGGAAGATAAATTTTTGTTCTAGAGGTTTGCGGCTTTACGAACTGCCAAGATGTAGGGAAGGGCCGCAAATTGCCATATGATGCCTAGAATGATTAGGGAGATGAAAGTGTTTAACGACTGGTTTGAATGCTTTATTGATATTTATGTTATCACTCAGTTGATAGTACTTTACTATCCTGGAGTATGTCTTACTTGTACATCTGTCTCCCTGTCGGTCAAAGGGACAGACACAGCCGTAATGTCCAATCAGATCTTGACACGTCCCTTCTGAGCATGGGTTGCTTGAGCATTCGTCCACTATATCTAAATTAGGGAACGGCAGGAGAAAATAAATTATCTCCTACGATCATTATCTATCGCCATTAGTCACCCAGAAGAGGGGTGAGGTGGGAGAATATTGGTTCCCTCACGACAAAACTTACCTGATCCCTTCATAATTGATTCGCAGTATTACTATGATCCTCCCCCTCCCCCTCTCCCTCCCCCTCCCCCTTTATACTTATACGACGACTGATATCCCCTCCTTTCCCCCTGAAAACCATGTATCCTCCCCCCGCCAAGGATTCCTTCACCTCCTCCCCCCCCCCCCCACCTCCAGGCTATAAAAATTGACTGTTCTCAAAGATAATTCGATGATTATATTATTAAGATTTCATACGAGGGATAATTTAGATATAATTATTTAAAAAATCTGAGGGTTGCTGAACAAGAATCTCGATGACTGTCATTATGAATCAATCTGGATAGGGAAGGACCATTTCATGTTTCCTTGGGGTGGTTGGGAAGTTGTGGTGGATATCATTACAATTCCTGGTTTTTTATATTATTAAGATTATTATTTAGGTTGTGGGGGGGTTTGGAAAGTTGAATAAATTATTACAATTGGTGCTTGTATCATTCTTATCATTTTTTGAAATTTTTTAGGAAGACGTGTTCGATATGATAACTTTTTTATACTCGTTATTTCCATCAGTCAATTGACTACAATGAAAATAATAAACATATATTTAAAAAAAAACTTTTTTTCGTGATTTTCGCTATGTGGTAAACTTCATGCATCATACACTATTCAACACACACGCCCTAGCTATACTGACCAGTTTCACAGTACATTCCAGAGCTCCCCTCGACACACTGACAGGTGTAATTATTTTTTCCATTTTTGCAAGTGGCTCCGTTTAAACATTCATGCTCGTGGCAGTAGTTTTTTACTACAACAAAATCAAAATTAATGCATAAATGGCTTAATGGAGCAGTTGAAAGACAAGTTTCCTTCCGCAGTCACATATATACAATTTCCTTTCTATGCCCATCTAAATGTCCCTTTTCCAATTTCTAAGAGTAAGTTCAACATTCGACAGTTGTCTTCAAATGTACATAGAAAATCATATTACGGACGCCAGCGTGTTGAATCTCGCTTATTCATTATATGAAACAAGGCTGATAAACTATAAAAAAAAAAACCAAAAAAGGCCTAAAACCAAAGCAGAAACTTTAAGTGAACCACGCATTTTTACTCTTGCCTCTCAAGTTTCCGAGAAAGTCATAAAATTACTTGAAAACAGCGGCATTCGTCAATGACTTTATGAATAGATTCCATTGTATACTCGCAGCAAAGGTATGCTTTCATCCACAACCAGCAAATATGAATTGACCCAGCTGAAAGGTGGTCAACAGATCGACGCGGCAAATTGGATTACAACAGCGCTTTCAAAAGCATTGACGGCTTCCTGAACTAGCAAGAACCTGTAACATTGCACGAAGTTGTGCATGAGTATCTAAGCAAAAAAACACTTTATTTTGTGGCTTACTCTGGCAATGGCCTCCCTCCCATTCTGGTGGACATGTGCATTTGTAGCTCCCACGCGTGTTTTGGCATGTTCCTGAGTGGCAAGGACTGTTGATGCATTCATTTATGTCTAAATACAGGTACAGAAAAGTGAAAAAGTTAATGGAAGATAGAGTTGAAAGAAGAACCTATCTTAAGGGGTAGGAGGTGGATGATTTTGAGGTGATTACATGGTTTTCAAAGGGGAACGATGGGGGGTACAGTGAAAAGCTAATGAAAGGGAGTCAGTAGAGTACTACCGAGCCTTAAGTGGGGAGGAATCAGGTAAATGTTGTTGCGAAAAATCCTCTAATCTCCCCCCCCCTCCCCACCGTTACAAATAATGAGTCGTCCCTAAACATTTCTTCTGTTGTAGATTATCTGATGATAGACCACGGTTGATATGATCGGGATTTGTTGCAAATTTGGAGCTTATTTTTCGGTTCTCTCGATAATTTCGATCCTTTTCGTCTCGAGATTGTACGTGTAATTCAACAAATAGTTTAACTCAAAACCACACTGAGCTACGACAAATGTGGAACTTTGACAATAGGAGTCACAGCGATAAACTTCAATATGTGCGTTATATTTTGTAGATGCTTTATCACCGAGCCATTAGACAGTAGAGGAAGTCTTGCTGCATGTGACAAACTTGCTATATACTCTCCGCAAATTATTTCTCATGATAAACTCATAATAAGTTCCTCAGACTTTATTAGGGTTAACATCCACCAGTTGGTGGCTTTGGCTTTGAATTATGGATACATGAATGAAGTTATAAAGATCAACTGATTTTGTTGACGACACAAGTACATCAGGAAAGAAAACTCCTACCACTCTTAAGATATACCTGTGTTGCAGTTTTTTCCTGTGAACCCGCTGTCATTTGCACATTTACAGGTGTAGGAACCAATTCCGTCCTTACAAACCCCTCTGTGTTTACAAGGATTTGATGAACACTCGTTTTTTTCTAATTGATAAATGAGAACAATGTTAACAGGTATTAAGTTCAGATAGTGTCTTTTTATGTCTTTAAAATAGATATCTTTTGCACAATTAGTGAAAAGATAAATAAGCTGACCGAGCTTATCCGGAAAAACTTCTGAAAGAATAATTTTTTCCTCCGACCTCAAACCTAAGACAGCGGATTTCTCAATCATCAAAATTAGATATCTTTCGAATCTGCTTCCACAATGAAAACATTCGTAAATGGAAAAATATAGATAAGACTGCCAAAATTTTCTTCCTTTTAGAAAGCATCCATTTTATGCAGTCGAGTAATGATTGAACTTTGAACTGTGTAAAGTGGATGCAATGTCTTTCTTCTCTGTTTCCGTTTTTGTCTTGTTTTGTTCTTCTTTTCCCTTTTGGCATTTTTGTTGTCGTTTTTGCCGTTACACTTCTCTTTTTTGTAAGTTAAGTATTACGTTCTTTTGTACTTATCGGTTGTTTGTTGTTTGTTTGTTGTCTGTAATAACCACTTAGAGTAAAAACATCTTGTCCGTCATGGTTCGAGGCAAAATATCGTGTTTCAAGCTTGGAAATAAGGTGTGATGGGACAGTTGTATTTTCTCTACACAGAAGTAGCATACCAGTTTGGCATAGCGCTCCGTTATATCCAATAGTACAGTAACATTTGTAGCTCAAATGTTTGTCGATGCACGTGGCTCCATTTTGACAAGGATTTGAAGCACACTCATCAACACCTGAAATTTATTCTTATTATTATTGTTATTATTGTTATTAAAATAGCATGCAATCCTTCAGGTTAACTGCCCTTTCCCATAACATTTTTAAAATGTGTTTTGTTTTTGGCTGCTGTTGATAATGGCATGAAATCGAAGGGAAACCACGGTGAACTTGTAGATATAATGTGCAGAATATAATTTACCCTGCCCCTAAAAATAAAAAAATTAGCAATGATTTTATTAAAATCCAATGATCTTTTGATTCCAAGGAACAGAATCAAGCCCTTATTCCCACAAAAGTCCTTTCCGCTATCTTTAATGAGATGCATACTCTCCCCACACCTTTAAGCCCTGAATTACGCCACGAAGTTTGCATGTCAAATCCCCACAATGCTTTTTTTTATGCTTTCCACATCCTGGAGTAAAAAAAAGACGTATACGTATATCCCTTTTGCGTGTGCTTCGAATTAAACATCATATTTGTAGCATGTTTCTTCCTTTTTCGGTTTTTTGTTTGTTTATTTTTTCTACGCCTATGAGTTTCATTGGTCTTCTTTGTAACGTTATGAAAAATTCAAAATAAGTTTGCTTTATAAAGAGTAGCTATCAGGGAAGCAAACATATGAGTCCAAAAGTGTTCATTAAATATGTAATTTATATGTTGCTCATTAACTTTTTCATCAATACTTTATGGTAGAAGTTCCGACTGCTCTCTCGTTATATCCCAACGTTCAACTTTGTTCACTCTGTTCTATTTTCTCATTGTATCTTCCTGATTAGTAAGAACTTTTCAAGCTAGGTTTTCATAGATTGCCCGATTTAGAACTATCCTCTCACATGTTATCCAAGAACCAAGAATTTTGATAAGGAAGATTACATTTTGAACTAAGCTTTATAAATCAAGCTGTTTTTCGTATCTTGCATGTTGTATCGTATAAACATTCGAGTTGGGGTTGAAATTCTATCAAAATGACAAAACTGATAAAACAAAGTTAATTATGTTATAAGCATGGAGAACGAATGATAAAAACGTATCGATTATTTCAAACTCCTAGTTCTTGCGCCTGACACCCGAAAGGAATGTCAAGCCGCACCTAAACTCAACCCGCGAGATAATCTGAAAGCATAGTCCCTTCCTACGTACATAACAAAATGACTGATGCACTTTATAACCAAAATGATATAGCAACGTATGACATACTTGTTTCACACCGCTGTCCAGTCCAACCGTTCAGGCAAAAACAAAGAAATCCATTTGACACCACGCATGTTCCTCTGTTAAAGCAAATTGAACTGGCGCACTCATCAAAATCTTAGAGAGAGAAGGTTTTAAGATTCAAAGTTAGATGTTAGGATTGATTGACAGTGTTGATACTGTCTGTGTGTTGTCTGTGTGACAGTGTTGATACCGTCTGTGGGAACTCTCATTATTTTTCGCCGGTTGGGGGGCGGGGGGGGGGGGGGGTCTTAGCCTTAGGGTGATCTGGTAAATTTCATTTTGATAAAACCAACTTCTTTTTTACACATCCTCCCCCCCCCCCAAATAAAATATGGAGGGAGATGTGACCTATGTTACTTTTCCGTTCCTGGAGTGATTGCTAACATTGAAAGTAGACTCTCCTCCTCCCTCAGATCGAATTTCCTTCAACAAAACACAATAAATATATCTTATCAGACATTTAAGTATCGCTGAGTATTTTTACGAGCTGTGCTGTATTTTGACAAGCCCGTACGTAGGGCGGGTCAAAAAACAAACAACGAGTAAAAATACTCAACAATGCTACACACCAGAATGTCTAATAAGTTATTTATTATCCAACTGCTTTTCTTTCCGCTAAGTCTTTCTGTTCATCTCTTACATGGCGGGAAAAGCAAAGCGGATAGAGAGGCGTAGCGCACGCAGACGACTGGTTTTACAGTACAAAATAACCAACTGTCCAAATAACCGTAGATTATCGTAGGATATTTGTACTCTATTGGCGCGTTATTTGCACTTTTCTTTGTGCAGTTGGATGATAAAAAACTGTACTTGTTGACCGTCATAAAATTAAATTTGGCAACCCACTTTCCTAAGTAAATTTCAAAATGTGACAAAAAATCTTGGTATGCTTCATTATTTTTCTACATGGCTGTAATGGAAGGGTTTTTTAAGTTCTTCCCTCCACAAATGATGGAAACTTCTAAAGAGCAAAATTGTAAGTCCTCCACTTTTCTCCGTCTTTTCTCCGTCCATTGTGTTTCCACTCCTGCGCATGCTCCCATCTCCGCTCGCCCTCGGTTCAGATTGTTGGTGTTCGCTGTAGCATTTCTTAAGACCCAAGAAAAAAGGAGTGCTCTAGTGCTCCTGAAAGTCCCGCAGATTTCCTTGGCTATACCGGATACCCCGGGCACTTACCGTAGTCCCGCCATGTTAACACTAGTTTCCAAACTGGTTCATCCGATGGCGCTGAGAGGTGGATCCCTCGGGATGAAGCTGAATGGAATAGGTAAAAAAATTACTTCTTTTTGGTCAGATACCGTGAAGCTATCCAAGAGTTACAAGTAATTTATAGTATTATGATCAACTGTTCGTTTAGGATCCGATAGCTATCATTACAAAGAACAAACAAATCGGACTTTATCTCATAATCTCTCTATAAAGCACTAACACTACCTTGATTAGAGTTCATAGCTTTTTCTCTTTCAGACAGAAGAAATTATCCGCTTGAAAAGACCACTTTTCACTTCTATTATGGCCAACGACTTATCGTTGGGCAGCAGTTATAAAAAGCTGGATTGTTTGATCTCTTCTCTTCTCGCACAGATCCTGAATTTATTTGTCAGGAGCAATTGCTGCCCTCTCTGAACGGGTTTATCTCAGCAATTACGGCAGTAACCAGCTCGAACCCGGTCCTCAGGTGGTCTAGGCCCCAACTCTTACACCACACATATGATAAAGGATGAAGTTTTAAAATTGGTTATCATTATGAGCTATTTTAGTACCTCCCCAAAAACGGCCAAGGCCATCTTTGAGAGTGAGAGTATGTCGGTCGGGAACATCTGTGTGATCCAAACCCGTCTCGGCTATGTGTGGTACTTCAGTCGCGGTTATAGTCCCAGGTTCGTCCCGGACTCGGTACCAGCTCTCAGCCGATTCAGCATTGCAATCACCTTGGCCGTTTTGCCTGCACGAGAGGAAAATCTTTCCATTTAGATAAACGCCGTGAAGATTTCCCTCTTTGTCGAGACCAAGTACGGTGAGGAGTTGGAAGTTCAGCGCTGTTCGAGAAGGAAAAATGGATAAAACCAAACCTGTCAATGGGGGAGCTGCTGCTAAACTTTTGAAAACGAAAATTGCAAGCATTAACTGTTGTTGATAATTCTTCTCTGGGCGACATTTTGGATAATGTGAAGTAAGGATACGGTCTCGCTACTTTATGAAAGAAAACTGTTTTATTTGCAGGATTCTTAGAGGGATTGTGCCGTAGAATATGTAACGATCAAACGTCACTGTTAAATATCAAGGAACAGACAGATGTTCCAAAATAAGACGGATTAAACCAGTTTTAAAGAACGCAACAAACACGTTGTTTACAACACGGCGGCTCTCCCAGTCTGGCTGCCATTCAATGCGCATGGGCGTAAGACAACCGGTGGCCAAATGCATCGCAGTCACACAATCAAACAAAGCGGCTCGCGTAAGAATTTCATTCGGCTGACAGGAAGAATACCTTTTTTTCATTTCAGATCACTCGTCTAGTTATACACTGCATATGCGCGTTGGCAATGAAACTAAGAGTCACCATTATGTTTTTTATACCTGTCCATGTTTTCCCATCGTTCGTTACATAGCAGTGAGACCTCTGCCTGGAGAAGAGAAGATAATTTTTTTGTCTTTAATTCAAATGTTCATGGCATAACTTTCTCACCGGAAGTTAGTGTCACAGAAACAAGCTTTAGGTAGATATTCTTGATATATTTGCCAAGTTTTAAGAGAGCTATGGTTATGAATGCACCTCGGCTATCACGTGCAAATACTATGATTCATACATTGACTACTACGCATGACTATGGCAGAGCTTCGTTCCGGTTCTATCTAAACCTCTTTTATCGATGGTGGGACCGATTATTCATTGTTTTCATACTTTAAATCTACAAGTGCTCTATCGCAGATGCTGCAATCTGATTGGCCACATCGCTCGCCAGCTATTCCGTGATAAACAATTTGTAAAGTGGGTGGACAATGCAAATTTTGAGGGGCTGTAAACACAATTAAATAAAAACATGAGCCTGTCTTGGTGCTATAATAGATCTATACTAAAGCAATAAGATTATTCACCCGAGATTTTAATGCGTGATAGCTGATTCCAGCTCCGCCCGCATCAATCATCTCGCAATAGACATCAAGTGCTCAATTCAATCATGGAAAATTTTCATGTAAATTAGCCTTTGTGGCCTTGAAAATATATGTAAAAGCATAGGAATCTTCTTTCAAAAGCGAGGCCAAGAATGATAATTTTCATGCAAAGAAAAATATTGATTATCATGCCCGTTATTCCATGTTTCCTACCTTGAAATTTCAGTGTTGCAAACAAACAGACGGTTTATACGTGTGTCTACAAGGAAAGCTCTGGAAAATACCACGGGCAGATCTGTTAGGAGAAAATACGCTACAATCAAGAAATTGGCTTTTTGTCGTAGAGGAAAGCGTTTACATGTTTAGCATACTTAGAAAAAAATTACGGGAGTGAGGCATTTTGTTCAGAAACTGTTTGACAAAGATAATGCACACACGCGTTTACACTATGAAGACTCTTCTGATTGGCTACCCGAGCTGGCAAGATAAGCCCGTGCTGTCCACTTGAAATTGCCCGCTTTGATCCGGGCAAGGAATGCATTTACGAAATTTTTGGACAATATCGGCGATTGAGTCTACGTAAACATGAACGACTCTCGTGGGTTTATGGTGCTACAGACGAAGTTGGCTTTCCCGGCTCTGGAAACAAAAATGACATTCTTGTTTCATAATAAGCGAAATCTTTTTGTTCCAAAAAATACATCTTTTATTGACCAAGCTTGTTCGGTCAAAATGGCTGGATATAAGGTTCATTTTTTCTTTTTTTTTTTTGGCGTTTTCATGGACCGAGAGGAAGTTGAGGTCCATAAAAAAACACAAAAAGATAACTCGGCCGATATCCTGTCATTTGGCCTAACGATTGGTCCATAACGCATATTTATAAGCAAATTGCAAGACATCACTTTCGTCCCAGTCCTCTCTTGTGGCTCTTTCCGCTCTCTTTTCTCTTGCCTCGTTATTTCAATTACGCTCTTTCCCCACTACCTTCTTTAATCATGTTTGTAAGTTTTTTTTTCTTTTTTCACTGCTATTCAGCAGTCAGCAACTTCTTACGAAACCGTTTCTCTTGCCTTATCTCCAGAAAACATACGAGGACCGGACTTAGGGAAGATCTGATTTCTCCCCGCTAAGATACTCACCAAGCATTTTTTCTTTTTTCCCGTACAGTTCCACTCGCATACAAAATTTATCACCTATATTCGTTAGGGTGGCGAATATTATTGTCATTGCCTGGATTGGCTTGATGAGGTGATGCTTTACCATAGAATACCTTTGGAGATTTCCGAGAAATTTCTGCAATAAAAGAGTGAGACTGGATAAGTATGGACGACCGCTTTGAATTCTTTCGCTTTCTGGCGTCACAAGTTGCACAAAACTTGAAGACAAATCGAAATCGAGTATAACACAAGAGTGTTATTTTATCATTACCTTGAAGGGGGCCCAAGGGAGGGGAGGTCAGTCATCATTTATCGCCTCAAGAGGAAAGGGTGTTTTTATTTTAAAGGGGGGGGTCATGCGGTTTTCAGGGGGAACATAGAGGGTTCAGATGTCGCACGAGAGTATCAAGAGAGGACTATGGAAGATTGAATTTCAATTAACTGCCAAGGAAAGGGGTACGAAAAATATTACGGAAGTAACGGTAAATCGGGTAAATATTATTGAGACTTAATCCACTGGAATCCCTCCCCCCGCAAACCCAAGAGATAAAGAATAACCGATCGCTAAATGCGAACACACCTCTGTAAGGGTCCCCTCCCGTCCCGTCCCGTCCCGAGTACCTTATCACTCCCGTTCTCCATGTAGAATTTCCGCAGACTTTGAACATCAGTTTTATATCCTAAACGATATGACGTCACACAGTACATTATGCCCCCTGCATGGTGATTCATGGGAAATCTGCATTGTGTCGACACCTGTTTGAACAGAAGCAACATGTGTCATCAAATATTTATAATTATCATGTTGATGATCAATTATATATTGTATGTATAAAAGCCGTTTGGATGCCGTGCCGGTTAGCATTCCAAGTGGTGTGTTCAGTGGTTACATGGGATGGTTTTCTTTCATTCGCTTTGATTTGCTTTCTGTTTGTCTTCTGCTAGGTTTTATCTATTTTCGTTTTTGTCTTTTTGTTTTTTTTGTATCTTCAATTTTTGTTTGTTTTAAATAGTCGCGTTATATTTTTTCATGTGCTTTTGTTTGTTTTTGATTGATTATAAAAAAACCTTACACCTGAGCTAAACTATGAAGGAGCAAAATTGCTGCCCTGCTGAGACACAAGGATAGCGTGTAAAACGGGAAGGATCCCAGTAACGCCTCCCACACACGACTTTCGTTATCTTCAGCTTTTTTTAATTTTCACAATGTTCCCTTCACCGCGATCTTCAAACCCTTCTCATTCATATACCGTCACACATCATATACTTTCCTCACATATGGTGCGCTTATTTTACGCAAAAATCAAATGGAGATTTCTCTTGAAGGTATCAGAAATACATCAATTTCAACGCGATTGGCTTACCGCCGAAATCACGTGACTAGTAATCAGGTTCACTGAAAGCCATTCAGCTGTGGGAGGCTGCTTTGCGCACCAGGCCCCCTGCAAAATTTGCATGTTTAATCGGGCTTTTGCTGCTTTACAACTCTCGCCAGCATAAGAGGATGAATTCATTTGCTGGTCAGTGATTTCTTTAGATTCAACACCCAATGGAGGATCTAAGAAAAGAAAAGAAAAATTTATTTAGCTGCATATTTCAAATTCTCTTTTCAGACTGAAATTTTGGGTAATTTGCTTTTATCAACTGCGGTAATAGTGTAGATCACCCACCGTAAAGGGTTTCTAAGGGTAAGCTTTTTGCCATAACGAATAGAGGAATTGTGGGTTGTCTGTGATTGATAGAGAGAGAAGAATGGAGCTACACTATCGGTGGGAATTTGGTAACGTGCAAAACACAAGAGTAAAAGGGATGAATGCAACTAAAACAGTTCATTGATACCTTGGGGATTGAGAGTGCCGATGTGAAAGATGAATTTGTCTTCTACAGTTTTGCAGCTTTCCGAACTACCAAGATGCAGGGAAAGGCAGCCGACTGCCACATGTTGCTCAGAATGATAAGGAAGATTGAAGTGTTTAGGTTTGGGTGCAATTTTCTTTACCGTGGTAAATTTACTTCTCTTACTCAGTTGAAACCAAATTGTCTTCTAAGACCCCCACAGAGGCAGAACCCAATAGAGTTTCTCCAGAAACTTGCCCCTTAAATACTTTGGACATTACCTTCGTAAAGAATGGGCTGTTTTTTCACTGAACAACCATAAACTTCAAATCTTAGCCCGAAGAATCCATCAGGAAATCTTGGACTGATTCTAAACCAACGTGCTTCCAGTGGCATCTTCAAAAGGGCTGTAATTAACATATTTCCCGGGTTTTCCAAAACACCAGACGTGAAGTAGAACTGGGGAGCAAGTATGGAGAGAATAATTCAGAAATATGAAAAAAGCACTTGGATCAATAAAGATGGTGAATTTTGAGCACAGTAAGGAACTAAAGAAAGATGTTTTGTCTTTGCTCCATGCTCGTGACAAGACGGAAAAATCAGCCTTCTTCATGTCATCACCCAGTTCAAAATTTACCTTCTCTCTTGTTCTATTTACTCACACGACGCCTTTGACATTGCTGATCCAATAAGATGTGAGGTGGAACACTAGTCTGCAGAGCAGGCTTAGTATTTTCTTATCGAAAATTATAGCCGCCATCTTTTTTTTAATGGCAGCGGAGGGCTGGGGAGAGAAAGAAATTTGTACCAAAGGGGTAGGCGACGGTCAAGAATATGGAGAGAGGTGGAGGTAGGGGGAGAGGGGCGGAGGTGGGGGAGTGAACTTCCCCGCCCCCCCTCCCCGCTACTACCTTCACCTCCAAATCAAATGTAAATATGGCCGGTTGAATAAACGACCGCGAGCTTCTTAACGTTAAGAAACCTACACTGCAGGCTAGGGGAACACCAAAGTGGGAAGATAGTGAGGAAGAATGAAGAAATAAGCACACGCTGAGGAATGAGATTTTTTGATTTCTCGCATTTCTAGTTATTCGAGCTCATCTCGAATTACTAAGAAACATAACACTGATTTTCGTTCATCATGTGAAAATCGCCACTTTCTTCAACCGACTTCTAAATTTTGGTTTACGTTGTTTTACCTCTACGTTCTTTTCACTGTAGTCTTTCCATCGATATCCTTCATTGCTCACACTAAACTTCAACGATCGTATAGGGGCCTTTGCTTCATGGTGACCCTGTGCAGACACCTGGCAAAATAAAATGTTTAAACAAACAGGTATGTTAAAAAGTTGCAAGAAAAAAGTGCCAGGTAAAAGAAAATTAAACAGTTTTTTTGCTTCTCTTTCAGTTGTTGTTGGTTTATATTGTTTATTTTTGTTTCTGTTTGTTTTGTTGTTTTGCTTTGGTTCTCTCCTCGGGTTAATGTTTTCGTGGATTATGTACCAAAAAAAGAGAGCACCCGTTTAACTTTACACGTGTTCTTTCTTATGGAATAATTTCCTCTGAGAGAAGGACCGCCAACAAAAGTTATATTGTTGGATCAGACCATGACTAGATAATAATTTGCTATAGGAACAATTTCTCAAGTGGAAGAGTATCTAGTATTATACAAGAGAAAGTAATTTATTTTCTGGTTCATTTCAGTTTAGTCTCACCATTTCAATACGTTTTACTTCTCTGAAGTCCACTTGAACATATTGCCGTCTATCGTATGAAGGGAAACCTCGAGCTGGTGCCCAGTGTTTAAGGGCATGTAAGCCAGCACCGTACGGCTCGTAGCCTCCTATCTCAGAACTTGTTTGAAACAGAGAGGAGACACTCAGTTGGCTTTCTTTCACACTTCCATCACTTATTCCCAGTGGACCGAAATTCTGGCAGTCTGAGGAGTTGAAATAAGGGAGCATTCGTTATTCATTGCGGGGGAGGGGGATGGGGGGGGGGGGGGGGTGACGAGTCCCTCACCAGACACTAACATTGTAAAAATACCGTTACCATATAAAAATATTTTCGGGAACCAATTACAATAATAAAGCGAGTAAGAAAAATGAAGAAAAGAAAAAAAAGACTGAGCTTGATGATGAGTGGTAATGAGGTCACATAAGAGTCCCAGTTCACCGTTGAGTCTCTGTGTCTCAGTGGAAAAGCATTGGAGTAAAATATGAAGGTCTGAGGTTCGATTCCTGGTGGGGACTGGGAACTTTTTTCCTTCTTCCACGTTCTTGATAAGTCAGAGACACGTAATCCTTCTATTATTTATCATTATGGTTCTTGACTTGCCAAAACTGATGATCGTCAAACTCATTCTAGTATCAGCCAGAAGAGAGGCAAATAGGTTCTGGCTCGGTATAAGTGGATGCATGCAGGGGATTTGATTCTTTTTGTCGACCCCGCTAAAAAAAATGTAAAAAGAAAATGTATAAAGAAAATAAAAGAAATGAATAAAACTCAACTGCACGTGACCTATCTAACCTGGGTGATAAACCACTATTTCAACATCCCTGTAGCTATGGAGTGTCTGGGAACACTCTTGAGGTCCTCTTCGGTAATTGACATCTACGTGAATTGCTGAGGTACTCGCACTTCCACTGGGCACTAATCTTTGTTTCAACACAAAAAATGTGACATCGAGGCTGATATTAGCAGAATTTTTTGGAGGAGCGAACTGAGAATAAAATAAAGTACTGGTTTTTTTAAATGAAAATAGTAGCAGCTGCTAACACTACGTCTCCCACACTTCCATATTTTATAGTCACTGAACTTTCTCAGTTCATTATATTGATCAATAGGATATTTTAGATTATTTGGTAAGAACGTCTTTTCCGACAAAGATGGCTAAGTCTATTCTCCATAAAGAAAAGTATACTTATCCAGATTTTCAAGTTAAATTCAACGTTTGGCTGTAAATAAAGCCTTCAAGGAGTTTTGAACTCTCCAACAAAACCAAGCGAGAAAGTTTGAGACAACAAAATGTTCAAAATTTTTAACTCAACTAAGAAAACGATTGTCTACGAATGTCCACGAGTGTCCACGAGTGTCTACGAATGTCCACGAGTGTATCCGCATCAACCTAAATGCCATGTTTCTGGTCTCTAAACGTGATTGGCTAATGAACAGGTTCACGTGCGCTGCGCTTGAAAACAAAAACATTCCTTAAGGGAAATGAGGAAAAAATTGAAGTCTGAAGTACTTTATTTACAAAACTGAAAAGACTTCTAACAGGTCCAGTGAATGTACTCTCAGTTTTTCAATGTCTTCGCCACAGACAATAAAATCGTTACCGTTCAATTGATATGGTTAATGGAACAAGTTTGCAAATGTTAGAGGGACATCTTTGAACAAAATGATTAAAGGCATCCCCAGTTTCAGTTCCACGCGAGATGTGGCAAAATGATTCTCTCTAAAGATTTTCTGACGTTCAAAATAAAACTTAGGCTTTCTCAGATACCAAGAAATTAGTTTCTGCGTCTAAGGTCTCGGTAACCCTTGATATGGAGCCATAAAAATACCCTGAAACCTGCCAGGTTACTCTCTTAAATGGACAAAGCAACAATTTCCTAGCTAGCACTCGTTTACACCAGGTATACACGTTTTTATACAAAGAGAAGGCAACAGTTTTTTCATCACGGAGAGGCGTAGGTATTCACTGAGTGCTCACCTCTACAATCAGCCGACCACTTTCGTTACGATATGAAGATGGTTCACCATATCCAGCTGAGCTGGTGATTCCTTTGAATTGCAGGAAATACGGTAAGCTGAATATCATATTCAAGGCTTGGATGGCTTCTCTCTTAATAGTTGCGGTATGACAGTCCACATGAAGAAGAGTTTCGTCTCTATCAGAAATGATAAACAGAATGGAGTAAAATTCACGATCATGGGATGATATCAAGAGGATATCATGAGATTGATCATTGTCATGAGGGATGTAAACGAACACGGCGGCCGGTTGTACTCCAGATCGACAGGTCTGGGTTCGAACTCCAGCCGAATCATATTGTACTTTGTTCTTGGGCTGGATAGCGTTGTATCCGTTGAATTGCGTTATCAGCCCTTTGAACCACTTGCCTGAGCCCTGTGCGTAACGAAATCTCCCTCTCCCCTCCCCTCCCCACCTTACCAACGACTCCCTGAGAGAGATCCTTAGGAAAGTTTTGCGTGGTGCTTTAGATCCCGTGTTATCCTTCCAAACATTTCCCCAAGCCTTTTTAAGTTTCAGTCGTAAACCATACTCACCCTGGTATTAGAGGCTGTTGTGTTGGTACTGTAAATTTGATCTTCAAGTCGTCAGATGCGAGCGCCATACTGATTGTCAGCTGCATCAGCTGAAAGACACCATTGAATTTTTGGTACTGTAATAAACTTCGAAGGCCTTAGAACTTGTAAATTTTTTGTTGTAGTGCTGCGCATTTTGTTTTCCGCCCCTTCCTTGCTACTAGTCATGCAACGTTGACAGTGTTTGAGATTTACTCATGTACAATTCAACATTTTCTATGGCGAAAAAGAAGTTTGTAAAACCATCGATCGGTCATAAAGAAAATTAACACAAGCATTGAACAAAGAAAAAACTTTGAGTTCTTCTCGAGTTGATCAAACCCCAGACAGACCTCGTTAGCAAATGACACTATGAAATAGGTTCATCTGTGACCACAGAGTGGCACATGATCGATGAACGAGTAGATCTGAGGCATATTGGTTGTCTGCATCTCTGGTTGCGTGGTTATCTGGTCGATTCATAGCGATTTACGAGGTTCGTGGTTTTTCTGAATGATGTATGCAGGAAATATTAAGGAAAAGACGTCGGAAATTAAAATTGTATGAAAATCGATGTACCCATGTGGCTCAAATCAGCTCACTCAAGACATATAAGCGCGCGACTGATTAGACATATCTAGGTTTCTGTTCTAAGTGCGGCCATTTTCCATATGCAAATCCTTTCAGTTCTACTTCTGCGAAACGAAATATTACAGGTGTGCCAGTGTATGCAGCTCTGTGCCTCCCGTAATCTGACAAGAACCAAAGCAAGCGCGATGTATATTGTTACGATCATCAATAGCAAAAGAACCTTGTGTGTAAACAGAGGATATACGAGGAAAAAAATGGTAAAGTTTTAGCTCGGTCTTAGAATGCTGATTTTCCCAGGAATGTTTATGACGTCTGAAATAAAAAAGGAATTAACTCTCCCATGAGTTATGAACTTTACCAAAGGAAAATAATGAGACAAGCTCCAGACCTTACCGATTGAAAGAATTTTGAGGAGATTCGATGATGGAAAATATTTCTGCAAAGGGTTATTTTTAGATGTTTAATTTATTACAGTTATTCGACTGAACCTGTGAAGAAACGGTTTTTTTCCTTTCGCAGCAGCTGTTTCTCTTTACAAATACCAATATTTATTCGGTTGTGAAAAGGAAAAAGTAGTTTATTTTTATATATCGAGCGTCAGAATGCATGAAGGATATTCCAAAGAAAAGGCGAATCACAAAATGAAAATCGCATCTAGATCGTTAAATTTGACTTTAAAAAAGTTACAACAAATACACAAAATTTAGGAATGAAGTGAGGTCAACTCGTTTTTCTCTCTATGAATCTCGAGAATTTTTTTGGGTTTCTGAAATGCAAATAAAATTTGCAACAACAATGTTGTATTTTTCCAAGAGTATTTCCTTGTAGTCTTAATTTGGTTAAAAAATTTTTCTTCAAAATTTCAAGACTTCAAAATTTCAAGACTTCAAAATTTTCAGTATAAAATAATAATGAGGCATCATGCTCTCGAACAAGAAAGATAAGAGAAAAACTCACATGAATTAAAGCGAATCCAGTAACTTTCAGCATGATTTTACAAGGATGTAAAGCAAGCTATTCCGCGACGCAAGCCCTCACGATTCGGAAGACGTATGCCTTACATTTGTCTTACGATTCTAATATCCCATCCGTGACTTAAAAATATAGGTTTAAAATTAAACAAAACAAGTTTTTTCCCTGCACAGTTTGAAATATTAACACAGTTCGCATCACAAAGTCAAAATATTTACTAAACTGGAGAAAATATTTTAAAAGTAATATTTTCTTGAATTCCCTGCCCTGCGGTATATTTTTAAATTATTAATTTCTCATAAACTTTGTGTTTTAAAATTTGTTCCTCCGATTCAGTTGCCTTTGTTTTTTTTCATCTGCACTAGTATGTATGCATATATATATATATATATATATATATATATATATATATATATATATATATATAGAGGAAGTCTGTGTATTAATTTTTCCGTTTTGCAGTGCTCAATACGTAGAAGTTGAGCGCGATGTATGTTGCGATAGGGGAAAAATAGAGAGACTATATAGTATAGTCTCTGTGTTTTTCCCCCATCGGGACATACATATGTATATATATATATATATATATACACACTTATATATATGTCGCGAAAGGGGAAAATAGCGGACACCAGTCACTTATGATCAATCATATATATATTTTCCTGAAGCCACGCATGACTGACTTTGAATTCACCAATGTTCAAACTACAGAGGTGTTCTACTAACCAATTTATGGATTCTTTTCTCTTGGTGTCCGTAAGTTATAATCATGCAACACATTACAAAAGTGTCTTTCAGACATCCTGTCAACCTTTACTCCAGGTTCAATTTCTTTACTGTTTAGCTCCTTGTTTGATTTGTTTCGTCTTTCAGTTGTTACACTGAGGATTTCTCGTTGTGCTTTTTTTTGTGCAGTGTTAACACTTCGGCAGCTCGCGCTTTTAGCCGAAAACTAGTACCGAAAGCCGAAAAAACTATTATGGGTAAGAGGGCAAGAGGGGTAAGGGAGCGAGAGGGAGGGGAGGGGAGGGGAGGGGATTGAAGTCGCAGTAAAGGTCCAAAAAGGGTCCTTAGCCTCGAAATCGGATGCAAGGTCAAGATCAGACTGGAAATTTTCAAAAATAGGTCTTAAAAAGTCAAGAAAACAGTTGTTGTTACCTCCTCCACGAACAGTAGAAATGATATATTGTCATGGGTTAAATGGCAATCTTGAAAAAAAAAAAAAAAAACCAACTATACAATGTAAGATACTAAGTGGTGTCTAAGGGTCTAACCTCCCTTGATGATTTAAAAAAAAGAAAAAGAAAAACCGGGTCTTGAGTACCGCCTAAGGCCGTAGACCGAGGGCAGTACTCCAGACAGAGGGCACAGTTTTTCCCAATACGGACCGACCTTGGCTGATTAACAACATTTTTATTTTTTTCCTTAAACTTACCTAAATTCTTTCACACAAATTGCTTTAAAGCGGCTTTTTCTCATTGAGTTCCTTCAGTTTCTGTTGTGCAATTAACAGTACAAATGACTTAATTGAACGGACTTCGAAGGACTCACCGAAAGCGTATTTGTAATAGAATTAAAAACTTCGCTCGCCCTTTCACTACGAACAAATTATTTGAGAGAATTCAGATACTAAATGAATGAAAGTTGCATCGATTAATTCACCTGTAACCAAATACCTCACGTTTTAACTTTCTAGGTTTTTTTTAGTGAAGGATTAAAATTAGTTACAAACGGTTTTTAGGCCGCTTGTCAACCAATTTAATGACACTTCTGCCTATTCAAATTTATATCGAAACCTGTATTTTTCTGTCAACCAAAGTGATTTGAGAGAGAGGAAAGAGAGGATTAAAAGGTTATTTATCGGCTTAAAAATACTGCCCAGCCAGAAAAACGAGATATTTTTATGAAAAATGGCATCGAAGGTAGGGATGTACTGGGCGACTCACGAAAGCGTTATCGTGCCCGTAGGCAGAGATAGGAAAATACGGACCGCGCTAAGAACCACCAATCAGATTGTAGGATTCGTTACCGTGCCCTCGAAGAAAAAAAAGAAACGATTTTCATATATTCACAGTCATTTAATAATAAAATTAATCACGCCTTGGTCACCCGCGTTTTTCCGCACCTCAGACAGTCAGCTTGTTGTTACACTGAACACTCATTGGCTCTATGTGATATTTTCAATTGCTCTGATTGGCTAGTGTGGATAACGCTGACAAAGGGATGAATTGAAATTAAGAGATCCTCGCAGCTAAGAACACTACTGAAACGAGTAGTTGAAAATAGGACCTGAAAAAAAAAAAATTCAGGCCCGTACCGGATTTGAACCCATGACCTCTGCGACACCGATGCAGCGCTATACCAACTGAGCTAACGAGCCAACGGTCCAAATAAATCATCCAAGTGATGAAAGATGATTTTAGATATATGAAATTCATATATTTGCACTGCGGTGAAGAATAAAAATTAAGAGATCCTCGCAGCTAAGAACACCACTGAAATGAGTAGTTGAAAATAGGACCTGGAAAAAATTCAGGCCCGTACGGGATTTGAACCCATGACCTTTGCGATACTGGTGCAGCGCTCTACCAACTGAGCTAACGTACGGGCCTGAATTTTTTTTTCAGGTCCTATTTTCAACTACTCGTTTCAGTAGGGTTCGTAGCTGCGAGGATCTCTTAATTTCGTTTCTTCACTGCCGTGCAAATGTATGAATTTCGTATATCTAAAATCATCAAAGGGATGAATTGTTATCCAGCGGATACAAGTGCTAACAAAACCTGATACACTGTCTTCCGTATAAGGATTTATTCAGTCGATAGCGTTATCTGTCGTTCGAACAACCGGGGATTGTAGCTGATGATTAAAATTTTAATTGCCGGGGAACCGATCTTTTAGCGAAAATTTGCTCTCACCTTTTTTCGCGGCAATGATTAACTGAAACCAATCTTTTGCTTTTCGATCAATTTGGTATACTTTGAATTTTAATAAGTAATTACTTTCGTTCTCTGTTTTTCAATATCGCAATGAGCAACTGTCTAAATAGATCAAGTGTTGCCTGGTCGCTTGTCCTTCTTTTCTGTCACTTTCGAGCTCAAAAGAGCAGCAGTCTATCATTCTTGTTTGGGCAGAAACAATTCCGATTTTTGTATTGTGCAGCTCTGGCACAAGGGAATTCTGCTGATAAGTGGTGCTTTATCGAACATAACTTTCAAGAGCTTAATTTTCGAGCCCGTTTGGCACAGGACATCAGACCCACAAGGAACGAAGCGTAAGATTTCATTCGAGTCCTAAAAAAAATTGTTTGCACCGAGTCTGGCAGGAATCAATTGACGGACGGAATGAAGGCATCATCCTCTTTAAGTCTTGGGGTCGAAGGCAGCGATTCACCAAAGCCAAAAGTAAAAATGTTGAAAGCAAGAAAAATATTTTCAAGCTTAATACCCTCCGCTAGGTAAGTATTCATCGAAAGCGAAGTTTATAGCCAGATACGAGTCTTGCCGAAGAAAAATCGATTGAACACCGCGTGACGTCACGTACGTGTTTACACGCCTTCGGAGCCCGGAACCTAATTCCACTTAGTGCGAGCACAAAATTCAGGATTTGGATGAATGAATTGAATATTTTTCTGGCCCATGTGCCCGCATTTTGCCCAAGGTTAATGCAAGCATATTATGTACAGCCTTATAAAAGGCTATTTATCGAGGTAAGGAATTTTTAGTAGCCTTCTTTGAGTTACTATCCCGTTCCTGAGCGACTTCTGTTGACTAGGTTATGTTGTGGCTAAAATTTAGTAGTTAAGTATGTAGACAGGTAACTCTGTTCATCAATTTGAATTTCAATTATCTTTCTAGTTCGAACGTAGATGAGGAAGAACGCGACTCAGTTTTTGCTGAGGAAGTTGTACGATCCCGCGAGCTCAAAGCAAAACGAACTACTTTTCGTTCGTCAAGAAGCAAATCCGAGAGCAGTGCTGTTTCTGGCGATTCAGCCGCTAGATATCTGTCGTGGGAGAATGTGTCATTCTTAGGACACGAGTTGAGGAAAACGGTTAGAAAGGGGTTTCACTGGTTGGCATACCCTTCACTTGGTGAGGACCATGAGAAGTAGTTGAATTGTCAATGCTGCAACCTGCGTCGCGAAGGTCTTCACTTGGAGAGCAGGCAATTTTTACGATTAGACAAAAATTCATTCAGATAACCGTTCGCGAAAGAATGATTTTATCTGTGCATTCTCAACTAAAATTTTTCGCATTTGCAGTCTTGTTCTCTAATTTAACATCTAGATATACTATTTTTTCCTAGCATGGTTCGAGAACTCTCGTGTTTAGAGAATCGAGTGTGACTTAGCTTTGTTTGACGCGAATGAATCATGAGGATATTGAAACGACGTCGTAAACTATGCTCTGTGACAACGCGGAACATCATCGTTAAATATGTGAACATCGTTGCCTCGATATTTTTTATATTTATTGTTGGTATAAGTGATATGGATTAATAATTCACAAAGACGAGATTTGTTTTCATTCCCTCTCGTGTGAGAGCAGCAAGCTTCGTGGTTTCAATGGCTTCGCTTTTGTTATAAGATGCTGTCATTATTCAGCCAACAAAACCCTGCTATTGTTCAGAATCATTTGAAACAACTTTCAACCTCGCAATATGGGGGTAGATCTTTAATTCTGTGTCAGAAATCTGTCAGATTTACTGCTTAATGGCGAGTGACAGTTAAATTTTAACCATCGAGATGAAATCGTATCCATTTTGGAATTACTTCGATTGTAGCGTTTTTTCGCTCTAGATCACTTTTACTCAGATTTGTACCGCTCTTGAAGCTAAAGTTACGTATTTGAAAATCTTCGATTTTTTTCCTCTGTCTTAAAATATTTCTTGCTCCTATAGATAGCGAAATGTCGTTTAAAGTTAAAAAGCCAGCCCCTCTCGGAACTAAGGAATATATGGTGAGTAGACAACGGTTATAATTTACTACAGTTGTTTTAAATTTTTCATTCATATGCTATAGCATATGCTTAAAATGGTTAAAATTTAGAAAAACAACATTTGTTGTTTGAGCTTTATTACGCCGTGGAGGTAAACAGAAACAATTAATTTATTTTACTCGAGCAATGTGCTATGGCTGCGTGATATTATGACTTAACTTAAATTGTTATGGCAATGTTGGACTCCCTCAGGACAAATAAGTACCTCCAGTCGACATTCTCCATCTCTTTGGTCAAGATCTCTGATTTTCTTAAGCTTCAACAGTTCTACAAACAATTTAGGGGATATGTTCATGTACATGTACAGTACTCTATCTCTGTTGAATTTTGTTTTTAATGAAACTCACATTTGAATAATTATTATCATTTAATTGGCATTTCATGCCATGATCAGTCATGAACAAGTGGATGTATTTGTATAAGTTCCATGCAGCATTTTAACAACTTTCTTCCTTGTGTATTAATGGCAATGGAAGTAGAATCTTAGGCATCAGGCTTCACTCTTTTCCCCTATGTATTGCTGCTTTGAATAATTTAAATATAATTTTTTATAGATACTAGATCTGCACCTGTCATTATTACCTTGAAATAATTTTGCTATCAAGGTGGTATGGCAAGTTTCTCTAAGTCTTACTTTCAGATTTCTTTCCTGCAAATTAACTGCATTTTCATTTTTGTTCTCAGGTTGATACCAATGACACACTGGCAAAGATTGCTCTAACATTTGACACCACTCCTTCGGAGTTGACTCGTATCAACAAGCTGTCATCTCGCATGCTTTTCCCAGGCCAGGTAAGCAATTTATATTTACAGGGACTTGATATCTAAGTGTGCAATAGTAAATTTTTTTTTCTTCAGTGTCTTGGTAGACAGAAATCTTTACCCCCTGACTGCCAACCCCACTGAGAAGCCCTGTGCCATTGCAAATTGACTTTTTTTGGGAATTCTGACCTTTTTTGAGTTTGAGATGCCAGGTTCTTTTTCCATCTCTAGTGCTGGGGATTTGACTGTTATTCTTTAACTTTTGATATAGCAAGTAATCTGGAGGCAAGCAAACAGCAAATATTACTTCATACTTGGAGCATCACGCAGGCAGTGAAGGGGTTAAATTGTGAAATTTGATCAGCTAATTGTGCGCTTTTAGCTAAACCAGCTTTTTACAATATAGACTGGAATATCTTCCCTATACAAAACTCCCGTCCAAAAATAACATATAGTAATTTATATCGAGTTCTCATAAACTTTTGTCCCATGGTAATTATAAATATAATAGACTCTAAACAGTATTTAAAATGAATGCAATGTTGCTGTGCACTGTATATGACATCTTTTTAAAAGCTCCATGTACACACTGGACAACTGAATACATGTACTGCAAAGTCCCTGGCCTTATACATGTACATGTACAATATTATAAGGGCTTTTGAGTGGGTCTTTAACTATACAGAGCTCAGGACACTGGTAAGGCACAATATAAGTCTGTACTGCACAGAGTACACAGTACCATGCTCTAACACTCTAACATGTGATCATGAAGTCTGACCATGACATGTGGACGTGTAGTCAAATCATTTGCAGTGTAACTTAAGCCAATAACAAAAGTACATGTGTACTGAACGTTTGCGATTCCAGTTCTACTCTATAAGGTTGTCAACTATCCACAGCAGGGGTTTTAACAACTTAGTTTCATAGTTAGCTGCTGATACATGTAGTGTAATAATGATGTGGGCAGCTGTGTTTGGTAAAGGGACTGTTGGGTAAAACCCAAACAGGAGCCTTTTTCATGTGCTAAAGAGATGGCAGAAAGAGATGGAATAAGAATCATCTTGTTGGCAACAGTGAACTGCTGGAAATCTGCCTTTTTTTAAATCCCTGCATTGTATCCAAGGCTTAGGAAAAAATTAATGACTTCACTGTTCTATGAATATTCCTAGTAATAATTATTTTAAATGAAAGACAAAATTTCCAAGAATGAATTGGAGGCTTATGGGTCTTCTGTAAATCAATGGTATCATCAATTTAAGTAGTGCATTGAAAAAAGGGTCCTTGGTGCCTTGCTATAGACTGCAAGATTCTCATTCCACGCTGTACTGTTTTCTCTGATGAAACACAGGCAGGCATTGATGTTGCATTAAATTACTTTATTTCAAACATCCTTTCATGTCATGTTTCACCTCTAAGTCTTAAAATTCAATTGAAAGAAGGCACCTTCAAAAGAATGTAATTATTCTGCACTGATGTTAATCCCATATAAGTGCTGTTTTTGGAAAATTGCCAACAGTATAGTTAAATCCAGGCATGTAAACTTTACCAGACTGGAAACCTAAGGAAACAAATCTTTCTGATTACTCCACCCTCATCTGGTAAACAGTTTTAGTGCATATTGTTTTTGGTAAGAGCATAATGTTTCCAAGACACATTATTAGCACCTTTGTGCTAGTAGAAATGTCCTCATTTGGAAGTGCCATATCCAAATTAAAGTTTAAGGGGAAGTTGAAAGCAAGCAGTAATAATAACATACATGTACTAAGGTAAGATTAGTTTTTCCCTAGTATTTTGCTGCTCTGTGAGTTATTTGCTAGCTTCTTTCAGGTAATGCATGGTGGCAAAGTTAATAATTAATGAGAGTAGGTACATGTAGTTGAATTATGGGATAGTCATTGAGAAAAAACAATGTGCAAATTAATCTGATCACATGTGTTGTGGACATCTTGATGTAAAATATGATTGTAGAATGCATGTGGCCAAAGATTTACCTGAAAGCCTGTCTAAGGGTAAGGTTTCTTATGAGATTTGCCAGGGAATTGGTTTAACTTGTTTTGTATTGTTTCAGTGTGTGTGTTGGTTGGTAGCTTAGATTAATGTGATGTAGGTTTACAAATGCAGGATGGTTTTTACTAATCCTTGTTTGAACAGAGCCCTTTAAAGGGTGACATAACAAACTAATCCATCTTCTCTATTGCAAGATGCAGTTATGCACAGTTTAGTTTAGTGTTAGGACTCATCTAACAATTTCCTCTTTAAAAGTTGTAAAATTATAGTGATCAACAGCCATTTGCCAGCTTTGGTAAATATACCAGGTTGTTATGAACATTACACCATTTCAGACAAACAAAAGCTGCCTTATTTTATAATTGAAATAATGTAGCTTTCTAGATTTATGGTTAGTTCTGCTACTGTTCTAAGACATCTAGTCTTCCCCCAGCAGTATAAAAATTTGGATGAAGCAGGCGCCTAGAGAGCTCAGGGCCATGTTTCACTAAAGTTTTCATTCTATCATGAGCTCAAATAATTAATTTTTTGTATATGTAATTGTGAAGAATAATAGTGAGGGTCTTTCTAAATAACCAGGGCATTCTGTTTGGTTTTCATAATTGTTTGATGTTCAAAGCTGTCACTGCCTTGATCTGAGATGAAAGCAGACAAATAGAAATCAGCTTTTTGGCCCATTAAGTTACTGGGTGTTCTAAGGAACAGACTCCTTGATCGATTTTAATCTCTTTTATAACTGCATCAGAGCAAGAGGAAAGCAAATTAGCTGGCACAGTGCAGATATAAGGTTATACATGCAGATGGCTAGGGCCTTATTGGCAGATGAACCTAATAGCTAATGCAATAGAAATATATCTTATATATCCATGTAGGTATAGGGAAAAATTAATGCATACATGTATTACCTTATTATAAAGATATTCTTCAGCCTAAGGTTGTTCAACCTGTGACTCCCAGACTTGACTCATAACAGTTTTGTTTTGTTCACTCTCTGGCCAAATGATGATGAGAATGGTGAAATTGTCTAGACTTCTTCTATATTCCTTAAGAATTAGAAATTGTAGAAAACTGTAGAAATTTTGTATCCTTTCTAGACATTATTTGTGCCTGACAAAAGACTGGAAAAAGGTCCAGATGGAGATGAATTGACTTCTGCTCCAATCACCAAACCCCCACAGCCACTTGTCATCAAGGTATTGAATAAAGGTTGTTTGATCCTTAGTTATCACATATTGAGGGAGTTTATTTGGTTTCATCCTAGATCAGAGAAGTCTCTGGCTAAATTTCAGTGGTTCAAGTAATTTTTTTTCAGATGTGAAGAAGTTCACTTGTTTCTTTTACACTATTCTTTGATCTTTCTGAATGGAAACCCTGAAGACAATGTATGTCTGTTGTTGCTCAAGATAGGCAGAATGTGATTTACATGTATGGTGGACTACTCTGCCAGTCAGAGTTGAGTTGCATGAGGCTAATAAGACCTTGGTTTTGTCCTGAGAGTGTACATTGTAGCTCTTGCATTGTTGTCAATAAGTTATGTCATACATGTATTTTGCTATGCCTACCAGTTGATGTGTTCCTGAATGCCATCAAAAGGAAGAAAAAACCTTCCACAGAAGAGAAGGGGTTTCTTTAGTTTCCCCATTCACCTGTGAGGAGAAAACAGTGAATCTATGCAACTCAGTGAGACAAAGGAAAGCAGTTTACTATCACAGAGGGTACTAAAGTGTGTTCTCAACATTTAGAAGGAATGCTGCACATTGACAAATAAAGAGGCTGAGCACACACTGTTAACTCACATGTACATGTATGAATGAATTGTCAATTCTTTGTCTTGTTGTTGTCAGGAGAATGGTGCATCTCACAGAGGGGAGCAGGAGACAGTCAAACTCACTAAAGATGTGTCCTGGGAAGAAGAAGAGGAAGAAGTCACTGAGCATTATTTGAAGATTTATGCAAAATACATCACTGATGGCCAGGTATGGGTGTTCTCTTGACTACAGGTTTTCTATTTTATGGTATGATTTACAGCATTTAGTTAATTTTAAACCCAGGGGTGATTAACAATTAACTTTTAACAAAAATCATTTTATAATATTACAATAAATTAAATAACCTTTTCAGCTCTTAACCCTTTAACTCCCTTGGGTGACCATGACAGAATTTCTCCTTACAATATCAATACATTATCAAGCACCCAAGTGATGGGAATAAGAAATACATCAGTAAGGGAAGTGTTAACTGATCCAATAGCAAATTCATTGAATTAACATCATAAGAATCGTATGGCAGACAGTAAGGAGAATTACTAACATGATCTTGGGTGTGGAAGGGTTAATTTGCTTACATCTAGCACCACAATATCTTAAATGTTGAATAAGCAAATGTAAGTGTATTAGCTGTGAAAGAGAATTACAATACAGATATTTGGAGTTAAGAGGTTAACATTACAGAATCTTTAGATACAAGTAGAACAAGTGATGAATGTGAAATGAGTTAACACTTCACTGGAATCCCTTTCTTAACACTTTCTGCATTCCCTGCTAATTAACCCTTTAACAGCCAAGATGTGATTGTTAACTCTCCCCCTCTAGCTGCTACACATTTCCTTGTAAATCAGTCATGAGAATTTAGTGTAAGATCAAGATATCAACTTCTACCAGCTGATAAGTTGGAGTTTTCTCATTACCTGTTTGAAGGATAATATATGGATATTATAGGGAGAAGTTCAATGTTAATCACATCTGGGAGTTAAATGGTTCAGAATGTTCCATGCTATACCCAGAACTTGAAGGCATTTGCCAGTTGAGCTGTAGGAATAATATTATCACTCCATAAATACAATGAACAAAGTTGATCATTGTTGAGTGAAGTCTTAATTCTGTCAACACTTCTCTATAGGGTATTGCAAATGGTGTTCTTCTCATTACACCACATTCAGTCATGTTCAAGCCGAACGTATCAGACCCACTTGTGATGGACAGAGGACTGGATACATATGGTGTAGGGACGCTTATGACATCTGTGACAAGTGCTGCCATGTACACAGACATTGCTGCCATGGCAATTCATGACCCCCTTAAACCTGGAAAGTAAGTACTTTCTCTTAGTAAAAAAGTTACATGTAGCCTCAGAGGTGATGGTTTTATTAAGTTCGTGTTGCTCTTCAGCCCCTCGCACCCTAACATCAAGATCCATATTCTCCTCACTCTTCTCCATACTTTCCTTTGGTACTGACAAGGAGAATTTGTTTAACGATCAAAGTTTCGTAGGTTGGCGATTTTCCTTTATTCTTTTGGTCTTATTCCATGATTCAGCTGTGTTACTGTGAGGAGAAATCAGTTGCTGGTCTCTAAGGGTTTAAGGGTCAAAGACAGTATACATCGCTTCATGTATTACCTCTGAACTCTAAGATTGCAGAAAAACACTTAAATATTTTCTTTTATCATTTAAACGTATTTGTTTGATTCCAGGGTCTTTTGGCACTGAATTATGACTTGTTATCTCATACCCAGCTCACCGTTTCAGAAATGAATCCTTTGTAATTTTCTTAATCAAGGTTGCCGAAAACTTAAGAGTTGAACCTCAACACTCAATTACTGGTTTCCTAAGATTTACAATGTAAAAGTCAAGTCCCAACTGATAGCGCAATTTTCACTTCAGTGTTAAAACAAAACCATTGGTTTTGCCTTACTTCACTCTCTGATTGGTCCAAAAAATTCAAGACATTCCCTCGACCAATCAGAATTAAAACTAAACCCAATCACGACTTGGTCGCCTGCGTTTTCCCGCGCTTTAGGCAGTGTGGTTGCTTTGACTTTTGGTTTGATTTTACGACGCTTAATCAGAAAGCACTCTTAAATGCTTGTGTTTTGGTAAACTGCAGTTGGAAAATGGTTGAAATTACTGAGAACTCAAGTGTATTTCTTTTTCAATTTGTCAGGTTTTACTTAGATGCTGCCACAGCAGAATCACTTAGTCGTCAAAATAGCATCGACGTAGAAACCGCACCTCTTACAATATGTAAAAATGGCGGTAAAGTTTGTACAAATCTGGATGAGGACACGGACCCGTTGTCATCAGTTGATATCTCACACATTTGCGCGTGCAGTGTTTCAAACTTTATTCCTGTATCAACTGATGAGGATGTGAAAAATGCTGTTCGGGAAATTATTGAAAGAATTGTTAATCAAGTCGCTGATTCGGAGAATATTCACCATCTGCCAGAAAAGACAGAAAAATCTGTAGGAACTCCATTGCTTCTTCAAGGAAGTCCTGCAAGGGGATATATGCACTCAGTGTCGCCGGCATCAGAGGATTCTGGCATAGGGTGTTCTATGGGTCATGCGGATGACTCCAAAGCAGTAGAACCAGAATTGGCGGACCACGCTGTTCATCAAGGACTGGAGAACCAGTTGAATGATTCTGGCGATGCACGAAGTTCAGTGAGCAGCAATGTAGTTGAACCTGATGAAAATAGACCAGATGAAGAACATTCGAGAAACTCTCCAGCAAGTGTCGATGGGGAGCTCGAACATTCACGCTCCACGTCGTTGTTCGCTGCTCTTAGCAGTAATGTGAGGTACTGGCTTGGACAAGAAAATTGTGGAATAAGTGGTGAGTTCATACTTTGTGCAGTTAGCTGGAGATTTCGCCCCTTTACAACCTCACCGCCTTCTAATTTGTCCCTCTCCCGGCAAATCGGGTAGCTTTGTCAAATATAACTTTTTCTTTCCCGCCTTTAATTGTCTACCCTTGAATATAATCATGTTCAACAAGTCGGAGATTTAGGAACAGACTGGTAAAGGTGTGAGAGAACTTGTTGTATTTGATGTGAAGCACTTTTCCTTATGTGAGCAAACTTGGAGGAGACGAACGTTTATTGGCACAAAACACGAAAGTCCCAACCAGAAGGAGCAGCAATACTTACGTTTTTTTACTCCATTTAACTGAAATCGACACACTGTTGGTCGACCCATTCATTGTTCGCACAGTATCAAGACCTTGACTCTTTACAGATACTGTTTGAGAACACTCGAATTGAAAAATTGTTTATGGCGTTTTGTTGGTACCTCTGTGATATTTCAGTGTTTTTCCCAATCAGACAACACGGTGATCCGGCTAGGGATCAAACCTAGAACGGTTTATTTAGGGTTCAGCGCGCTGACCGTTATGGCCCTGCGTGTCTCACATAAATACTAACACTAATTTTACTGTAGTTTTACCTGAAGAAAATTTAGCGGGCGCGTTGGTAATGAATTTTCTAACTTTTTCAGAGCGCCAGGGCAGTGAGAGCGATGAGGATGTTTTAGTGCCGAAGCCTGCCACTTCTTTCAGCAATCAGCCCCTCTATCTGTGCTTGAGAATCAGTAAGAAGCATTGGTGTCGGCATCAGGGCATGTTCGGATCGTTTCCTGAACAAGGAGAACAGCTTCAAGACAGAGACAAAAAACGAAGGGAATACTGGTTCGCCATCCCACCATCAAGGTATTTAACTTAAAATCCCAACAATTTATGTCCTCTTTCCATGAGTTGTTTAAACACGAATGCGCGCTATACCAGCTTAAATGCAAATTAGGCGGTGGTAATATCACACGGTGGCGAAGTGAATCATTTCGAATTTCAAATTAACTGCCACAAAAGAAGAAGGTTTGGATTAAAGGAAATAGATGCAAACCTCAACAAATTCTTTCATCGTGATGAAAACGAAGAAACTTATCAGAGCTTTTTAGAAATCTGCCGGCTGTTTACTCGCTTTGGATCGGTGGCCGCAGCTCAAGCTGTTTTGAATATAGAGGTCTGAATGTCACGACGGTTGATCAACAAATGACCCAGAGATACCTAAGGCATCTCTCCTTTTTACAGCGCGCCTTGGAGTTTTAAGGTATAACAATTGGTACAGAGTTTCCAAACACATCAATCAAATAAATGCTTTGTTGGTTCGTTCATTATGCTTCATACAGTCACGCCTCACCAGCCGACCGTATTGCCTCAAGAAGTTTTGTGGCTGTTGTTAACCCTTTAACTCCCAAGATCTGATTGTTAATTCTCCCCTCTAGCTGCTACACATTTCCTTGTAAATTAGTGACAAGAATTTGGTGTAAGATGATGATAATAACTACTATTTGATAACTTTGAGTGTTCTTATCACCTGTTCGCTGGGTTTTGTATGGAAATTATAGGGAGAAGTTACATGTTGATCACTTCTGGGAGCTAAAGGGTTAAGTCATGTGGTTTTTATCTCGATTACGTACCAATTCTCTTAACTAGTTTACAAGGAATTGAATGTAGTCAGAGAGGAGAATTGAACATCAAATCTCAGGCTTATTCTTTAGGTTATCAAAATCATGGAGTTTCTGTTCGTGGGTATAAATGTGTTTTGGATCCGACTCATAGTTGTTTCAGCCCAAGGGTTAAAATGAGTTCTGAGTTGTGCCCAGTACATATTTGTGCCCGCGAACGTAAACTGCATCACTATTATTATCACCTTAGAGTGTACTGAGTTAATAAAAACTTTAAAAAAAACTTACCAGGAAACATTCTGAACAATCACGCAAGTGTTTTAGCTTGTCAATATCCCCATTTCAGCCCGCAAGATGCGCCAAAATACCTTACAAAGTGTCTTTTTTTTAACTTAATTTCCCTTTTTCAACTACAGGACAGAGCAAGTGTACAGGTTCTTTCAACAGTGGTGCCCCAACATCCACAATGCAACAGATGAAGAAAGCGAAGATGACGAAACAACTTCACCAATCTGCATGGCAACGGAGGAAGAGGTAGATTAATATGGTGCATTCGATATTTCAATTCATTACGTTAACTACAGCCCTGAAAGTACGTTGGAGATGGCAGTGTCATTAAGTGGCTAAAGAGTTCAAAGTTTATGCAGCGATTGAAGGTGCAAACCCGTCTTTGAAGAGGAATAATTGAAGCAGTTTGTCCTGCCTAGTAGTAGCTTGAGCACCCAACAGTAATCTGAGAGCAAATAATGAGTTCGACTTCATTACACTGATCCAGAATATTCTCTCGCCGCGCTAGTCACTGTGGTGTGTGATTGGTCTTTAAACTCGGGCCGCCGTCTCAACCAATCAGATACAAAAACTTAAAACCAATTGCGATTTAATCACTATCATTGCGCTCTGGGCAATTTTTTTGTGTCATCTTTGAGTTGCTATTGACTCCTAGAAATATATTTTTTGTCCCGTGCTATATCTAGGTACCACTGAAATGGATTTGTCTGTTTTAATCGACCTTACCCGTCTAGGAATTGAGATTAAGCTTATACTTGACTTTCTGGCACAGCACGGGGGAGGACGGTTGCTAATTTGTAAATGACTCTCTTTTTGCAGGGGTTACATCTAGTGGAATCGTTTTATTCTAATAGTCCGCCTGCTCGTTCACATGGCAAAGTAAGTAAGACGTGGTATTTTTTCTCCTTCGTGTGCTCATCCATTCACTCTTTCGTATCTTATTTTTTCAGTTCATTTGTTTGGCCGTTCGTTCTTTCGTTTCTTCGTCCCTTCGTCCCTTCGTCCCTTCGTCCCTTCGTCCCTTCGTCCCTTCGTCCCTTCGTCCCTTCGTCCCTTCGTCCCTTCGTCCCTTCGTCCCTTCGTCCCTTCGTCCCTTCGTCCCTTCGTCTCTTCGTCTATTCTTCTCTTCGTTCCCTCGTTCCTTCGTTCTTTCGCTCTTCCTTTCCTGCGTCCCTTCGTCCTTTCGTGTTTGTTTCTTTCATTTCGTTTGTTCGCGCAAAAAACTGTAGATGTCAGATGTATATGTATATTGAGCTTTGTTTCCTGTGGGGATCAAAAACTTCTAAGAGCAACCGGTGACAGTGATCAGATGTAAGAAAGGTTTTTGTTCGTTCCTTCTTTCGTCGTTTCGTTGCTTTGCTTACCTAGTTGGTTGGTCAGTCGTTCATTCGTCCAATGAATCTTTCCAGTCGCCGTAGTCCAAATAAGTGCTGTTGTTAACGTATTATTTGTTGTCAACAGTTGTCAAGAGCACTCAGCGACAGCGAAGTTCCCAAAGTCAAGAAAGGCCTTCGAAGATTTGCAGCCAAACCTGGAAAAGCTGCAAAAGTGAAGTCAAGGTAGAGATGTACTCTAAGTCTTTTCTGTTTAATTCTAGCTTTCAGCTATAGTCTTAAGCTAGCTGTCATTTGTCCCTGGCTTAAGGCTACAGCAGTAACACAGCGGTAAAACGTAAAGCATGCGCAAGGGGATAAGTTCTGGCCAGCCGCAGGCCAATTTCCCGCGCAAAATTTTTAAAGGAAAATATTTCTAACAGCAACTAAATCTCGATTTTTCGTGCACGAAGCTTATTTAATTAAAAGTTTCCTGCTGATTTTCCATTTTGTTTTAGGCTTTACCAAAAGAGTTCTACGGTTTTCAAACGTAACTTAATTGCTTGAGTGGTTGTTCATAAGACAATCTAATTTTACTACCTTGTAGGGTCGTGAGCAGATTACCTGTGCTTCGTAAGATTCAGTTTCATTGATAGTGGTCTCATTTTTCCTTAGTCCCAAATCACCTGCTTCCTTCCTCATTGAGGACGTGTTACCGGATATGGACTGTAAATCAGAAATGCTTAACGAGGAGCATTTGAGAAAAGTAAGATTCTTTGTCTGATTGTTTGCCTTCGTCAGTTCGTTACACTTGTGTTTGTTTTCTGTCTTTGTGTTATGTGTACTCTACTCTCTCGAGCCAACGCTGCTCACCGTTCCGCGAAGTTTCCTTAAAAAAAACTGCGATCTTCTTTGGCCAATTGCAGTTTCCAAACCAATCGCACCCGTGCGAAGATATTTGGTGGTGTGATAATTTCCAAATTCAAACAAGTAGAAGATTCCGCGTTCTGTTGGAAAAGTTCAGTGTATTTTGACATTGCTCTTTTAAATTGCCTAGTTGAACAGCACACTTCCCTCGAGGACCATTGGGCATTGCTGGGCGTTAGTGTACAGTACGTTTCAACATGGCTTCTCCCTCAAGACGCTGTACCGTAAGATGGAGTGTTACGACACACCAGTGCTACTTGTGGTTATGGACGATGCGCAGCATGTAAGTGGCTCCTCGCTTCCTGATAGCTATGGGGCTAGTAGAACCTTCCACTTGAGTAAGAGGGAAAAAGGTTCGATGCTTATCGAGTTAGCTCCAAGTTAAATTTCTTTCAACATGGCTATTTGGCGACGTAAAATCATGTAGGGTCGTTAGAAATGAAATTCAGTCGGTAGACAAAGTCTCGAATAGAGATTTTGTGTAACGTTACAACGTGTTTTGAGGTTATGTTTTTTTAACTTTATGCCAAAAACACTAACCCGTTGACCCGTAAGAGTGACTAGCATCTAATTTCTCCTTATCATATCATCCCTGAATCACATTAAGGTCACGAGAGTGAAGGAAGTGATGACCAGCTGCAGAAGTTCTTGATTGTTAAATATATTCTCCCAGTCAACACCTTAGGAAATGTATGAAGAACAGTATGGAGAATATGCACATTGATGTCAAGATGTTTAGAATTAAAGTTTGCTCTTATATTTTTTCGGTTTGTTCTTAAATCGCAACAAGACTAACTTCAGCTTCCTTTGTTCCACTTCGGGGCGTGCGAAAAATACATATATGCAAACGCTCTTTTTCGTTTTATTAACACTATTTTTATTTCTTTTAGATTTTCGGTTCGCTATGCTCTTGTCCATTCAAAGTTAGTGAAGGATTTTATGGCACAGGAGAGTCTTTCTTGTATAAGTTTGAAAATAATTCTCTGAAGGTTAGTTCATTACTCTTGTCAACTGTTCAGCCGGTGAATATTTGTTCTGAAACTAAACGAGCTCTTTCTCGAATTACTACAGCGATCTGAAGTACTCCTTTCGTATGACCTCGAGGTCTTTCTAAAGCGGCCTGTTCCAGGCGTTTAGTTAGTAAAACGGAGCGTGGTAGTGAATGGTGTGATTTCAGGGAGAGGAGTGAAAAACCGAGAGAGGCTTGGGTCCGGGCGCGACCCGGCCCAAGCTTCCCTCGTTGTTCGCTCCGTTTTAACCCTTTAACCCTTAAGAATGACTGGCAACTAATTTCTCCCCACAAGATCCCCCCCTGAATAAAACATTAAGGTCATGAGAATAAAGGAAACGATCAACAACTAAGGAAGCTCTTGATTTCTGAACAAATTCTCCTTTCAGAACCTTAACAAATGTACAGAGAAAGTATGGAGAATATGCATACTGATGTTATGTAAAGGGTTAATAACTTAAAGCCTGGAACAGGCTACTCCTCAAGCGACTCTCTTAACTTTGTTAACTTTTAGGAAATCTCGAGTGGATCCCGAATTTATGATCAAATTGCATTCCCGACAATAGATCGTACAGAATTATGATCAAATACTAAGAACTACGTAAGGTCAAAAAACAATGGATCAATATCAGTATCTGGGCAACTGCCTACCTACCCCTCTCCTAACCCAACATTAACCCTAACTTGTTATTAATAGACTGTTGTTGGGTTAGGGGAGGGGTAGGTGGGCAGTTGCCCAGCTACTGATATTGATCCAATAGTTCTTAATCGTTGACGGCGTAGTCCTTTGTCCATAGACAATTGTAAATGAATCCATCCTATCAGTAATCAGTCATTTCGTTTTTCTGTGAGGCAGCGAGTTGTTTTTAGCTTCCTGGTGGCCCTTTTTTTGCTTCCTGAAAGCCTGATTTCCTTCTGTTCTTTAGTCAGTCAATCGTCATTTACAGTCTAGTGGCGATGTATTGAGCAAGCGCGCTAATCGCGCTTTACACCATTTCATTTGCCTTCTTGACATTCACGCGCCACTCCCTCTTTGTTGCAGATATTTGCCTGGACTGGAGAAAACAACTTCTTCATCAAAGGGTCAAAGGATAGTTTGGCCATCGGCAGTGGAGGGTAAGACCATAAACGACGCAAATTAGAATATTGGATCAAAGAGCACCGCCCGTGAACAAGCGTCGTGTTGCTTATTGAGCCTTTGTCCCCTAGGAGTGACTAGCATCTAAATTCTCCTTACATTACCAGCCCAGAATTACACATTAAGGTCATGAGAATTAAGGAAATGATCACCCACTGAAGAGGGTTGGGATTGTTAATCAAATTCTCCTTGTCAGCACCTTAGGAAATGTATAGAGAACAGTATGGAGAATATGCATACTGATGTTAGGGTGCAAAGGCACATAAAATTGGTTCTTCTCATTATCACAATAGCTTTCGTGGTGAAGTCTTCAAAAAACAATTTTTGTGGGAGCCTTGGGATCTCTTGAGAGGTGCTCTAATTAGGCCAATTGCGTTGTTCTGATATGTTATCTGCTTTCTGCAGTGGAAACTTTGGTCTGTGGTTAGATGGAGACCTCTATCACGGTCGCAGTCATCCCTGCACGACATTCAACAACGCGCAGCTTTCCTGGAAAGAAGACTTCCTCTGTAGTGGACTGGAGGCCTGGACGTTCGTGTGATTTCCAACCCGTTCTCCTTCATGCAGCACCAACCCACTCTTGTCTTCCAGTGCCTTTATGGAATTGTGGGAATCAGTGATGTGGCTTATCAAACCCTCATTGCAACTTTATTAACCCTTTAACTCCCATGAGTGACCAAAACATAATTTCTCATCACAATATCAAAATAATATCAAGCAGACAGGTGATGAGAATAGAGAAAAATATCAATTAGGGGATTACACGAACAAGTTGATTAAATACCACATTCTCCAAACCACCATCATAGAGATTGTATAGTAGACAGTCAGGGGATTTTCTAATGAGAGCGTGGGAGTGAAAGGGTTAACGTAGATTTAAGATCTGCAGATGTGAATGCGAAACATGATTAATGCACTGAATGCTATTCATGCGCAAAACACCAACTTGCTGGGGGCAGGCTCGTTGCGAACAATACGGCGGTCAAACGTCTGCGTGTGTGCAGTTGCTGTAATGGTGCGGTGGCGTGCTCTCTTGTAGCCTCACTAGACTTAAAAAACAAAAAACTCACAAGCTAGATCATTGTTTAATCGATAGGAAACCCATGATTGAACAAGCATTGTGTTAGAGAAGTCGAAATTTTTCCTTACCTAATTTTTATAACTTTTACAAATCTTTCAGTGAAAGTTTCATTTTTTGTTTTGTTTTGTTTTTTTGTTTTTTTCGCTAATTTACGTCAGTTATGTTTTCTTTCTTAGATTTTGCGCGGGAAATTGGCGCGGGGCCGGCCAAAAATTGATCCACTTGCGCATGCCCAACGGTTGACCGCTGCATTGTTGTGGACAGAGCTGCGACAGTAAGAGGGAAGCTTATGTCCTAAGCAACTTTTTGCACACTTTAGGTTGTTGTTGCTTTCTCGTTCGAGCTTGCAGGTGAATTCTTCTTTGAAGAACCACATTGAAACAAACATAAGATATTTATGTGCTTTTTCATTTGTTCCGAAATCGTTGGGGATTTGTGTTTGATCGGTGAGCCGCGTACTCCTTGCTCAACGATCACGCATCAATCCAGCTACGTTACGGTTGTAGCATCATTAAAACACATTTATACTAATCCGTCGTAATCTTCTTCATCTTTGGTCAACCTGATTTTTTCTTGGATTATTATTGCATCTTTCGCGTTTCTTTATCGTGACGATACAACATTTTCCATTTTCCTTCAAATTGAGGTAGTGTTAGACTTGGTTAAGAGAAAAGGTTAGGAACTTTCCACAGTCTACCTAATGAGTGGCAGACAAGTTAACTTGCGAGAGCTTGGGACTAGTGTTAACCAGGCTGTTAGCCTTACCGGGCATGTCTTGATCACGTGCTTTTATTCTGTCATCAGCCTTAGTTGTGGTTTGATATCTTCATTTAGGGTTTTGATTCTGTTTAAAGACTTGTAAATATACAAGAAAAAATTGGATGGTGTTCATCGATAGCCTTTTCGTTAGATTTAAGACGAGATGTTAATTTATTAAAAGAGAGGATAAAGTGAAAAAGATATGTAATTTTAGAATAAAAATTAATATTGTTACTCATGCTTGGTTTCTTGTGGTTTCTCCACTTTATCTCCTCTCGCTCCCGCCTTATCAAACATTTTCGAAAGGATCCACGAATTTTTTGAAAATTTCTGTTTTATTTTTTCGAATGAGCGCCCCTGTCTGGTCGAGAGGATAAGAAACCAACTGGTTTGAATCCGAGTAAAACGGTACATCGTTAAGTCTATGTTCCTATTGGCAGAAGAACTGTCGTCAGTAATCAGGCCGGTGATGGTAATTAGGAAGCTTTGAGAATAGAAAGTAACACAACGTTGTGACCGAGCAAAAGCCTGAAACGAGAACGGCGTCATTGCGATCCATTAATTAGGAAACGTCTGGAAAAGGACCAATCGCGAGCCAAGGATATTTTGACTCCTTGTTGGCAGTATGGTCACCAAATTTACGACCGTACCGCAGACAAGGAGCCAAAATGATCCTGGGCTCGATATCGGAAAAGGACTGCTTTGGTTACGCCAGCGGAAGAACGCAACATTGGGGCAGACCGGCAACGACATAACGATAAAAAGTTACCAATTAGTTCCTACGAACTAAAGGTATATCATGAGATTGGTCCGAATCTTTACTCTCATGATGTCTTCCTTAAACTACGCAAAGTTACGGTTCTTTTCCACTGAAATGCAATGGTGACCCTGCGATATCGATCTGAAATAAAATCTTTACGGGCCTCACTCAAGATATTTACTACGCCACTTCTTTACGCTCGATAGTTGGAATAACTCGGTCAGCATTTGCATTTAGCTTCTAAGTTTGTTTTCATATTTTTCTTCACTATCGAACAAAGCAATGACTTCCCACTCTCACTTCTCAAGAAGAGCGAAAACTGAATTAGTCATTAGTAAGAGCGTCACGTGTTGTACAAGTCTGAACGTGACTTCGGCGATGACGCGGTGTTGGATCATGCGAGGAACTTAAAAGTCTTAATAGCCTGCGGAAGAGCCACTGCCATTTTGAACTGAAGAGCGAAACACACGAAGTGAGAAACAAGCGAGAGGAACATTATTTTCATGTCTTTTTTCATTTTTTCGTTTAGTTGCGCGCCTCCCTCATGCGCCGCTTCCTTTTGCGTTTTTGAGGCGAACTGAAAGGCGAGAACTATGCAAAATACACGCGAGAGGAACAATATGTTCGTGTGTTCCTTTTTCATTAATTCAGGCGTCTCCCTTTCGCGCATATCTCGCTCCTCGCATTCTCCACTCTCTTGCCTCTACTCGCCTCAAAAAGGCTAAAAATGACGCCTGCACTGAAGCCTATGCGAAACACTTAAACCCTTTAAGGAATGACTTGCTATAGTAGAAAGTTTCTTCTGACGTGACCTTAGAACGGCTGTAAGAAAGCTCCATCTCGCATTCCTCATAAAGTGCACCAGTGTCACGATATCATATTTCCGCTTTCGTGATTTGTGAGCAGACTCTCGCGCTGAGGCACGAGAGGTGAGGACCGCGAAATTCCAGCCGGCGAGCGAGGCGAGCGCGCGAGAAGTCTGTGAGGGATCAGGTCGTAGAACTTCTCGCACACTTGCTCGCTTGCTGGCTCAAAACACGTCAGCCTCACCTCTACTGTCGCCGTAGTAACAAGATCCTTCTCGCGGTTTCGTAGGATTTCGTTATTCGTCGTGAAGCATGCGCAGATGAGGATTGAAAGAGGAAAAAATCGCTCACTACCTGACAAGCTGATATCTGCTCTGATCTTCGTCATTTAGTGCTGCAAAAATGGCTAAAATGGTGATGTTGGCTTCTCCCACAATAATTCCTGTATTGATGTCGCTGTTCTTACAGGTTAGACTTAAAATATACATCAAAGTATTTCGTAGCAGTCGGTCGTAGTCAGGGTGCAAAGACCGACTTGGCGCTGAGCCTTGTTTATCTTGCATACGTGGCATGAGTAGAGTATGCACTCTTCTCGTTCTTTAACCTAAATCGACGTCTCTCACTATTGTCTGCAATCAGGAGCCCATGTCTGCAACTCAAAATGGACTGAATTTCCATAGCCTGCTTAAGCTGTCTAAACACAGCGGATCAGATCGGCCACTGATCGATTTGGGAGAAGTGAAACCGAATGCAAAGTCCACACGTGACCGGAAGTGGACATTCTGTTGCATTAGATCAACAGATATGCCAAAGTAATCTTAGTAGCGAGAAAAAGATAGCATATTTAATATCTAGGGGACGAGTGTCAAAACGAGTGTCTTTCCAGTCATTGCTTATTTTTCTCCCTTTTCTGTGGTAAAAAAAGAATCGCAAAGTCACGGTATTGGGAATACGATGATCACTATAGCCCGGAGATAACCGCTATTTCGAATGTGTCACGGTCTGTAACACACTTGTTAAGAATCTCGCACATTAAAACTGTGAATGGCGGTGAATGATAAAGATTTTCCAATCCAGAAGCTTCGCTTTCTTCTTCAATTAAATCCCTGCCAATTCAAGGACTACCTCACGATTTTCCTGTCGTGAAAAATTTTGCGTAGAGTATTCAGACGTGTTATATGGAATTCAAATTCCTCCATGTTCTTACCGGGAAAATTCTTCTTTTCTTTCATTGCATTTACTCTAAGTCATGCTTTAGAGGTCCTTCAGGATGATTATTTATTACGCGATTTGTAACGTCAACGACAAAGCTTATAATTTTTCGGTTTTATTTCAGGTTAATTCATACGGTGACATCATAAAGAATCACACCAAGGGTTATTGTGTGTGGTACGATCAATGTACAACTGGGGACAAGCCGAAGAATTGCCTTTACAATGGACCGGCCAAGAATTTAACCAATCCAAAAGGTGTGCAGATATTGAACAGTTTATGCCCAGAATTGAGGGATCAACCAACATGTTGTTCAACCAAACAACTGCAATCGTTGGATAACAATTTGAAGATGTTCATTCAACTTACCGGTCGTTGTCCCGCCTGTTGGAACAACATGAGAAGGCTGTATTGTCAGCTTACCTGCAGTCAGGATCAGTCGCTTTTCCTGGATCCAACTGTGGTGTACCCATTTACACCATCGCCTTCTATTAAACAATATATCTTGGAAGTTCAATATTTTGTTTCACCTCAATTTAAACAGGGTCTGTTCGACTCCTGCAAAGACGTCACTTTTCCTGGAAGCAGCGAGAAGGTTTTGAGTCTCCTTTGTGGTACTACCGCCGAGCTGTGCACTCCAGATAAACTCCTTCGATACATGGGAAGCCCAATCAATGGATATGCTTCATTCACTGTCGATTTTCCTGACAATCTAACTTCAAATCTTTCATGGATGAACCAAACTGTTTTTAAGTGTAACAAGCCATTTATAGATCCCCAAACAAACAGGACAGCAAGTGTTTGTAGTTGCCAAGACTGTGCTGCAAGTTGTCCAGTGCGAAAAGAACGACTGACCATCAAATCCACTCACCCTTCACCTGCAGGATATCATCGATACGCAGATGATAAGTGGATTCCATTTGGTCCAATCTTTCACTTGGAGCTGTTAAATCAGGTAAGGATTCCCACTTGGGAATCACCGGCAAAGTTATCAGGGAACTCATCTGACAATGGCAGTAACAGTTACAACCATAGACACTTGCAAGTGACAGTTCTTACGGTATAATATAACCGACACAAAGTACACTATACTCCTTTTAACTCAACTACTTAATTTAACGACGTGTAATATTCATACTTAGGAGCGCCTCCAGCAGACAATAAAGCAATTATCCTTAATAAACTTACTTAAGCCCACTGTGCACAAAGACTTAGCTCTCTGCTGACAAAAATTCACGGTTTCCTCCAAAGTTCCCTAGATGAAAAATCTCCGCAGTAGTTTTCTCCCGGTATAGCTTTCCAGACCGTCGGTCGCTCCCGACAACAACAACAACTAACCAACTACCACAGCGCTGACTTCTTATATACATTTACAACTATTTCGAGAATATTCCGGAAGCTTACAGAACAACTATTTTGGTAGCGTAACATCTTAAATACGTGACCTATTACAACGTTCTGGAAAGTTCCATGTTATACATGTCAGCATGACTAGGCACTCTTGAAATTTCTAGATATTTATCTTGCAGGTATTATCCATAACACAGGGACGGGGATAGTGGCGTAGTCATTGACCGTTACATTATCAATGACTATGCCATTATCCTTAACCCGTGACAGTGACAATGACAGCTTGTGACCGTGACAGTGAAAATGACTGCCTTTAGCGTGATACTGACAGTGACGGTGACTTTGAGGGTGACGGTGAAAGTGATAATGACAGAGACAGATTAGGGTGAATTTGGCGGCGACAGTGACAATGGGTGAAATAAAATTAACTTCGTTGAAAATAAGTGGCAGTGAGGGTGACAATGACAGTGACTTCGACTGTGCTCTTCACTTAGGCCTTGGAGCTTCAAACTGCGATCTCCACTATGAAGGTACTATTTGAGAACTCAACCATTACCTTAGAGGACATTTGTCAAAATTCGACAGATCACCTGCCATTTGCTCCACCAGTGACCGAGCGATGTGAAATCCAAAGTGTTTTCCAGTATTTCCAGAACAACAAGACGAGGTTAAATAAATGCCTCACCAGCATGGGTTGGAATTGCAGCTATGGACACAAATTCGATTTCAAATTCGCTGACTTCCATGATCACCTGTTATTTTGCATGAGGTAAGGAAGACATTATGATCCTGCTGTTGACCGCGGTCAATTTTTCAACAAACGCTTGACAAACAAACAAACAAAAGACAAACGGAAAATGAAAACAAAAGAAAAGTAGCACAGTCTTCGAATTTAGGTTCCCAGTGGTACGCTAGTGTTTCGTTAAAAGAAAAAAAATATGAAAAAATAGATAAAGGAGAAAAAAAAAGAAACAGGTAAAGCGAAAAGAAAATATACCAAAACCCAAACAGACAAAAAACAAACAAACAAAAAGAATAAAGGAAAGAAGCAACGAGGATACAGACAGACAGATAGAACAAGAAAGAAAAAGCAGATCAATATCAGTATCTTGGCAACTTCCCACCTACCCCTCCCCTAACCCAGCATTAACCCTAACTTGACTGTTTCCCAGATACTGATACCCAGCATTAACCCTATAATTGCCGAGAATCTTTGAATTAAAATACTGGGGAGAAACTGTTTGTAGGCCCTTTCCTTCTTCTGTAACAATCGCTGAACCCTCTTTAAGTGTGAATCAAATTTGAAAGAAGATTTTTCTCGCACTAGAGGGATTGTGGGAAAAATGCTGATTATCACTAGTTATTCCCGAGTTTTCGAAGGGAGGGGGGATTGGAGTGGCGCATATTTGGTTACGGGACACGTTTACCCAAGTCACACAAAAGAAAATATCAGATGGATTATATTATATCCCTTCTTGATTCTGGTTTGCGATATTCAGTGGAAATGGGCTCTCTTTTTAGGTATCCCGCCTCGCCATTCGAAGAAATGCTTCAAGAACCGTGTATCGCAGCCTTTGGAGGTGCTGTTCTTCCGGGAGATGTGTTAGCTGGCTTTCCAAGCCCGGTGTATCACAACGCAACATCTTTGGAGATTACATTTTTGGTGAAGAATTTCCTCAAAGACAGCAAAATGGCAGAAGTGATAGCCTGGGAAAAAGCTTTCCAGCTGTACATGGAGGATTATGTGAAAAATCCTTTGCATGCCAATCTCACCATTACTTACTCCACACCAGAAATGTCTAAGGACTTTTTATACGTATGACATGTGCAAGACAAATTTCCAACTGAAAAAGGTTTAATTTGTTCTATATCACTAACTGCATGCTCATGATTTGAAAACATATTAATTTTTAAAATTTTTGGGATCTTTTAACCATAACATTAAACGTAGGATCTCTCGAAAATGTGCTAGTCTGTCCAAGACAGCTATTTTGTGGGAATAAGCGAAAAAGCCAGTCTTCGTCGCGCCAGACTTCCGCTGATTTTCGCTCCCTCGGTTTTTCGCTCGTGTCCGTTGAGCGGCAGCCCGGCTCAGGCTAAAAAGGGACATCTGAATAGAGGGGAACTTCAGGTTGAATTCGAGTGCAAAAGACGAGGCGAGTGAGAGCTGAATCTTATTCAGGTTTACCATATCTTAAAACAGTAAGACTGTGTAACCTTCCTTTACTATAATTAACTCCTAAGCCCATGCAAATTAATACAATTAAAGCTGTAATAATCCATCTTGTTGATTGGTGTTGCACATTACCCCTTCGTACATTCATTTACGCTGGAAAATTTTAGTCGGAACCTTTTGGGACTTGAGGAAGAAATGAAATCATCCAAAACTGGAGAGGCTGACGTCATTCTCCCTGGACAAAAATAAGAAGTTTAAATATAATAACAGAGATGGTAAGTTGTGAGCTCGGGAAAGATATAGAGGAAGATGTTTTTCGTTTTGTCACGAGCGACGGACGAAGAAAAAAATCTGATTCCTCACGAGGAATCGAACCTCAGACCGTCGGATTCCGCGCTCCGATGCTCTACCACTGAGCCACAGAGACTTAACGGCGTGCGAGATCTATTACGAAGTTCATATGTTACGCGTCCCGCATACTGCTAGGGTCAGTCATGTCGATAGCGTCATGTTTGTAAACAGATTAAGAAAAATGGTGTTCTATTTACGAAGTTCATATGACACTCGTCCTGCATACCATTAGGATCAGCAATGTCGATAGCGTCATGTTTGTAAACAGATTAAGAGAGATGGTGTTCTATTTACGAAGTTCATATGACACTCGTCCTGTATACCACTAGGATCAGCAATGTCGATAGGGTCATGTTTGTAAACAGATTAAGAGAGATGGTGTTCTATTTACGAAGTTCATATGACACTCGTCCTGTATACCACTAGGATCAGCAATGTCGATAGCGTCATGTTTGTAAACAGATTAAGAGAGATGGTGTTCTATTTACGAAGTTCATATGACACTCGTCCTGCATACCGCTAGGATCAGCAATGTCGATAGCGTCATGTTTGTAAACAGATTAAGAGAGATGGTGTTCTATTTACGAAGTTCATATGACACTCGTCCTGCATACCACTAGGATCAGCAATGTCGATAGCGTCATGTTTGTAAATAGAAGCCATCTCTCTTATTTTATTTACAAACATCGCTGATCTTAGCAGTATGCAGGACGCGTGTCATATGAATTTCGTAATAGATCTCGCTCACCATAGAGTCTCTGTGGCTCAGTGGTAGAGAATCGGAGCGCGGAATCCGAAGGTCTGATGTTCGATTCCTCATGAAGAATCAGAAGTTTTTCTTCGTCCCTCGCTCGTGACAAGACGAAAAACATGTTTTCCGATAAAAAGTTTAATTTTTCAAATTATATGCTGCATACAATTATATGCATTTGCCAAAAACCCCCATCCTTACCTCACCACTATGAGGGGAGGAGGGGGAGCATTTTCGAAAACATCCGAATATCATTTCGTGTAGGTTTAGGTTTGCACTGAAGGTCTACAGCTGTTTGCAGAAAGGTTGTTGGGATATGCACAAAAGTGCACACGACAACTCGGAAAAGCATTGTGGGTAGTTTTCAGGTCGCGGTCCCTTGTCCTCCGGATTCAGGAAAATCTGAGAAAACATTCCTGTAAGGAAGAGGCAAAGCGAGTTTCAGGAATTTATTTTGTTCGGAAAACTAAATCTATTTTGGAAATGTTTTGAGAATTGATGGCTCGAGAGCAATGACTGGTGATTTGAACATGAATACAAGGAGTATCACAAATCTCGAAGAACCTCAATCGTATAAGAATACCGAAAGAAAATCACGACTTTTGAAAATACAAGTCAGTAGAAATGGGGTCAAATCAAATTTTTTTTCATTCGATAGACACTGGTTGACGTTTTAATAACTATTGAAATAGCTGATGGATCATTGGATGGAATGAATTTCAACTGACTAATTTTTCATTACAAAAGTTGGAAACTGAAAAATTTTTCAACTCAATTTTATATGAAAGAAGCTGAAGCGATTTTCGATTTTATTTAATGATTGCAGTTTATATTCAATAATATTACGAGATTTTTTTTTAAATCCAATATACCCACAATCTTCACAAATGAATAAGAGTTTCACTGACGAACTTTACCGACAGACTTTATTGGTAATCATTCTTTTAAAATCAGCTTTGAATATATATTTGTAAAGATCACATGATCTCATGAGACTCTCATATGACCTAAGAACAATAGCAAAATGATGACCAATTTCCTTGGGAAAGCCTTGTGGTATCACATGTATCATTGCCTGCCATGTTTTTCTGTCACTCAATGGAAAAATGACGTGAGGTCATAGCACTAGTCTCCTGTAGTATAGAAAAATATAAAAAATAATTCCATCATATGGAAAGTAGTATAATGAGTCGGCGTTGTACGTATTACCCCTTCATATTTTCTCCTACACAAGAAAATTTTAGTCAGATTCTTTTGGGGTTTAAGGAAGAAATTTATTCATCGAAAACTGGAGAGGCTGACGTCATTCCCCTCTAGACAAAAATAAAAAGTTTAATTTTATCAATTATATACTACATACACACCCCTATCCTTCAGGGGAGGGCAGAGCGAGCGTTTTCGAAAATATCCGTCTACAGAGATCGAATATTGTTTCGTTTTGGTTTGCACTGAGGGTCTACAGCTGTTTGCATTTGCACAAAAGTGCATACGACAACTCCGAAAGGCATTGTGGGTAGTTTTCAGGTCGCGGTTCCTCGGCCTCGAGACTTCAGGGAAATCTGAGAAAACATCCCTGTAAGGAAGAGGTACAGCGGGTTACATGAATTTATTTTGTTCGCGAAACTAACTTTATCTTTGAAACTTTATGAAAAACGAAAAAAATAACGAACTGGCCCCAATGAGAACAATTAACGAAGAGTCCTGTACCCGTTTCACCCACGAATTAAAAAAACAAACAAACAAACACGCGTCACGTGTCCTTAAACAGAATTTCACACGTCTCGGATTCAAAAGATAAAATTTCAGTGTTCACCTTGTCTTGTTTTCCTAGAAAATTCACGCGTGATGGAGTCATTTTACGTTTACCGTAAACACGCGTCACGTACAGAACGTAGAAACTCGAGTCGAACGTTCTAGTAGTTTCTTTATTTACATATACCGCGTAATGATTCGATTTAGCGCCCGACGCGCTTAAAGATCCAGCAACTTCTACTCATTGACCTTTGGCCCAATCCGAGACACCTGACTGATCTCGTACAGAGCTGGCAAGAGCAAAATGGAAAAGAAAAATAAAAGAGAAAAAAAAGGACTCAAGTTAGGTCGTCAGGACACAGAGCGTTTACAGCCATTCATTTTTTGAGATTCTCTTGAGCAAAGCAATGGTCCTCGCCGCTGATCAGCAATTCAAGCGATTACAGTAATATACAAAAAAAAAAAAAAAAAAGGCTTCGACGGGATTCGAACCGGTGCCTCCCAGATATCGAGCCGCGATGCCATGCGTAATAAATTCTTTTCGAAAATATCGTCATGTTTCTTCTTCAGAAAATCCAGCCTCATATTTCGATTTCATACCATCACGACTGGGCACAAACCGATTACAATGAACAATTCAGAACAAGGCTAAGCCACAGGCGGCCAAGAGGCGGGCCTACCCCTGCATGAGTCACATGCGAAAGCGACGTAAACAACGCCATCGATGAGAATATAATTCATGATCAAGGTTATGTAGAGGCTTTTCTAAATCGAGGCGCGACGATACCGTTCAGAACTATCGGATTACTTTTTATTTTTGAATTCAGGATACTGTGATGACCTTTGAGCGAACGATTTCGTGGGAGACGTAGCCTGAAACACGAAAAGTCTCGTGACTTGTGTGTCGTCATGCGATGAATAGGCTGGAATGGCCTGAGGAACCGTTGACCAATCAGCGAAGAGAATCAAGCCACATGATTGATCAGTTTATGTAACTATACTGGTGTTCTCCCATGTTAGACCTTTCGCAACCGGATTTGACTGTATGAAAACTGTTATAGTTGTCAGGGATTTGTCGCCGAAAAAAGGAGAACACAACGTAGAAATATATCTCTAGTAACTGGACTCGTCGAAGCTTGAGAAAAAGTGCTTTAAAATGGCAAGAGCTGTGACATATGTTGGTTCGATCACGCTAATTGTAGTCTTCATGATGTACGCATCTCCGGTAGGTCTCGATTCTTGTTGCATTATACAACATACATTTATTAAACCAAGCTAGATTTTACTTGAAGAAATGTCGGTTTCATTTCTATCGGCTGGTATTGTTAATATTACTGTTGGAACGTCAAGTTGTTGAGTTCTGGAACCGCGATTAAAGGTTGAAGGTGAAGGTCTTTCGTAATCATGAACATGTTGGAGGCGTATGCTTGCAAAATCATTTGTGTACTAGAAATTTATCAGCGCTTTTCTGAACTACAAACTAACCTCGGTAAGCTATCTGAGTGGAATCTTAGATTTATTTGGCAGTTTGTTTTAGCTAGTTTGATTTTATTTCAGGTAAATGGTGACATAGTTAAGAATCATACCAAGGGTTATTGTGTGTGGTACGATCAATGTACAACTGGGGACAAGCCGATGAATTGCCTTTACAATGGACCGGCCAAGAATTTAACCAACCCAAAAGGTGTGCAGATATTGAACAGTTTATGCCCAGAATTGAGGGATCAACCAACTTGTTGTTCAACCAAACAACTGCAATCGTTGGCAAAGAACTTGCAAACGATGATCCAACTAACCAGTCGTTGTCCCGCCTGCTGGAACAACATGAGAAGGCTGTATTGTCAGCTTACCTGCAGTCAGGATCAGTCGCTTTTCATGGATCCAACTGCGGTGTTACCATTTAAACCATCGCCCTCTACTAAACAACATATCTTGGAAGTTCAATATTTTGTTTCACCTCAATTTAAACAGGGTCTGTTCGACTCCTGCAAAGACGTCACTTTTCCTGGAAACAATGAGAAGGTTTTGAGTCTCCTTTGTGGTACTACTGCCGAGCTGTGCACTCCAGATAAACTCCTTCGATACATGGGAAGCCCAAACAATGGATTTGCTCCATTCACTCTTGATTTTCCAGACAATCTAACTTCAAATCTTTCATGGATGAACCAAACTGTTTTTAAGTGTAACCAGCCATTTGTGAACCCACAAACAAACAGGACAGCAAGTGTTTGTAGTTGCCAAGACTGTCAGTCCTCCTGCCCTGTACGTCCTACTGTACCACCTAAAGTAAACCCTACCAAGATTCTTGGAATGGACCTTCTCTCCTTCAGCCTGCTTGTAGTTTATTGTTTCTTGCTGATTTGCCTTGTAATCAGCTTTTTATACAAGTTGACTTTGAGAAAAAGCTACCCCACAGTGCCTGATCAATCACAGCGATACAACAGCACCTACCCTCCAATATCAGGATCCTTGCCGCTAATGGTGGATTCTCGACCTGGTTGTTGTGAGCAGTTGGGCAGCAAACTAGAGTCATTTGTGACTCGATGGTTCACAAGATGGGGTGTATGGTGCAGCTCTCACCCGTTCTATGTCATTGTTGGATGTATTCTTGTTGTTGGAATTCTTGCTAGTGGATTGTTCTATTTCTCTGTCACTACTGACCCTGTGGAACTGTGGTCTGCTCCAGACAGTACAGCACGCAAACAGAAAGAGCTTTTTGATAAAAAGTTTAAGCCTTTCTATCGCACTGAGCAGCTTATAATAAGCTCAAGAAATCCTGTCCCCACAGGCTATCATCGCTATGGAGACCAAAAGTGGGTTCCCTTTGGACCAATCTTTCATCTAGATTTGCTAAACCAGGTAACAGTATAACTTGTGGTGTATATCAATAATGTAGTTTATTGTACTCTAATACAATATCAGAAAGAGAATTTACATGGGTGATTTGAAAAGGAAAAAGGGGGCATTGGCATCCTGTAATGACTTAATCCTTTAACTCCCACCAGTGACTTAAACAGATTTTCTCCTTACAAGATAAGTACATACAATATCAAGCAAACAAGTGACAATAGAAAAGAGAGATATCAATAAGGCAATTGTTGGTAGATCCAGTACAAAATTATCCAGACTAAAGCATTGCTCAAACGGAGATGATGGTTTCAATTATCACATGCATTTGAACACAAACTATTATCAAAAATCATAAAGTATCATGTTGTTTGGACATGTTCAAATTCAACATGATAGTTGATGATAGTTTTTGCCATTTGAATGAGTGGATGATAGTGAATGATAGTTTTGTGTTCAGCAATTATGCTAAAAATGGGCCGAAACCTAAATAGCAAATGGTAAATGACAAATCGCCACTAAAATTTCTCAGAGTGTCTTATAGTTCATTCTCGTTATCTTGTGATAGGCTTCAGTATCTTTGATTCACAACTTCTTTACTAAAATTACTAATGCCATCAATATTGCTGACCTCGGTGCATTTTGTTTACAATTACGCGATCTCTTTGCATAATTTTGTCAACTATCATCAATTATTACGAACTGTTTAAATGTGAACATGATAAGAAGTGATAGTGAACCAAAGTTAAAACTATCATCAGCTATCATGACTGTTTGAACAGGGCTTAACATCATAAGGAGAAATAATGTCTGGTTACCATTGGAGTTAAATGATCTATACTTAACTCAGTTTTCTGTTTGTATTAGTATTTGCAATATTTAGACAGGCTGACATAGTTCAACTTTAAAGCTGGTTTAAGTGGGAGCCTATAATGACATGGCCAGACCACAACACTGGGAGCTACATGTACATTCCCTACTCTTTATGAGAAGTGCATGCAGCAGACTGGGCCTATGGTGTATCATCCTTATCCAAGAATACTAGAATTTCTTTGCTATAGCATAGCAAAGGTAGCAGATTCTCTTAACCACATAAAGCCATCATTTGTAATAACAACAGATTTTACTGCTATACTCAACATTCAGAAACTGATAAAAAAAGAAAAGGATTCAACAGTCATTGTAACATTTTTATGTCTATTTTTAGGCTTTAGATCTTCAAAACGAAATTACCAACATGAGAGTTCACTATGAAGACACAAACATCACATTGCAAGATATCTGCTTCCAGCCTTTGGCCCCTCAGATTCAAGCTTGTACCATACAAAGTGTCTTTCAATATTTTCAAAACAACAAAACAAGGCTGAACAAGTGCTTAACCAGCATGGGTCTTAACTGTAAAGATGCTCCACACGACTACAGGGAAGGTGACTTTCATGATCATATACTAGCTTGCACAAAGTAAGTTGTAACTATTCTTGGAGAGTAAATTGTTGTGTCAATTTGAACAAGGCCAAAATCTGAAGTCAGCACAGCTGTATGTTGCAGGGTAGTCGTACGAAGGTGCAATAGGTCTATGATCTAAACTGTGCTGGTGGCTGAATGTAATTTTGCTTGCACAGTGAGAACAAATTTTTCCTTTGTAACATATGTGTTTGCTCTCTTCAAGGCGGTTCAAGATGTTGGTATTAGATTCTTATTTTCAGTGTTTGATCAAAATTCTCCAAAATAAGCCAGCATAAATTGGTCCAACAGCTCTGTTGTCTTCTGCTTTCTAATGACAACTTGCTATGTTGTCAGCCCTACATGTAGGGATGTTTATAGGAACATGGAATGTGTTTATGTACAATCTGCTGGCTTTTTTCTCACCCTCCCCTCCCTCTCCACACTTTTTGTCATTTATTCATCCCACACGCCAGTCAAAAGGTGTCAGTAGGTGGTGCCTATGCCGCAGTGACCTCCTTACAGCTGAAGGGATTGCTGCCTTCCTTTCGCTACTTAACCCTTCAACTCCCATGAGTGACCATAACAGAATTTCTCCTTACAATATCAATACAATATCAACCAGATAAGTGATGAGAATAAAGAAAAATATCAATTTGGGGATAAGTAGTTGATCCAATACAAAATTCTCTGAACTAACATCATAAGAATTGTATGGTTGGCAGTAAGGAGAAATACAAATTTGATCTGGGAGTTAAAGGGTTTAAGTACATGTCTGGTTATTTGTCTCACATAGCACTCACTTCAGATGTGGTCTCTATCTTATTAGTATAATATAGACACAGGTGAATAGTCCTTTTCTTGCTTGCTGATTGGCTAGTTCAGAAGTGATTAGCAATTACTGTTCAACTCAAAGCAGCTGAAGAGACAAAATCTTGCATCAACTTAAATTTCAGAACACTTTTTAAGTATATTTACAGATCAAACTAAATTATTTTGGTTTCTGTGTGAGATATACTAAGAAAATTATTCACCTACATGTTAGCAAAAGTGGTGGATATTTACCCAGCTGTTTTGCTGCTTGGTAAATATCCATCACTATTGACCTCTGCTTGGGTGTATAATTGTTGAACAAGTGACTTCATAACCTCCTTAAATAAATGTTCTTCTTTACTTGTGTACTGACCAAATTGAATAACTGTAAACTTTTTCTTACACTGCTAATATTTCCCTTTTTTAGTTCGCCCACATCTGAAAATGAACCTAAGTTGAAAGAACCGTGCTTGGGTGCTTATGGTGGACCTGTGAACCCCAACATTGCGTTAGGAGGCTTCCATAATGGTGCCTATCAAAATGCTACAGCCTTGATCATAACCTTCGTTGTGAATAACTTCAAAGAGAAGAGCAAGCTATCCAAAGCAATGGCATGGGAAAAACAGTTCTTAGATTTTATGCACAGATACACGCATAACAAGTCCAATAACAATCTTACTATAAGTTACTCTGCTGAGCGTAGCATTCAAGACGAGCTGGACCGTGAGAGCAACACTGATATTTTTACCATACTGGCCAGCTATATGATCATGTTTATATATATCACTATAGCTCTGGGACAGTTCAAGAGTTGTGACAGAATTTTGGTAAGCTAATATTTTCAAGGGTCTGAAACGAATTTTGTTGGATGATTGAAAATACAAAATAGAACTTACCAGTAAGATCAGTCAATAATTTGTGTATTTTTTGATTCATACATGTATCCTGTATATGTTGTCATTACATATTAATTTTTTTTCCTGTGGTTTGAATATCCTATAGTGGATTCAATTTTGTGGGTCTTAAATTTCATGATGTTATCTCCTCAGATTGACTCCAAATTTACCCTTGGATTCAGTGGCATCTTGGTCGTGTTATTCTCTGTTCTTTCTTCAGTTGGCTTTTGGAGTTTTGTTCGTGAGCCAGCAACTCTCATTATCATTGAAGTGGTGCCATTCCTTGTATTAGCAGTGGGTGTGGACAACATCTTCATTCTTGTGCAGGCATATCAGCGCCAGGATCAACATGCAGAAGGGGATGTACCTCATAAAATTGGGCGTGTTTTGGGTGAAGTAGCACCAAGTATGCTCTTAACCTCTTTATCGGAGTCTGTTGCATTCGCAATAGGTGAGTATTATTTAACTTTGATTGTCAATGACTTTGAGATCAAACATGTCCATATTCTCAGAATTTACAATGAATTTTGAAGATTACTTGTGTTGCAGTGTACTTTATGTTTAAAATAATTCCAAAGCAATAATTCAGAGGTCCATCAACTTTTTTTCCAAATGGCTACTGATTGCAGCACTGATGGCTGTGGTCGTTAAAGAGGCTGTACAAAGTTAAAGCAAGCAAGTGAAGTTTGAAATACATGTAGTAGTACTGGCATTAACATCTGCTTGTACTGTCCGGTTTTAATTTTGTTATGATTTTTCTCCAGGTGCAATGTCAACTATGCCAGCAGTAAGAATATTCTCACTTTATGCAGCAGCAGCTGTTTTCTTTGACTTCTTGCTCCAAGTTACAGCATTTGTGGCCCTGATGTCTTTAGATGCTAAACGCCAAGAGAACAACCGCTTGGATGTTTTGTGTTGTGTAAAGCAGCCAAAAGATGACAGCCAAGACCATATGATTTGCGTTTATACTTTCATGAAGAACTACTTTGCAGAAGTTTTACTTTCAGACTACAGTAGACCTACAGTGGTGAGGTTCTGAAGTCTTCCAGTGCTAATTGCAGGGTTTATTCTAGAAATTAACTGCAGCAAGTCTAGTGGAACCTGTTCTTCAATTTTAGGGGGCTCTTTTTCAGTTTGTTATGATGCAAATGTAGCTTGTTTGAGGATCATACATGTAGAAGTGTACATAAAACAAAGAGGAAGATCGCTCAAAAGTCTGCATGGAGTCTGAAGCCAGTTTAACTTAAAACCCATTTTGAACTTCAGTGTACAACTAACTTATTATGTGTCCATTTTTTCATGAACTATGCTCTGTACTTCTGAAAAACTGTTTTGGCGTCTTGTCATGTGTACAATTTCCATTTTTTTGTTGTTGTTTTGTTTTTTTTTTTAGTAAAACACCAATTTTCATTGTGATGGCATTCATGTGTAAGAGTACACACACATCTGCAATTGTAGCAAATGACTAAGACCAAATTGAAATACATTCATTTGATTATATGTGTGTATATAACTTCATGTTATGTAAGTAATTACACATGCTTGATGTGTGTGTGTGTGTGTGTGTGTGTGTGTGTGTGTGTGTGTGAGGGTGCTGCAGTATCCACAAGTAGTATTGTAGTTTCTTTTCTTCTGTTACTGTGACATTAATTGTATACTGATGCTTGTGCACTATTGTCAATGTGACTTATACCATGTATGTCAAACTTAGACCCTTTTTTTTTCATTATATGCTTGTAAAGATTGCCCTCTTCACTGGTCTTCTGTTTGCAAGCATTGCAGCTATCCCTCACTTAGACATTGGCCTTGATCAAGAACTTGCACTGCCCAAGGTAATGGACAAAAATGATTTTTCTTTTTTTTTTTTCTTTTTGCTTTTGACAAGGAGCAGGTCTTGACCTCAGGAGAAAATTTAGTGTCTGACTTTAATCAAAATGGCATTTTCACTATGAAATAGCAAAAGTTTCCGGTGTCCACTTTTTGTGGATAATTTTGAAGTGATTAACAGGTAACTTCTCCCTATAATATCCATACATTCTCCAGCAAACAGGTAATGAGAAAACTCAAACTTATCAGGTAGAAGTTTGAATTTTGATCTCACACCAAATTCTTGTAACTAATTTAAAAGGAAATTTAGAGCAGCTCAAAGTAGGAACTAACAATCAGAACTTAAGAGTTAAATGGTTAAAAAGGTACAGTGTATGTTTCTTTTCCCTCATAGGATTCTTACCTCTTGAACTGGTTCGGTGACATGAAAGAATATCTACATGTTGGTCCACCTGTGTATTTTGTGGTTAATGGAGGCTATGATTATGAACATCCCTCGGGACAAAACAAGATTTGTGGCTCGGCAGGCTGTGATTCCTCTTCTTTAGTACAACAAATCTACAGTGCTTCACTGATCCCTGAAGAGTAAGTTCTTTAAGATTTCTCACAGTCCATAGTGCTGATTATGATCAGAATGCAGTTGATATGGGGAACTGTGGGGTTAGTTCTTTTGCAACCATGTGTAGTGTATACACATGTGTAGATGTACATGTTCAACCATATACTGAAAGTTACAGACAAATTATTGTTACTGCATGCAGTTGAGATTGTTTTCCAGGACACAATCAGTCTTCAGCTTTTTTTTTTTTTTTTTCTGGCATTTTCTGAGTTCCACAGTATGTTCATAAAGGAATCAGTTGGAATCCATTTTCTCATTATTATTATTATGATTATTATTATTATGATGATGATGATGATTATTATTGTGATGATGATGATGATTATTATTATTATCACTATTATTATCATTATTATTATCATTATTATTCTTTAACCAGATCCAAGATAGCTATGTCAGCATCGTCTTGGTTAGATGACTATTTCAGCTGGATTGAACCTAACAGGGAGAACTCGTGTTGTCGTATTAAGTACAAAAGGAACGAGACATGTTTCCGTACAACAGTAATGCCACCTAACTCAACTAACACAACAACTCCAGCACCTGCTGTCATCTGCTATAATGAAACAACACCTGTAGTGCCTTACGTCTTCTGTAATGCAACAGGTGAGTGCTTGCTTTCCTGCAGACATCAAAGGTTAGGTTGGTTTACATGTAAGTGATGTGGCCTGTAAGGCTGAAGTAAATTTATTCCACTCTCCACTCTCCAGTTCTCAGGAAAAACGCTTTTACCTCTGACAGTGCCCCTCTCTCCACCCACAAGTTTTTCAGGAATGCCAACAACCCCTTCCCCCTTCCCCCCAACAACCCCTTCCCCCCTCCCCCTCCCCCTCCCCTGCCATTTGAACTTTTAAAGGTTGGTTTGTTCAAATTCCTGCCCTGCTGAGCTAAGTTTGTGTTCTAAAATGCCCAACCAAGTGCCAGATTGAATGGTCCGTGTTTTGTAAGAGGCAAAATCAGTAACCATGACTTCTTGCATATTCAGCAAGCTTTAAAAACCCAGATGTTGTAAACCTTTTCTTCTGAGCCATTTACTCATGAAAGTGGAAAGGAAATGATTACTGACTAAATATTCTCTTGATTGATTAACAAATTCTCCTGGTCAGCATTAGAGTAAATGTATAGAAAACAGTATGGAGAATATGCATACTGATGTTAGGGTGTAATGGGTGAACATAAACATTCAGCACCAGTCTTTCTCAACCCTTTACACCCTAACATCAGTGTGTATATTCTCCATATTGTTCTCTATACATTTCCTAAGGTGCTGAAGAGGAGAATTTGTTTAACAATCAAGAGCTTCTTTAGTTGGTGATCATATCCTTTATTCTCATGACCTTAATGTGTGACTTAGGGGTGATATTGTAAGGAGAAATTAGATGCAAGTCACTCTGAGGGGTTGAAAGGTAAATTTCATATATGAGTTTAATTTCTTACTGTCTTTCTGTGCCTGTTCTTTTTTTTTTTTTAGTCGATGATGACCTGTGCAAACCATGCCTGAATTTAAGCCAAAAGGGTCAGAGACCAACCCCAAAGCAGTTTGATAAGTTCCTGCCATTTTATCTCAAGGACAACCCAGAGACAAAATGCACCAAAGGGTAAGGAATTCGAGCTCACCTTAAAATGATGTAAATGGCACCAAGGTTGCTGGCAGCCATTGAAGAAGAAATCTGCTGTACATGTAGTGTAATCTAGTATTGTCATTTGAGGCGATAATGTAAATTGGCCATCGTAAAATGCTTCAAAGCTGACATTTGAGCATCCAGTTGGTTCAACTGGTTAAATAGTCAAACTAGCTAAAACAGTTAAACTTCACCAATTGCACGATGTGTCTCAGTTGGTCGAAGAATTGAAGAAACTCCAGGGGGGTGGGGTAAGAAAAGGGAAGAGGTGCCTTTGTGTTTAAAATTCTAGTTATGTTAGTCTTCTTGGGCTGTAAACTAAGGCACCACATTAGGAAAAGTTACTGGCGTTTCCTATTATGTTATTTATCTGTTGATTAAAAAGAAAATTGTACGAATTACGTCTGGTTCTGTAGCCCCTACAGATATTTTGCCATAAAACAAAGCATAAATAACTATGCGGTAAACTTTCACCTGATATGCACTGTTGTTTTTCCTCTCCAGTGGTCATGCAGCATATGGCGACGCTCTCCTGTTTGGTGACAAAAGTGATAAGTACCCTATTCAAGGTGAGTATGCATTGTATATCTGTATGTTTTGTGGTAATTCTTGCGTCAGAATACACTATTTCACTCCCAAGCCTTGCTGGCAGATTGGTGAATTTATAAGAGGAAAGAGGAAAGTTGGACCAAAACACTGAAATAAAAAGAATATACTCACATGACAACAAAAAGAGAGGCAAAGGTTCGTTAGATCTAAAGATCAAATCTCCTTGCGGTTTTCTGCTTAATTCTTACAATTTTACCTCTGAGAATTTGGGGTTTAATAACACATAATCCCCTCGTTGATATTGCTGTGCTTTCTCCTCGCCTTTTTGGGTGAAAATGAACTGACGTTGCTTCTGATAGTGAATTATTCATACAGTGAGCGTTATTTGCTTGGCCATTTTAAGCTGGTAAGAATCGAAAGATTGATCAGTGGTAAATAAATGATCACACTACGGCATTGACGATCGACTTTTGTCTTAAGAAAATGATATAAGGACAGAATCTCTTTTCATAGTATTAGGGAAAAGGAATTCACGTAAATTCAGATGATCTGGGCAATTTCGATATTTGGTAATTCGATGTAGCTGTGACAAGACGTTAACTACTGCCACAGTGAAGTTTTCGAAATCTTGAAAGAATCGTCTGAATGGAAGTGCTTTGCGAATGAAATTTAACGATGTACTCCATTTAAAGAGTAACCAAAATTTTACATTAGACACTCGAACTTCTTCATCATCCAGAAGCACATGGAAAAAAAATTTTATGTTCGGAGGCTCGAGCCCGCGGAGACCATAAGCTTCCAAAATGAAAAAAAAATTAATATAATAGAATAAAAATTAAAAAAAAACCAAAAGTGTACTACGGATCAATTATCGATATGTTCTTTCCTTGTTTTTTTTCCAGCCTCTTACTTTATGTCCTACCACAAAATCCTTAAAACTTCACCAGAGTACACAGCAGCTTTGAAGAGCGCTCGTGAAATTGCGAAAAACATCTCGAAGACACTTGGCGTGGAAGTGTTCCCATACAGGTGAGAAATACACCAAGTAGAAAGGGCCCAGTTTAAATATCATAAATTTGATGAAACACCGCCCTAGATTAATCGCTGCGAATGGAAGCAAAATTTCAGAAAGAATGAAAGCTGCTCTTAAACAGAAGCTTGTGGCGTTTATTGGGAGGGTTTAAGGAAGTTAAGTATAGAGGAATGGTTCACCAATACTTATCCCACTTTTTACGGGCTAAACATAGCCGAGCATGAAAGCCGTCCCTTGTATAAATGCTGCATCTGAGACGTTGTTAATCAATAATTTCCGCGGCTTGACGAGACCAAACAACACCTTCCTAGGAAATTGCCCCTATTCCATACGATATTGTCACTTGTATCTTCTTTGTACTGCTTAGCATAGGACGCTAAAGAACCCTTGCGCTTATCGCAAAGAGTAGGGAATATATCTCCCGGTGTTGTAGTGTGTACTTGTTAGTTATACAGGCCCACATTTAAACCAGTCTTAAAGCTGAACTGGGCCAGCCTGTCTTAACACGCAAATGAATTTATAAACTGTTTATTTATTTACCTTTATTTCAGTGTATTCTACGTTTTCTACGAACAATACCTTACGGTTGCGAATGACACTTGGGAAAATCTTTTGTATTGTGCAGGTCAGTTTATTTAAAAAGTAAGATTTGGGCAAATCCTAAGTCGCCATTTTAAAGTAAATTTGAATTGATTTTCCACGAAAACCTCGAGCAATATGATTGTTATTCCAGGAGGTTCTTAACTGCAGATAACGTTAAGTGATCATGTTAATTCTACACGCCACTTGATGCCGTCAAATATTGATATTATAATAACGCAAAACTGCAAAGCAAACTGCCTAAAGCGCGGGAAAACGCGGGTAACCAAGTCGTGATTGGTTTAAGTTTTGTATCTGATGGTTAAGAGAGTGGTGTGAGTTTTTTGGACCAATAAAGTGTTGATTCTGACTACAGTCAAACGAGACATTCAATGGAAAAGTTTATTTAGGATGAGTCAGTCAGTCTTCTTGTATACGCATTCTGACATAATCTTAACATGTGCACCCTGAAACTAGGGGTTTTACAAAAAGAACCTGTGCTTAGCCAGATACCAACACCACTAGAATATTACATTTGTCATTGTTTTTTTTAGCTGCCATCTTTGTGGTGACCTTCCTTCTCTTGGGATTCAATCTGAGCATAGCGTTGATAGTAACCTTTACAGTGGCTATCATCATTGTCAATTTGATGGGTCTGATGTACATATGGAATATTTCTCTAAATGCCGTCTCGCTTGTCAATCTTGTAATGGTATGTATGATGATCTGGGGGTTAATGTTTAAATACAGCGGTTAAACGTTAGACGTGCGCAAATGGGCCAATGTCAGCCAGACGCATGCCAATACCCGCGCAAAACTTAAAACGAAAATTATTGAAAGAAAGGTTTTCACGCAAAATTTACGAAGATAAATTGCAACGTTGGTACAAAACTACAGAAGCATTACATTAATTTCAAAAGGTATACGCATTCTATCTCACTGTGACTTGACGGTTTGGGCTAAAAATACGGTATCTGTGATATTAGGAGGCATTATTACGAATATGCAAGGTCCTATTGTTAGTTGATGTGATACTTGTACTTTGCTCAAAAGTGAAGTAGTGAAGCAGTGATAAAACCCAAAAATAAAAATTCTTGATATCAGACCATCTCGGTGATATTTAGTTTTGTTTGGACGAAGTGTGTTTTGTTTTACCATATACTGGATGACAAACCTTAGTCTCTCACAACTTATATGATAACCCAGACAATTATGTTTTCCTCGCAGGCTGTTGGTATTTCAGTAGAGTTCTGCTCCCACATTGCGCGGGCTTTTACCGTCAATGCACAACCATCAAGAGTAGAAAGAGCCAAAGAAGCTCTAGCAAAAATGGGCAGCTCAGTAAGTCAGTTATGGTTTGCATAACTTTGTAACATCTTCATTTAAGCCAACCTAAACACAGAGCCGGTTGAATACACGAGGTCTATCCCAAATCATGGTTTTACGCAATCAGTGCGCCTCAGGCTTTCTATAGAAGAGGGTTATTTAATCAAATAAATGTCTTGCCTCTGTTAGCTTTAGGCGCTCTTAACACTGTTCACAAAAGATAAATGTTAAAATAAAAGGTTCGGCTAAATTGAAAATTAATTGGGACGCGTTTTTTACAAAACAATGGCTCAATTTTGTTTAAATAATCAGACCATAGTAAATATAATTATGCAGATAGCTTTGTAGCTGTAGAATGCAACTTGCAAAGTAAAACAGATATGCCTATTCTTCACGGCCTATTTTCCTGTTGAGCAACTTTATGTCCTTCAGACCATTACCCGTTATTGCCCCTTTTCTTAATTTGTAACAGGCCATTTTTATCGATGCACGTACAGCATGCACATTGTCTTTAACACAGTTTGTTGTTAAATCATGGGTAACTGTCCTAAACGCTCTCAAAAGAAAAAAAATGACGTGTACCGAAAATGCCTGGAAACATTTAGCTGACCAAGTCGTAACGGGGTTATATTTAGCATCCGATTGGTTGAGAGAGTTTAGCGAGTATCCTACTGACCAATCACAGGGCGTAGTTAAGCAAGAGCAATGCAAACCTGGATTCCTCTTGACAGTCACCTTCGGTTTTGTGGCAGCCAGCCTTAGTGACCAGGCCTTGGAGATTTGGCAGCTTGCACGTGAATTGTATATATTATCGTATATTGAAGTGTAATTTTAAAATAAACAGCACCAACCTTACTTTGCCTTGGCTTATTTTTTGTACAGGTTTTGAGTGGAATTACATTAACAAAGTTTTCTGGGATCTTAGTGCTTTACTTTTCCAAGTCTCAAATATTTCAGGTGAGCATTTCTTGTATATTGCGAATAAAACTCTTGCGATGTCTTTCGCGTGAATGACGTAATAAGCTCTTCCCTACATGCTCAATCCCTCAACTTCAACGAAGGTAAGCGTAAAGCACAACTAAAACATCTTCATTGTTAAGTTTTTGCGTGTGGCCTCGTTTTGAAAGTGAGGATGCCCTGACGCTACTGAGGAATGTAACGATAAAACACCCTCCTACAGTAAATGGCGGCTAAAAGTTAAACTACTAAGGATCAGGATGGGGATACCTGTTGTATCCGAGCAAGGGGCTGGTGAAGAAAATGTTTGACAATAAATTTCAATAGATCAGCCAATTAAAACGAACTAAAAAGCGAAAAAATCAAATCAAAACCAAAAAATACAGCAAAAAGTTCAAACGAAACATCATGGGAACTGACTGAACTTGTAACAACTAGATTAGAGATACATTAAGAATTTTGAAAGTCTTGATACTTTTTTAAAAGCTTTCTCTTACTAACAGAAGTAGAAACACAGATTAACCCATCATTAAAGAGCCCCTTTTTAAATAGTGTGAAAAAAATAATATTTATCATGCGTATCACCGTTTTTTATAACCTCCACTGGCATGGAGGTAAAGCAGTTGGCTTTTTACAAGCGTGGTTGAGAAGTAAAACACGTGACTACTGAAAAACAAATCCAGTTGGTGCTCAAAGCATATTCGGAACTAGGACTTCATGATGCGAGCTCGATTTTCTCACTAATCGACCTCGCACTCCTTCTCTACCTCAAATGCTAAGTTTATAACAACTTTTAATGTTTTTCCACCCACGCAAGCAGTTTGTAATACTTAGAACATTTACCATCCCAAGTAAGTATTGGTGAATTTTGAACATTCTAAATCGACCGATAATATGACACTGAAATCCTCACGAGAGTCAATTATTTAATTTACAGCTGGTTTTTTAACTAGAAAAGGGTAAATGAACATGACTTCTTACCTTCTTATTACTCAAAGTACAAGAGTGTTTGTTATTTAAAGAAAGTTTACTCCACAAATGTGTTAACTTAGGAATAAAAGATTTATGATCAAAGCTCTAAAAATTAAAGGAGTGTTAAACAAGATTGAAACTCGTATTCCCCAGGTCCCAATAAGATTTTTTACGTGTATTCTCTAGAATCGATAATCTTACAGCGTTTCACTGCCACGTTTTAATTTTGTAGAGGATTTTCCTCGATTAGCTAGGTAAAAGTGTGTATGAGTTGCGTTGACCTAACATGTTTGCAACATCTGTATTTCTTCTCTCTGCCTTTTTTAAAAAAGCTACTTTAGATCTTTTTTGTTGGTGTCCATACGTATACATTGCCAATATCCATACGTTCCCTTGCGTTCATCTTCGTGGCACTATTTGACGTGTAATTCTCAATATTGATCAGTGCATAACCTCGATGTTACTGCGAGATGTCTCAATCGTGAATGGTACATTTTAATGTTGAATTGAATTAAATCAGTTCTCCTTTTTATTTACTTATATTTTTTCAGGTTTTCTACTTCCGTATGTATGTTGGCATTGTAATACTGGGTGCTCTTCACGGGCTGTTACTCCTTCCTGTTTTGTTAAGTTACGTTGGCCCAGCTCCCCGAAAAGTTCCTCCCACAACGACTTCGTCCGATCACACTTCGGCCGTTTCCGAGCGCACGCCCCTAATCAAGGCGTAACTAAGCGTCAATGTAAAATAAATTCTAACCTTAACTTTAACCTTTTTCCGCCCAGGTATTCTACTTTCGCATGTATCTCGGCGTTGTTTTGATCGGCGCGCTGCATGGTCTCGTGTTTCTTCCTGTACTTCTGAGTTACGTGGGTCCGATGACTTTAAAGGCAGTGACGGTGCTGGAATGCGAGTCATCGTTAAGGCCTCATTTCTTAGAGGGCACAACGGATGATGAAAGGAGACCTTTGCTCCACTCCGATCGCAGTGGAATCCAGTGACCTTGGACTGTTAAATTGAAATTGTCATTGCACATGATATTTTGTCTTTTTATGTTATATTTTAAACCTATTGTAATAACGCAAAATTAATTTATGAATAAGGGAAAAAAAGGCAAATTAATACTGATCCTAAAGCGAAGAAGCTTTTGAAAGCTGTGTTTTGTGAGTGGTGTTTGTTGCATTTGATGAGGAAAATAAAGTTCCAAGCCTTCTACTTCTGTTGTTTCTGTTTCCACGAACTTGCTTAAAAACAGTCGAACGAAGGGAATGAAACAAATCTTTTGGCGCTGCTCACGTTTTTTGTTTTGTTTTGTTTTGTTTTTGTTTTATTTCTTTGTCCCTTTTTTTTTCTCTCTCCATCGGATTTAATGGTAAAAATTGTGTTGTTGATCCCCGGTTTTTTTTTTAAGGATCTTAACCCTTTAAATCCCAAAGTATCATATCAATTTGGAGAATTTGGTCTTGGATCAACTAATAATCCCCTAATTGACATTGAAGAAATGTAAAATGGTTTCCGTGTTAACATAGCCTGATGTTAACACGCGGGAGATTGGGAGAACACAAGATAATCGTAGGAAACCACGACGCGAATCGGAGTGGTTTCCAGCTTATCGAGTGTTCTCCCAACCTCCCAAGTGCTTATATCAGGCCATGTAAACACGGAAACCATTTTACATTTCTTTTATAAAATAACTAATGAAAGAGGAACGAAAACCGTGTTTACATACGCTCATGTAAAATGGTTTTATGGCCAATCAGAGCGCGCGTACCATTTGAATAATTTTATAATTTACTGTATTCTCGTCACCTCTATGCATGATGTTGTATTGATATTGTAAGGAGAAGTTCTCTTTCGGTCACTCATGGGAGTTCGTTTGTTTCACTGCAAGGAGCGTGAAGGATGGGAGGGTCGGTGAAAGAGATCAAGTTGGTCAGCGGTGATAGACTACGTATTCAAACCAACACGACTGTCGACGGGCATGCGCGAGAGGACCAGTTCTTGCGGACCGTGCGCCAATTTCCCGTGCGTTGAGAATTCGCTTCTTCTCCAGCTCGGCGAGATACACTGTTTAACAGACCATTAAGTGACATCTCACACCCTTTTTAAGACTCGATCTCTGGAAAACACAGCCTATTGGCGAAATACACATGCCGCAGTGCTTTCTGATGTATCCACAGCCATCGCACGTAATAAGCTTTCACATCAAATACATGTCAAATCGTATCGTCGAAATTTCGAGGCGAAATGTCGTTTTTTCATTTTTTTCCGCAAATTTGCAAGGCTCACGCTGCATGCGAACATTTGAGGTTGTATGCGATAACTGAGAGCAAAATCATACGACACCCAAGTAGACTTTAAGAACAAAGGAAACGTCAAAAATAATTAAACATATTTTATCGACAAGTAACAAAAACAACCTTCTGTTTGTAACCTCTTCGCACTCAAGTTCTCATCTAAAAAATGTAATTGATCACATGACAAATCGATGTAAACTGTCCTAAAGTGGGTGGATCAAGTCGAACACGCCGACGATGTCAGAGGAAAAGGGGGAGAAAACTTAGTTTAGCCATAACAGAGGGAAATTATTACTTTCTGCTCCTAAACCATTGAGATTACAAGCGTGACGAGAAAGTTGCCCACAATCTTGACATAGTTAGGAATGGGGGTGGGGTAACTGAAACTTCATACTCCCTCCCTTAGGTCATGTTGAAATGTTTTTGTAGAGGCGTACCGCTATATAATTTACCAGGACCGAAGGAACCAATTTACAAATGTAGGGGCACATTTTGGAGCACTGATTGGAGAAAAAAAAATTTCCCTTCCAACCAACCTTGAGGCTTGTTCATTTTTTTTCTTTGCTTTTTTTCTTTTCTTTTCTTTCCTTTTGTGGTTATTTCTTTTGTTACAGCTTCAGGTCAGGCATTTTTGTTCATCCTTTTTGCCAAAAAAGTGCGTAGGGGGATGGGGTACAAGTTCCTTCGGACCCCTATTCCTACGGAAATAATTTACGCTGTCGCTTTTTTAACTAACAGGGTTTGGTCATACTGGTTATCATCTCAGAGCTTCCTAACTTTTCGAGTGTGGTTAACGGTCTTTTAAAAGCAAAGGGCTCACACTTCGCGTCGCCTTGCGCGCTTGCCTCCGGTCGACTGCAAAACGCTAAAAGATACGCCTCTTCTGCGGGCTAGATTTAAAATCGCCTAAAATCTAATTTTTATTCGCTTCTCTGCTTCAACGTAGCTGGATTGCGCCGAGACAGCGTTCTCCTTGCCCGGCCTGTTCCAAGTTTCTCCTTACTTCAATTATTTTTCTACGTATTTTTTTCTCAGGTTTTTTTTTTCCATCCTCAAAAGCCAACACTCAAAGTTCGAATTGGAAGTGCCACTTTCTAAAAACTACTTAAATTCCAAATCTTGCATGTCACCTCGTTATAGGCCGGCCCACGAGTTTAACGAAAAGTTCAGTCTACTGTCACAGACAGCTTATAGTTCAGGCATTAACCCTCTAACTCCTATGAGTGACCAAGACAGAATTTCTCCTTACAATATCAAGACAATATCAAGAAGATAAGTAAGGAGAATAAAGCAAACTATCAATCAGGGGATCATTGGTTGATCCAAACCTAAATTCTCCTCACTAATATCATAAGAATTGTATGGGAGACAGAAAGGAGAATTACCTATGAGATCTTGGGAGTGGAAAGGTTAACGAATAAGACGGAAGCGCGCGCTATTCAAAGTGATCGGATATGACCCATAAAGGTTGCCAGAAATTTTCTTCATTTTGTTATTGACTTACCCCTCCCTTCCAACAAAATGTCAAATGACTTGCCTCATTTTTGACATTCAAATGCTTCTTTTTTGTACTTGAGAAATAGTTAAACAACTAAATAGGAGTGACTAAATATATCACTAGGTTTCAGCTTTCTCGCACATTCTGAGCTTCTATCGATGCTTTGTATGATACACAATTGTGAAAATGCCAGTAACAACAAAACATTGAAACAAAACTCTTTTTAACCTCTCGTTATACCATTGTGCGATTAGTTTTAACAGCATATCTAAAATACATCGTGATGCTTAAACAATAAACACAATTTATAGCATTCAAACGTAAAAGAAAAATCTGTTGAAATATTGTGAAGAGCAAAATTATATATATCCCGGTAATAAAGGTAAAAATCTGTCATTTTAAGTCCCGGAAAACAATGTTTCTGATACAGAGAAAATGTTTATCATTTAAACCCTCAAAAATGTTTATCACATTTTCCATTTGACATAAACTAAGATAATCGAGCAATCAGACTACTGATTATTCTCAAAGATGTATGGATATGTTTCTAATAGCTTTATATCACTTATCAGGCAAAAACCGATCGAGAGAAAAGTCTGTTAAAAAATTTTGGAATTCATCTTAAAGACGTCTCCACTTTGACGTTAATGTGACGCCTAAATCTTGTCTATAGTTAACAGTTTCATCCATGTTAGACTAAAAAAATATAACTTACTTGAAAAAAAATTACATGAAAATCAGTTTAAGTAAGATATCAAGGATCAAAACACTTGAAAGTCCTTTTCCTTTAGAGTATCTAAAATCCTTCAAGCTCGTAAGAACAGTTCAGACGGGTGACAAGTCAAGTTTTGAAACAATAGAGATCGTTAAGGACTCTCGTTGATTTTGTCTTTGGCCATCTGTTGATTCTCCCTGCTTTAAGGAGAAGACTCTTGACAAAGATTTCATCGGTAGCTTATTGGTTTCTGGTCCAAATATCACCGTTGACTTCCGCGGGCTTGGTCCTTGACCTGATACAGTTCCAATGCTCACTGCCTCAGCTGAAAAATAGGAGTTAAAATTCAAGAAGGATCGTTGAGTTGCCATAGGATGTTTCCCTTGGCTATGCAAAATAAAATCTACTTTTTTTCGTTCATATCAAGGTTCTCATCGTAAATGTGTTGCAGCGATTGCATTGCACCTCAATTTGCTCGAGCAACGAAAAATTCCTAATTGCTAAAGCAAAATAACATAAAACAGCTATAATTTTGATTTAAGTCACTTGGTATTCAATAAATGTAATAAACAGAGTAATTACATTGTTCGAAGTCTGAATTTCCTTGAAATCCAGGCTGACGTCATCACCAATGAGTACAAATGGTGCCCAGTACTGCACCTCCTTGAACATTTCACTTTCTTTCATACACTTCATGGCCTGCTGGAGAGCTTCACTTGCCTTCTTGCCTTTAGAAAGTGCATCGTAGAAGAAACTCATGAACTCCAGGGTTCCCTCGTCATCAATCGCCCATAAGGTTACCACAACAGATCTAGCACCGGCACCCAAAAATGCTCGCGCGATGCCGACCACACCCTCGGCCATAACCTCCCCACGAGCGGTGTAACAGCAACTTAGTACAACCAGTCGAGCCCGCAGCCCAGCTTCTAGGACATCTTTCATAGTCATTAGATAGTCTTCCTCTTCTGGCTGAGAGTTTTTCCTTGTAGTGTTTGGTGCCAAGATGACTTCTCCAGTTTCCATTTTACTGTGCGCTGCAATGTGAACCAACGCCACTGATGACATTCGTTTTAACACCTTTTCTTTTGTTGCCATTTCTCCAATGAGAGGGGAATGTTTGAGGATGCGTCCGATCATCTCCACTTCTTTCCTTGCTCCCGGAAGTTGCACCAAAAGTCCTCCCTGATAGATAATATGTTTGAAACATGGGTCGCCAACAAGTAATGCACCACTTTTCATGTGGAATTCAGCTGGGCAATCATGAATTAGTTGCAACGTCGTCAGAGACGGAAGCACACGAATACTGAAAGAATCACTAAGATATGATGACTTCGAGTCCTCCAATGCTGCATAAGGTACAAGGCAAAGTGGCCCCTCAGGAACAAAAGTTATCTCGTTGCCTTTGATCAGATCAGCAATAGGGGTAACGATGATGTCATGAAGCTTCTGTAGAGCCCTTGATTGTGAGCACCTCACATCAACTCGGATCACATCGTTGGCAACTTCCTCCTCTTTTGGCGAGCCAGGTGAAGGATTTTCGCATGAAACAGCATCTCTTCTGCCAATCTCCTTAAGGGCAGTTTTGTTCTGTAACTGGATGAAAAATTCCAATTCATCCTCATATTTATAATTGTTCACATGTAATTTTCTCATCTGAATATTATCTTCAGAGAGAAAAACCCAGAAGTGAACGCACGGTCCATTGAGAGCCATGAAAACTGTATTTGATGGAACAGAACTCAGGGAAAGGCACGAACCGCTGTTCCTTAAAGTATAATCAGGCCGATATCTTGTGTCCATAAGATCTCTTAGAGCTTGAGCACGTCCTTTTTCTGCGGCAAGAACAGCGTTCACAACTCTATCTTGAATGAGACTTGTACGCCACAAACCTTTGTATGCACTTTGGTGCTGATTACGATAAGAAATCTTCCACTGATCGTTGAGTTGAAGACTGGCCGTGATGTCATCATACACCTCTACACTCGAGTTAAAGTAGATGAAGGCCCTCATGGGATCTCCTTGGCACTCGAAACTTATTCCGAGAGAACCGAGTGAGCACGCTTCTCCATTCATGTCCCCTACTTCTTTGGATATTTCTAGGTAACGTTGATACAACTCGATTGCCCTTTTAAACTTTTTTTGACCGAGAAGAATGGTGCCGAGAAGGTGATAACTTATTCCCTCTCCAGTCTTGTCTCCCACCTCTTTAGAAATTTCTAGAGAATGGTTCTGGTACTCGATTGCTGTTCGGAACTGTCCTAGACCATGATAAGCGCTGCCGAGATTGCCATAACTTCGTCCCTCTCCCGCTTTGTCTCCCACTTCTTTAGCAATTTCTAGATGACGTTGATGGTACTCGATTGCTGTTTGGAACTGTCCTAGACCAACATAAGCGTTGCCGAGATTGCCATAACTTTGTCCCTCTCCCGCTTTGTCTCCCACTTCTTTAGCAATTTCTAGATGACGTTGATGGTACTCGATTGCTGTTTGGAACTGTCCTAGACCATGATAAGCGTTGCCGAGACTGCCATACCTTCGTCCCTCTCCCGCTTTGTCTCCAACTTCTTTAGCAATTTCTAGATGACGTTGATGGTACTCGATTGCTGTTTGGAACTGTCCTAGACCATGATAAGCGTTGCCGAGATTGCCATAACTTCGTCCCTCTCCCGCTTTGTCTCCCACTTCTTTAGCAATTTCTAGATGACGTTGATGGTACTCGATTGCTGTTTGGAACTGTCCTAGACCAACATAAGCGTTACCGAGATTGCCATAACTTCGTCCCTCTCCCGCTTTGTCTCCCACTTCTTTAGCAATTTCTAAATAACGTTGATGGTACTCGATTGCTGTTTGGAACTGTCCTAGACCATGATAAGCGTTGCCGAGATTGCCATAACTTCGTCCCTCTCCCGCTTTGTCTCCCACTTCTTTAGCAATTTCTAGATGACGTTGATGGTACTCGATTGCTGTTTGGAACTGTCCTAGACCATCATAAGCGTTGCCGAGATTGCCATAACTTCGTCCCTCTCCCGCTTTGTCTCCCACTTCTTTAGCAATTTCTAAATGACGTTGATGGTACTCGATTGCTGTTTGGAACTGTCCTAGACCATGATAAGCGTTGCCGAGATTGCCATAACTTCGTCCCTCTCCCGCTTTGTCTCCCACTTCTTTAGCAATTTCTAGATGACGTTGATGGTACTCGATTGCTGTTTGGAACTGTCCTAGACCATCATAAGCGTTGCCGAGATTGCCATAACTTCGTCCCTCTCCCGCTTTGTCTCCCACTTCTTTAGCAATTTCTAGATGACGTTGATGGTACTCGATTGCTGTTTGGAACTGTCCTAGACCATGATAAGCGTTGCCGAGATTGCCATAACTTCGTCCCTCTCCCGCTTTGTCTCCCACTTCTTTAGCAATTTCTAGATGACGTTGATGGTACTCGATTGCTGTTTGGAACTGTCCTAGACCATCATAAGCGTTGCCGAGATTGCCATAACTTCGTCCCTCTCCCGCTTTGTCTCCCACTTCTTTAGCAATTTCTAGATGACGTTGATGGTACTCGATTGCTGTTTGGAACTGTCCTAGACCATGATAAGCGTTGCCGAGATTGCCATAACTTCGTCCCTCTCCCGCTTTGTCTCCCACTTCTTTAGCAATTTCTAGATGACGTTGATGGTACTCGATTGCTGTTTGGAACTGTCCTAGACCATGATAAGCGTTGCCGAGATTGCCATAACTTCGTCCCTCTCCCGCTTTGTCTCCCACTTCTTTAGCAATTTCTAGATGACGTTGATGGTACTCGATTGCTGTTTGGAACTGTCCTAGACCATGATAAGCGTTGCCGAGATTGCCATAACTTCGTCCCTCTCCCGCTTTGTCTCCCACTTCTTTAGCAATTTCTAGATGACGTTGATGGTACTCGATTGCTGTTTGGAACTGTCCTAGACCATGATAAGCGTTGCCGAGATTGCCATAACTTCGTCCCTCTCCCGCTTTGTCTCCCACTTCTTTAGCAATTTCTAGATGACGTTGATGGTACTCGATTGCTGTTTGGAACTGTCCTAGACCATGATAAGCGTTGCCGAGATTGCCATAACTTCGTCCCTCTCCCGCTTTGTCTCCCACTTCTTTAGCAATTTCTAGATGACGTTGATGGTACTCGATTGCTGTTTGGAACTGTCCTAGACCATGATAAGCGTTGCCGAGATTGCCATAACTTCGTCCCTCTCCCGCTTTGTCTCCCACTTCTTTAGCAATTTCTAGATCACGTTGATGGTACTCGATTGCTGTTTGGATCTGTCCTAGACGATGGTAAGCGTTGCCGAGACTGCCATAACTTCGTCCCTCTCCCGCTTTGTCTCCCACTTCTTTAGCAATTTCTAGATGACGTTGATGGTACTCGATTGCTGTTTGGAACTGTCCTAGACCATGATAAGCGTAACCGAGATTGCCATAACTTCGTCCCTCTCCCGCTTTGTCTCCCTCTTCTTTAGCAATTTCTAGATGATGTTGATGGTACTCGATTGCTGTTTGGAACTGTCCTAGACCATGATAAGCGTTGCTGAGATTGCCATAACATTGTCCCTCTCCCGCTTTGTCCCCCACTTCTTTAGCAATTTGTAGATGACGTTGATGGTACTCGATTGCTGTTTGGAACTGTCCTAGACCATCATAAGCGTTGCCGAGACTGCCATAACTTCGTCCCTCTCCCGCTTTGTCTCCCACTTCTTTAGCAATTTCTAGATGACGTTGATGGTACTTGATTGCTGTTCGAAACTGTCCTAGACCATCATAAGCGTTGCCGAGACTGCCATAACATTGTCCCTCTCCCGCTTTGTCTCCCACTTCTTTAGCAATTTGTAGATGACGTTGATGGTACTCGATTGCTGTTTGGAACTGTCCTAGACCATGATAAGCGTTGCCCAGATTGCCATAACTTCGTCCCTCTCCCGCTTTGTCTCCCAATTCTTTAGCAATTTGTAGATGACGTTGATGGTATTTGATTGCCTTTTTGAACTCTACTAGACCATGATAAATGGTGCCGAGATTGCAATATTTGATCATCATCACGTTTAGTTCATCATTAGATCTGTTCAGTAGATGAAGCAGACCTTTACCATTCTTGTCAATCTTAAAATTTGTCAAGGATACAGATGTCATGATTTTAACAATAATTAGAATATTAGGTAGGACCTTAAACATTGGACGTGGCTGTCTTATAAAGTTTTGCTTCTTAAATGATACGCTTATTCATAAAGTGAATATTAATATAAACCTTAACGAGCTTTCAAAGGTAATTACTTGTTTAGATTCTACCTTTTTCCCTTCTTTTAATTCAGATTTCATGAAATAATCAAAAGAGCTCCTGAGAATAATATCATATTCGCTTGTTATAACTGCTAAAGGCGTCACTTAATAATTATACATGGGCGCGCGTAAATGTGGAATTTTTTCGAGTGTTCAACTACATAGACACGAGTGAGGTATCGAGTTAAACACGAGAAGAGAAATTCCATATCTTCAAGTAACTATGTATTATTTTCTATTACATGAGTGCAACAGCCCTTTACTGAGGGAAAAGTCGACTTAATTAATAAATAAAAAAAAGAAACAGCATCTAGTTTCTGAAGAAAAGTCATTTCGTGCTTTGACGACAAGGCTCAGGGTGAAAAATGGGTTGACTCGTTGCAAAAACAAACAATCAGCGTAATCTTTTAATTTACAAAACTCTCAGCTATTGGCTATTTCCTTACCGACAGAAGAAATCTTTTTGAGCACCCGGTCAAATAGGCCTGGGGCAAGTCTTCCAGTCCTCGATTATCGCTCTCAACCGCGAGAACTTTTTTTTTTTTTCGTATTTTGTTTGTTCGCCTTTCTAGGAAATTATGAACGTCATTGTCTGTACGCGATACAAATTTTTCAATGTTTTTGTAGTCGTAATCCGGTAGCATCAACAAATGACCATGGATTGAGAATGGTAAAGCCTTGGCAACTCATTCATCAGCATGACTAAAACTGCGAAAGGGGAGAGACAAGTGACGAGTCAGCAGCTGATTCGCGATATCAAACACACATGAATAAAATTGTTGTATGCTTTATGTATTGTTATGGCTTTTCTAGGAGCTGAAAATTCTTGCATAACACCCCGCAGTTTATATGATAAAAAGAAACACTGCTTGCTTTTTGTCTAGATGAATCTGATCGGAAGGTATTGATTTTCTTTGAAATATTTCCCGCATTGCATCTCTTATCTCGCATGAAATTCTCGTCAAAGGATACGGCCAATCCCTTTTGCAACCAGCTCCTTGCTTCTTCATACAAGCGAAGTTCGACACAAGCTCTTCCTCCTGAAAAGAATGCAATGATTGGTGGAGCGAAATAATTGATGGCTGTTAAGGTATAAATGTGTGCAGAATGTGGACTTAGTTTTGCATTTACTTCGTCCTAGACCACTGAAAAATTAAGGAAATTAGAACTTGTGGAAGAATTGAAAGTGGAAAATAAGAGTTAGTGCAAAGCGGCTAACAATATTAGTTTAAATAATTGAAGGCTTTTGGACCTTTTGGTGCGTTTTTACCCACAAAGTAGGCATTGACACACAGCATACAATTGACACTTGGGATGCAGTCAACTACCATAATTCATACAGTTTCCTTTTGACGAAATCACTTTTATGAGTTTTGATGACTATGGCTGAAAAACCCACCTTTCTTAATGGCTTTAATTAAAGTGGGTTCCAATTGAACAGCAACCGTTGCGTCATCGAGACACTGCGAGTAGTTTCCTATGGAATTCAGGAATTAAATTTAAGTAGTCATCAATGAAGTCATAGAATGCATGTAATTTGTGTAGAACATCCGTTTATATGTTTGTCCTTGAAACCAGGCGACAAAAAATTGCAATTGCTCAAACTGCAGGCCTCCTCTGAGGATCATTACCTTCTAAGATTTTCAACCACAGGTCAAATAGAATTTTACTTCATTAAGATTGACATCAGATTTCTTCAAAAATTTTCAAAATTTAAAATTTGCCTCGCTCCCAGCGTGCGGTCTCTTGTCTATTCTGGTAGTAGCGCCCAGCTTGTATTTAGGATGCACAGTTTCCAATCCCGTCGAGGACTGCTTTTTTATGCTCAGTCTTCCGTAATTGCTTAAATTGGAGTCCATCCGTTAGAATTATTTCTTTGCTTGGAGCAGTTTGTGTATTGCTTTTTAGAGGGGATAAATTTCTGAAAAAGCTGTGGTGCTACAAATCCGGACTCCATCTGACTTAGGGCTAACGCTCGAAACGTTAGCTATTTAATTTCTTTACGGTGGCCAAATCAAATTACCCACTCATTTGAGATGACCAAATCAACCCGTACGCCCTTTCTAAGTTCGATTCAGAAGCTGAATCAATGGGATCTAGATCCAAAGATTCCAACCCCAAAGATCGTGAAACAACCTCGAATTAACTAATCTTTCTTCCTCCCTCCCCCCCACTCTCTAAAAAGGGCAAACGCAGGATTTTTGAGAAGCCAAGGGAGCATGTGTCTTTGATTAGTTATTCTGTGATATCAAAAATGATCAGTCTCTCACGACCATGACGGGCGTTTACAAGCACACGAGGACCACACCCCGTCGTTGACCTCGCTTATAATCTACAGCTAGAGAACTCTATCATCGCATTAAAAAGCCTAGAGGCTTGAAAAAGGAATTCTTACCCAAACGGAAATGAGCTGTTGCCCTATTGCTATAAAGCTTGGCGTTAAGCCGTTCATCTTTGCAGTTCACTTGAAGTCCTTCCGTGTAGGAGTTTATCGCGTTATTAGCTTCTCCTTGTCTGTATTCTTTGTTGCCTTCCTCGAGACATACTTTCGCTATCCCTGAAAGCACACCATTTTAAAGTTAATGATTTAGTAATGAATACAAACAACCTTGGCGGAAAATACAGATTTATAGTTAAAAACGAACCTTCAAATCATAGAAAAACTTAGAGCTCTGCACAAAAAAATGACTGATAAAAAATTTCAGAAAAGATTATCTACGCATTTTTATAAAGTAAAATATACAGGCTATTAGTAGTCTTAGCTGTAGCTTGCCTATTACTAGTTAGTAAATCAGGTGACTTTTAGGTCGAGAAGCTTTTAAACTCAATTTACTTTAACTTAAGATAACCTTTTGAAACGTGCGCAAGTTATTGAGAAAAGGTAATTTTGTACAAAGTTGGTAAACTATGGGGGAGTTATCTTTTTAGGCGTTAACGCCCCTTGAAAACTTTTCGTGGTAACCATTTCAACTTGGTTTACGTTCGACTTTGAGTGCTGTACTTCAGAGGATGAAGCTTATTGACTCTCAGCAAGATATTCCCATAACAGTACAAATTCTTGATGTAAATATGTCAAAACTACATTGGGACGCCTTTCAAAGAAGTCATTTTCGCCTGGTTTTCTCACCTCTTGAGGGGTCATCGTATATTCCCAGTTCTGAATCGCTCGACGTAATTTGACTTTCCTTTATCGCTGAAATTTCCAAGCGGAAAATATATTAATCTTTTAAGTGATCACAACTGTATGAGCAATTTCAACATGCACACTATCCTCGCCACCTAGAATACCAATGCATTTATTAGATTCCAAAAACGCATAAAACTTTCAATTGTAAACGTTTCAAAGATTACTGCACACGATCAAAGATATACTTAACTTTTCGACCCAAAGGCCTAACAACCACTTCAAAATTATCACATAACGGTCTTTTTCTCTCACCTGTGACTGGAGGCTCATTGTTCAAGTCCAGTTCTTCCCCCGTTGTTGGAAGATTACTTTCCGCCATAACTGGAAATAAAATGGAGTCGATTCTAATGCGCTAGAAATCATGGTTACAAATCAAAGGAGACTGAAATGAAAGTAATCTAAAGAGAAGGTCGAGAAAAATAAAGAGTCCCAAGGTTTCTCCTGTCACGCTATCGTGGTAGCGTGACAGCTCGAGTCACGTTCCGCTGTGTTGACTTAACTGGACGTGGAAGGAAAGCCACTCGACCTATATTTGAACCGATAAACTTAAGACTCCTTAAAGTTTGTATATTTTACTTAAACATAACGCATGGATGATTTTTTTGGAATTTTTTATTATTATTGTTATCCTCATTGAAGTTCTTTTTGTTTTGTTTTGTTTTTTGTTTTTTGTTTTTGCGAACCACTAGGCTCTTTTAACCTAAAAGTTCTTTTTAAGTAAAAAGTTGGCATTAACCGTCAAGGGTCCTAGTACTTACTAATGAATCATTAAGGCAAAACACAGGCGAGGATTTGCGTAACCGTCACGAAGTCTACCATTCCCCCCCCTCTCCCGAGCCATTACTTAAAGAATCGCGTTCATATACCGTCACTCAAAAACACCTATCAACCAAAGGTCTCAGTTATTTCATAGAGCGCATGGGTAAAACTTTCCACAAAGCTATAGAAATTTCTACAAATTTCTTTTGAAGGAGCTAGTTAAATATGAAAAACTGAAAGTAGCTGGCCCATAAAAAACTGTGTCGGAGAAAGTCTGGTTTTTTCATTTTGAATTCAAATTGATTCAGAAGGCTCTGAATAAGAGGTTATTTTGGGGAACCATAGAAATGGCATTGGTTGTCCTCTTCGGCAATACTCTCGTTATCAAGAAAAATTATCTGTTACAAATGAAAAAAAGTTGCGAACCAAGCGCAGCACGCGATGGAAGTAGAGTGAAAGCGAAATCAAACAAACAAACAAAAAACTCCTGATAGCGTAAATTAGGAAGATTATTTATAAACACATTTCTGAGGCAAATAATTATCTGTTGTTGTATGATTTTGAAGGGGATATTCGGGAAATTTCTATTGAACTGGACTATCGTCCTTCAGATTAAGACTCTGCACCATTATCAGCTTTCACTGAGCCCTCATTCTCACCTTCCAGCGTACGATATAAACACGCAAACATATGTGCCAATTTACATTTTTTCGCGACAAGCATATCTATTAAAACTGATTTCTGAACGAAAACCGGCTAGAAACCACCTTGTGGATACGTAACTATAATTGCCCAAGACTAAAAAAATTTACTTCCAGTCAAGGTCTGTGTTTTTATCGTGCCAATTTTCGAAGAGGAAGTGGAATGATGTTCACAAGCCTTCAAGAATCCAAAATAATTAACCGTGACGTCGGCGAGCTTTCGTTTTCATACATGTTCATTAATTCGTATGATGAACCACCTTGTGGATACGTAGTTCGAATAGTTGAAGACAAAAATTTAGTTCCTATCCATGTCTACATTATTATCGTGCCAAATTTTGCGGAGGAGGTCGAATAATATTTGCAGGACTTAAAAAAAAAAAAAACTAAAATAATTTGTTGTGGCGTCGGCGAGGTTTCACTTTCATGCGTGATCAAGAATTAGTAATCATTGTGGTTTAAGCCTTAAAATTTTGACTTTTATTAGCTTTTTATCACGTTACTCCAATTTCTCTGCTATTTCCATTTTGTGGCGGGATCCGAGAGGATACAAGATTTGGCGACTACGATCGGCTACCCAAGAGTGCAAAATTAATTGTTTTTTAATTCCCTTTTAGGTCCCGCAAAAAGGGGGAAAAAGAAGATTGTAGCCGGTTAAATAACTCGTATAACGCCATAACCAGACAATTTCGTTTTGTCACATGACTGAACAGTCAGGTTTATCTAGAGGTTTTGGTTACAATAGAGTAAACGATACGTCTTTAGTCAAAACAAAGTAAAACTCGGGGAGCTTCGTGAGTTGCAAGTAAAAAACTTGGCCTTCTCTAGCTCATGCTTAGTCAGTGATGTACATATATTCAGGGGTATTACACACCCGCGCAAGGATACGAAATTTATCATCGATTGTTGATAATATCGCTCACTCTTTCGATGAAACATTTCAAACTCGAGAAGATCATAGATAAATTTTTATCTAGCGGTGAACATGTATTATCCTAATTTTTATATAGATATCGACAGCAAATGTGAATCGTAGATCATTTTGAAACATTTTGAGAGCAACGAAAGGCGATCTGGTGCATTGAAACGCAGCTTGCCGAAAGGCTACTTCAAATTCGGACATGAAAATTTAGCAAAATCTCATCAGGACAAATGTTTTACTTTTTTAAAATTTTTTTTTTTATATTCTTCTTATTATTTTTATTATTATTATTTTTAATTTTTTTTTTAAAGTTGAATTCAACCTAAAACACGTTACGTTCGTAGATAAAAGTCTTCCCGGAAAGTGTTACCGTAATGTCGATAAATCCGATTACCATGACGACATTGACATTTTAACATGTGAAGACATAAATGGTGCGTTACTGGGTGCGGTGAAGATGTCATGTTTTCTATTCCATGGGCATCTACAATACTATCACAATTGCAATACATCGCTAATTTTGCGACATCAAAACTGCAACCGCGATCTTAAGACATAGGGCAAAAATCTTTTTATGGAAATACATTTTGTATTTGTATTTTTTTAACCTCACGCTTCGTTTCGTTTTCGAGAAATCGTGGCTGATTTTGATGTTGACGAGAGCTATAAATACAACAGGTCATCCAGCTCTGTCACGCTCTAATCACGTGCGGTTGCCGCCTAATAACCTTTTAGCTGCCAAGATCATACTAAAGTGTGATTGACAAATCGGACTCCCGCTTTGCGGTCGTCCGATTTTGTTAATTACTCTTAAAATTAGAGACCGAATTGGACTCCACTCGGTTCTATTACCATTATTAATCATATGAGAGAAACCAATGAAATTTTTTAGCGTGATGTAAGTGAAATATTTCATATCTGACAGCAGCAAATCAAGAAAATTCGATTGAAATTAAACCTAATTGTTTTCAGGCGCAAGGAACATAAGATTACGCGCTTCCATTTCAAAAAACATGAGCTCTAAACAACTGTCATAAATTGGAATTTAAAAATTGATTCGTACCTGTTAAACTGTCGTCCTCTGAATCTCTCTATTCTCCAAACGATGCTCTTTGTTATTTCTACATGCCTGAAAATATTAAGAACATTATTTGCTTCACAACAATATCGATGAAAACATGAAATATTTTATATTCACTAGTTTAAAACATTTACTAGTCTCGTTTAATTCCCAGAGTCGTGATCAAAACTTCCTTTTCTACTTCAAGTAAGTTATCGTTTGTTTATTTTTTTATTACTGTTTGTTTAAATGTTTCTGCGTGACGATTATTTCATTCTGCGATTCAAATTCAGTTATTCCCCTTTCAGTGGAAAACACCCGCAATTCCATTTTCTCCTCAGAGCAGGACACTCTCTGCCATAACTGGATCAAAAAGAATAATTTCAAACCGTGAGTTAAATATCGTAACAATACAATTCCTCTTCAAGTGATCACCTCGATATCTTACTCGTTTGCCGTGCTCACTCGTGAGATATCGAGGTGATTACGAGAAGAGTAACTCCATATTTACAAGCAAACATGAATTATTTTGTTTATTAGACAAACACTATAGTCCATTTACTAAGGTGCACACAAGACGGAATCAGTAATATCAATAGAATAGCAGTTGATATTCTCTTGGTAATGTTGTAGTTTCATAGATTCCTCATGGATATGTAAATAAGCTACCTAAAGGTCTTTTCATGATGACAATCTGTATGTCAGTATTGAGAAATAATTTTGTAGTTTAAATAAAAAAAGGAGAGTATGATTTTTTTTCCTCGCTCGTCGGGTAAAGAACGATTCTAATTATTTTCACGAGTGTGTAATAGAGAAATTTTTGAGGATTCAATCTCTAGACCAGCAGATTAAGATTTATGAATATTTTTCATTCGACAATAGAGCTCAAAACGTTCTTTCTTTATCTATTTTCAGACATGACACAACTACATGTCAGATCTTAGCAATATGCAGGACGATTGTCATGTATAAAGAATGCGTGTTTTGGCGCATTAACAAGAGCTGCAAGGCGCTAAGTTCAAACTTTCAGATCGTGAAATCCGAAGGCCAAAGATTTGAAGCCTCGAGCGAAGTCGATATTATTCTTTCTCCCGCGCTCGACACGAGTAAATACGATCGATATTTCTTTCACTCTTTAGTCTTGTATTTCAAATTATTTTTTTACGTAATTTAGTCAATACTCGCCTATCTCATTCCCTGCAATGGATCCTCATTGACTAATTCTGTCCTCACCTTAACTCCTGCGAAGATGTGATTTTCCCCACAAGTGTGTAACAAAACGATGCACTTGGTAACACCAGCAGTATTGAAGAAGCTGAATATGAGCTCATCGAACTCGAAACTGAAAATCTTGTATCATTTGTTTATTTCGTGATACAAGATTCTATTTTGTGGCTATGCTGTTTCATTATCATAACGCCAAGTTGGGACTTGGCGTCACACAACATTTTTTAGTTTTCATTTTCATTAATCAAGAGTGTAACACGATAACATAAACTTCCTTTTTTTTTTTTTTTGCTGGTGTGGTGTGTCGTTAAACTGCCGTCTTTTTAGGTTGTAGGGCGCTGAACTGCCTTGCGGGAGGTCGAGGGTTCAAGCTGACTGAATTTGGAAGGGGATTTAAGAGCTACGAATTTCAGAGTACTCCAGAAAAAAAAATAACGAACAGGAACGATTGGAGACAAAGGAGAGTACGAAATATTCAGTACTAGAGATAACGACTTAAACTTTATTCAGTTTAACAACTTCACACAACTCACAGGACTCCTCTGTAATTTAATCATTCATACAACGTGCCACAGCTAGGAGTTCTTGGGCTAAACTAAGAGTCCTCTTACAGCCAGTTAAAAAGAACATCGTAAAAATATCGATCAATCACCTTAGAACTTCGACCAGGAGTACAAGTGGGAAGGGGGTTTAACCCTTAAACTTTTAAGATCTCATTAGTAATTCTCCCTACTGTCTGGCATAAAATACTCATGAATTTGGTGTTGGATCAACTTGTAGTCCCCTAATTGAGTTTTCTTCTTTATTCTCCTCACTTTTCTGCTTAATTATATGTTAATATTGTAAGGAGAAATTCTGTTTTGGTCACTCACAGGAGTTAAAGGGTTAATCGGACAAGGGACGAGAGGGTTCACCTTTTTCTGGCGAGGGACAAAAAAAGAATTAAGAATTGTAATACGGCAATAATAGCCAGGTGCATTTTCACGCAGTTATAAACTGCTACCTATATAAGACACTATACACAGATCTGATCCTCTCATACAAGACTACAACAGAGTTGAAAGTTTTGAATAGAAGATTGCGACGAGCGAGACCAATTACCCTTCGAATTGTTACTTCAGCTGGAAGTTCTATTTTTATTATTGGGTGAATCGATTTGGAAAAAGAAATTACCTAGATCAAATCGGTGTGACGGATCCATAGTTTGCATCTTCAATAGAGACGCTACATTTTTTGGCTTCTCTGGCACACCGCCGGCGATACTTGACGAGAGAGGGATTTCGAAGAAGCGTGAAAGCAAGGAACCAGCGGTTGATCGCCTGGTGAGACATGTGTGGTGGCCGGAATACACGGGCCTCAGGATGACCTTTAACAAAACAAGAAAAATCAATAAACAAACAGACAAAAATTAAATAAAAAGTAAACAAAACAAAGCCAAAGCGACAATGAGATTACGGTTGGTATGGAATACTCAGTCAAGCCAACTAGTCTAGGTCGCAATCTAATGTAGGTCGCAGCTGTTGTTTGATATCGTAACGCAACGCCCTCTCTCTCCTCCAATAGATCGCGCTGCGGAACGTGACAAAAAAACGGCCACGAAGGAGACTAGGTAGATGGTCCTTCAAACTTCTTAAACAATTTCACCTTTCAAGAATGTGTTGAATATGCTATGAAGGTGTTTTACATCAAATGTTGAGTGGCAACAGACGTGCACGTGACTGCAGCAAGACATACAAATGACAAAACCCGACGTCACTTACTCACGTGTACTAGAATGAATCCGAAAAAAAGACGAATGAAACAAACTTCCTCCTCAAATCTTAAAGCAAGTTGCCCAAGCTAGACATAATGTTCTGTATTTTTAGAAAAGGCAAACAAACAACAAACTTACAAACAAATACAGAAGCAAAAACAAAGAAATGACAGTTTGTCATTACATGTTACACTGGTGGAACAACTAATCGCCAATGTTTTTTCTTCCCAAAAAGGGAGAAGATCAAAGCGACGAAACTCACCAGCAGAACTCTGATCCTCTGAATGCGAATTTTGTACACATAGGCCTGGTAACTCTAGAGTGAACAAAGATGATCCATCGATGGACGAAAAACTCCCGAAAGTATACAATTTCTATATATCCGCCATAACGAAAATTACTTGCTCGAACTGATAAGGGTGGTGATTAAATGACCGTAAATATAAATGAAAATCATGTACATGAACTGCGGATAAATAAATTATGGAAGCGATCTTCGCAGTATTGAACACTACTTATAGACGGGTTTATTTGGAACCAATATAATTACCAGCCCCCAGTTGACTTGTTAGTTCAGTTGGTAGAGCGCTGTACAGGCATTGCAGAGGTCATGGGTTCAAATCCTGTACAGGCCTGAATTTTTTTGTTCATTACTTCGATAGCCTGAAGTACAGGCGTCTTGTTAGTGCGAGCTGACGCTAAAAGCTCGCGATCGTTTGTTCGACCGGCCATTTTTGATTTGCAGTTAGAGTGGACAGTGGGGGTAGGGGGCGGGGGAGGGGAGAAAAGACGCCTGCCCGAAGAGGCTGTTAAAATGCCCTACGCCCCCTGATTAGTTGCGCTTCACTGCATTTCCGGTTCAGTTGTTCAGTTGGTAGAGCGCTGTACAGGCTTTGCAGAGGTCATGGGTTCAAATCCTGTCAGGCCTGAATTTCTTTGTTCATTACTTCGAAGATCGCTTCCATATTCATTTCCTTATATTTACAGGCATTAAAGCTTTTTTATGTTTTCATTGGAAATAAATTTGAAAAGTTAAGATATTGAATAATTATTTTACTTCAGTTTCTTCAGTGCTCAACAAACAGCTCGATTATCATTTTATAATGGTAATAATAATCAACATCATCGTCATCATTATCGTTATCACTACAATTATCATCATCATCGTTATCACTTTAATTATCATCATCATAATCTCGATTATTATCACAACTTTTATCGTTAATCTAATCCTTCCACAACGTTATCGTTATCAATACCGTTATCATCATAATCATTTTGTTTTAGATGGAGTCGAAGACTAAATGTTTAAAAAACCCTGAGTCCAAACCCTTTACTCCTCTAATACTGTTAGTATCTTCCTTACCCTCCCTCCCCACTGTGCCATATTGACGATCCTTGTTGCTGTTGATGAGCAGCTGGCAAAACATCAGCATAACAGGGTGGTTGTGAGCCACCAGTATGTGGATGAATCCCAGATATGCCACGAAGGCTGGAAAATAGCGTTAAAAAAAGATGATATCATGAAGACCCTGAGCGAATGAAATAGCAAGCAAACTAAAAACATACACACGAACACGCAAAAGAACAGGAAGAAAAATGCCTCATTTTGTTTTGTTTTTGTTTGTTCGTTCGTTTTTTTCTTGTCTTTTATTATATTAGACGAGTTCGTCGTTTGATGATAATTATTTCTCCTACAGAATTTACTTTTAAGCCTCGACTTGCTGAATTCGAACCAATCTTCCTGGCTCACCTCCAAGCAGATTGATCGTGACTCATCACGACCGATTTCTAACGTTTACAACTTATCCCCACCCCTCCCCTTTTGCTTCCATACCTTTGTCCCAAGTCTGGAATCCCTGCATCAGCGACGTTCGGTCGATTCGAGAGATGAAGATCACTCCTAAAATCATGCCTTTTAGAATTCGCATGATGCAGGAGAACAGTCCAAGAAGTATATTGTAGAAGAAGAAGAAGTAGGACATAATAGAATAAAACCGTCTGTGGAAAAACCATCTCAGTAAGAAAATGGAGAAGAAGAAAAAAGGAAAAAAATGGCACATGAAATACTTACTTATTTCGTATCAACTTGCCTGTTATCAACAGTGATTGTGATATTCGGAAAGTCTCTGTCTCGAAATACGTAGTAGGTGAGGAATAACTGGTACAGCCACAAGCAAATCGCCAAGCAAATTGGTGGCCTGAAATGGCATTCATAAAAAAATCCATTATCCCTTGGAAGTGCTAGGGGTGGAAAGCGTACACTGGGGGGAGGAGGGGAAGGACACCACCTCTGATCAGTCGTGTTTGAGGTACGCACTGTAAAAAATGGACCGAGATTGACCCCCCCTCCCGCGCGCTTCGCACCAGGGCCATAAATCTAAGCAGAGTACTCGGTCCGTTTATTACAGTAAGGACCTCGAACACGATCAATATGAGGTATAAAAATATCCTATAAGACGTTTTGGTGTGTATTCTCGCTGAGTAAGTGTACGAGTTATGCCTTAATGTAAACAGAGAGTAAAATACTAAGCAATACCAGACCAAAATGTCGGATAAGTTATTTATTATCTAACTGTTTGTTTTTTTCTGTCAAGTATTTCTGCTCATTTCGCGTACGACGGGGAAAGCAAAGAAGCACAGTCGCGGGCAGTCGACCAGTTAAACAGGTTTCTACTACAATACAAAAAAACCAACAGTACAGTATGACAGGATAATTGTCCTCTGTCCGCCCGTTTTTTGTACTCTACTTTGTGCAGTTGGGCAAGGAGTATCCTTCTCCTTTCCCATTGTTGACGGAATGTTTATTTCAAACTGATTAAGGTAATAATAAGGTAAACAAATTGGTAAAGTTCATGTTTAACAGTGAATCTAGCAGCATGAAACTTACGCAAAGGCCTGTCCAATATTTTTGTACACCTCTAACATTTCCGGTGAAACTAAAAAATCGATGTACTTGAAAATGGCAGTGAGGCTGACAACTATGATGGCCAGGAAAAAACTCAATACAGTGTATCCTAAAAATAATAATAAATGTCATTAGTTGAAAAGCTTAAAAAATAGCCCAACATACCCCAGGTAAAAATATTTGTTTTTGACATCTTGTAGAAAAAATATTTTACATTGTAAATTTTCAGAAACGCCTGTTACATACCTGTTAGAACAAATGCAATCTGATATCCAGAAAATAACAAACTTTGTCCCTGAAACAACAGTGACCAACATAAATTTTTCAGTAAAAAATCAACCACTTTTGTTGACATGGAAAGTTCTTGGTTTTAATCGAACTAGTACACGTGAGTAAGTGACGTCGGGTTTTGTCATTTTTATGTCTTGCTGCAGTCACATGCACGTCTGTTGTCACTCAACATTTGATGTAAACTCGTTTCTAAGGGTCCGTTGTTGGAGGAAAGGGTCTCATAATTCCAATAAAACAGGTTAAGCATGATCAATAACCAAAATTGCCCGATGTCTTACTGACTTGATAAGTTCGAACGCGAACGAGATCTGGCTGCAAAGAAGTCAAAGTCGTGAGATGTCAGGGTTTTGAGCATTAGTAACTGTCGCACATGCAATCATAACACACTTGCTAGTTCGTAAATTACACTTGTCTTCACCCGAAAGACTGTATTTTATATTTGTATAATATCTAACCCTCAAAGTCTTATCCAATCCAGGCGCACGTGGCCCTTAGCAACATACAAGACTGTCAGTCAAAACCTGGCGACGTATAAACTTATGCATCACAAACTATGTAACGCGAACTATAGCACAAAGTAACGCAACACTGGAAGCAGAAGGCATAGTAACCCACCACTAAATTCGCAGGAGAGACAGTCACGTCTTGGAAAAAAGTTCTTTGGCCTCGATACATCTGTAACATATTGTCTCTTGAATCAAAAATAACATATTTGTAAGCTATCATTCAAATGGAGTACTGAGCAGGTAAGATTGGTGAAATAATAAGATCTGAAAGGTTTAAAAGAGTGGGATATTTAGCAAGATGCTTGAGCTTAGCGAATTATCAGTCCTTTCTCCTCCTTCAAAGTAAATTATGACATAGCTCGTAAATTTGCCTCATCAAATTCAATTGCGCGAGCGTGCTTCATATTCCTATTGTGCACGCTCATGACGTCAGCAAACAAATCCATCGCGAAAAAAAATTTTCCATCGGGTTGAAAATGTTATAAAACAATTGGTCCATACATCAGCTGTGCGTTCATCGAGATATGAAGTACTTGGGAAGTTTGGAGAGCACTCAAGAAGCTCTTACACATCTTTCGTGCTCTCCAAACTTCCCGCGTGCTTCATATCTCGAGGAACGCATGCTGACGTATGAACCAATTGTTAATTTACATGTTGAAGACTTAACCCTTTCATCATCATCATCATCATCATCAGTATGCATATTTTCCATACTGTTCTTCTTATCTCCCAAGAAGACAAAAACACAATGATCGTGAGGACATCGAATCTTATTTAACCTACCTGTGGCATTTCATAAAATGCAGCATCAACAAAATAGAAACGGTAGCTGCTGTAATAACTCCTCCCTCCAAAGCATCTGTTTCAAGTCACAGTAAAGTACAACATTAGTCTCGTTTGACTTTGAAGGTACAAATATCATATAAGTGAACTGCGGTTTAAGAAATGAATATTTACGTGATCTTTGCAGTGATCGATGAAAACTGGGAGCTGGTCTCGCACTATGCTGGGTTGTAATAAACCCAGTTGGCTTGTTAGTTCAGTTGTTAGAGCACTACGCCAGTAACGCAAAGGTCATGGGTTCAAATCCTAAACAGACCTGAATTTTTTTCAGGCCTTATTCCCACTACTGCGTAAGCGGTGTTCATTACTAAGAAGATCGCTTTCATATTCATCACGCAGACCTTCCACGGCCAATTGCAGTTACAGTCACACGGTTAGATCTGGGTTCGAGACTTGTAAAGCATATCAAGATCGACAGAATTGCACACAATTGCGGGTCTTGAATATTACAACATAGCTCAGGTGGCGAGTGACACCATTTTTCGAGAAAGCGAGATTTTTGTGTATTCATCCATGTCCTTGCTGGCAACATTTTAAGCTTGTTTTTTTTTTCTTTTGACTCACGTCAGTAACTAAAGTAATTTTAATTTTAATAAAAGATTGGCTATCTGAAGAAAATACCAGACTGGCAAGTGGATGGAATAGCGGAGTGGGGACTGACGGAATAAAACTAGGGGAGTTACAAAACACATTACTTACAAGGTTACAGTTCCTATACAAAACAGTTAGTTTATTTTCCCCAATAAATTCCAAAAAATGCCTTAAACTTACGAAATAAGAGAGGAACAAATCCCCGACAAATGGGGCCGTGAACACAAGACGAGACAAATTCTTTTTCGTAGTAATCAAACAACGAGAGATAATGCAACATAACCTGAAAAAAAAATAGGAAGAAATAGTATTTTTTTTTAATTATTTGGCGTTTATCATAAAAACTACGGTGTTATACAAGGACTACCAGCCCTGAGAAATAGAGAATAATACATAGGCGTGCGTAGATATGGAATTTCTCTTCGAGTGTTTAACTGCTGCGCTCACTCGTGAGATGTCAAGTTGAACACGATAAGAGAAATTCCATATCTACAAGCAACCCTGTATTATTTTGTTTATCATATAAACACAATAGCCCTTCAGTGGGGAAGAAAAGCCGACTTCATTAATAAATGAAAATAAATGAATCGACAATCCTCGAATAACAATGGTAGAGTGCGTTGGCGCTCACTCTTAAGATGGAAAAATGCGTTGAATCATGATTATAAAAACAACAATGGCCGTAATTTTCGATTTACAAAATTCTCATTTATTGACTTTGTCCTTACCGACAGAAGAAGTCTTTCAGGTAAACGGCCAAAATCGGCCAGTAGCAAATCATCTGGTAGTCGATTTTTATTCTCAGCCGAGAGAAATGCTACCACCAAAGCCACTGAATACGCAACTTTCGGCTTTTCTTTTAGTATATAGGTTTTCTTCCTCTTCTAAGAAAGTTTGAACCTCATTGTCTGTTAGCGATACGGATTGTTTAGTGTTTAAGCCGCCATAATTCGAGAAAGCTCCGACAAACAACTTGTATTGAGAATCGTGAAGGCCGTTCATTCATCAACCTGGCCGTGTGACGCCAAAGGCGAGTAACGTGTAAGCAGCTGATTGATTATATCAACAAACGTAAAAAAACACGATATTTTTTCACGTGTGTTGTTACGGCTTTTCTCCGGGCCGGAAATCCTTGTGTAACACCGCAGTTTATGTGATAAAAGCTGTTACAACACACGTGAAAAAATACGATATTTTTTACGTAATAATGCAGCGAAAATTTATGCGAATTTGCGAGAAAGGCTGCTCCAATCTTAGTTTAAGGCTGCGTTTTAATGTGAAGAAGGTTTTTTAATAGCTCCGTTTTCGGTAGAAAATTTATCCAGATAGCTTGTGAACAGTGGGCGCAACCGAAGTCATTGCAGTTACATGACACGGAAAAATCAAACTGACCTGAAACACAATTATTCCTGCAACCACTAAGGTGGAAATTAACTGCGTTGAGAATTTAAAATCTGAAATAAAATCTATGTATCAATTTCATATTTTTGTCACACACTATTAATCAAAAATTTAGAATATAGACAAAACTAAACTGAACTAAGAAAATATCAGTAAAGTACCTGAAAAGAACTAAATAAAACACTGAATTAGTTTTGAGTGGCATGCACCGTTAACAAATGCACCTCCAATTCGTGAGAGTGAAAAAGAACACGAGTGTTAACCCTTCAACTTCCAATAAAGTAAAAGGTAAAAAGGAAAACAGGTAAGCAGTACACTCAAACGTTTTGAGTAGAAGTTGTATCTCGCTTGACCTAACACCAAATTCACGTAACTGATTTACAAGGAAATGTATAACAGCTTGAGGAAAGAGTTGGCAATCAGATCGTGGGAGTTAAAGGGTAAACTATCTAGCAAGGAGCGTAGAATCGATAAAGAAACCGGCAGGTCAATTTTCATAGGTTATTCGTCACCGAGGTAATTCTTGACTAGGGAATTTAGTATTATCAACTGAGTTGAACACGTAAATTTGCCACCGTAAAGAGTTTCAAAGCTGACGTTTCGAGCGTTAGCCCTTCGTCAGAGCGATTAACGAAGGGCTAACGCTCCAACTGTCAGCTTTAGGAATCTTTACGGAGGCCAATTTACGTTATCAACTCAGTTGATAATACTAAATTACCCTGTTATACTCTCCCACCAACGCAGCACCGCTGTTTCTTTAGAAACTTACCCCCTTGACCTTCCCTCTTGTCATTGAGCCTTCTGCTCCCAAGATCTCATTAGCAATTCTCTCTACTGTTTGTCATACAATTATTACGATGTCAGTTCAGAGAATTTTGTATTGGATCAACTGATATTCCCCTAAATGATATTGTAAGGATATTGTGAGAAGAAATTCTTTCTTTGTCATTCATGGGAGTTACAGGGTTAAGCAATGTTGGAAGTTAATCTCAATATTAAATTCCAACCAAAAGAATTTTATTGTCTATTAGAAGCAATCAAATTGATGGAACCAACCTTCTCTCGGTCTGTAGATTTTACAGATCAGCCTCTTGTACCATTTCTCGTCAGCCATGGTTCTGGAACTTAATTATTCCAATGTCAATTTCTACTTTAGCTTTATAGGATAACAATTGTTTTCCACTGAGGGGCCGGGCATTATTCATCACTGGGGAAGGGGGTGGGTCAAAAGATTTTTTTGAGGTGGTAGTAGAGGGGAGGGAGTCGCATGGCTTTCAGGGGGGAATGAGGGGGAATTTGTCGTTGTTAGTAGGGTATAAAAGGGATACTATAAAAACTTAACTGCTCTATAACTGCCAGCAAGGGGGATCAAAACAATATTACAGAGCCTAATGAGAGACCCCCTTTTTCCCTTCCTTTCCTGCGATGAGTAATGAACGGTCGCTTACTGACTAATGCCTATTTCGCACCTGTGATAGACTATTTTCAAATCGAATTACCAAACAGTTCCAGTGAACCTTCTGGAATTTACCGGATGAATTCTGGGGGAAATCACGCACCTCACCAGTGGTGTTTAGATTGTTCTCCACTCGAGACAATTCGTAAGTCTACGAGCGACCCAAAATCGTTCCCAGTTTCTCCTCTCTTCATCTCTCGGGGAAATAATTTTCATGGGAGAGGGGCTGGGTGAGAGAGACACAGCGTCTGCACGTCGGGCATGCACGAGGAGATCAATTCTGGCCAGCCGCGCGCTGATTTCCCGCGCAAAATTTCAAAGGAAAACATGAGAAACAACTTTTGTCTTACAATATGAGTGAAAGAAAATTAAAATCTTATTAGAAATCTGTGAAAGGAAAAAAAAGTAGGGAAAAGGAGAACTGGAGAGTTTTCGAACACAAAGCTTATTCAAGTACGAGTTTCCTGTTGATTTGCCAATCTGTTTTGAGCTTTACCACAAAAGTTATACGCCTTTAAATTACTCTGACTTACTAACTCGTGTGACACAACTTGAGCTTAACAAACTGAAAGCACTCCACCTAATTCGCACATGCACAAGCGAGCAGCCACATTTTGAACGCCAACCCCATGTCATCTTTGGGCTAAACAAGAGAACAGCATACTTACGTATTCGATCCTAAAGTCAGCAACTGCTTGACGTGAATACGCCCTGATGCTTCGATCAAACAGGTGTGATGTTCATCAGCCCCCAAAATTTCTGAATAGTGCTGTACAGTGCAGAAGTTAGAAAGGATTTTGCGAAATTTTCATAAATTTGTGGTTTTGGGGAAGAAGTAGATTCGTTGGAAAATTTCCATATTGGGGATGGCTGATGTTTGGGGGATCACATAGTTTTCAGGGGCAGTGGAGAGGGATCGTTGGTACATAGACACCAGAAAGATAATAATAAACAAAACGGGAGCATATATGGAAAAGAAAATCTGAGTTTTTACTGTCGAGATTACCACCTGACACATAATTCAAATATGTTTCCATTGGACTGATAGAAAATTACGGCGTTTTTAGGAATCGGTCTCCATTTATCGGGAAGGGAGGGGGGGGGAGTTGACGGAAAATAGGAGGATTCTGGTTGTATCGCTATAAAACTTACCTGATTCCCTAACTAAGCCTTTGTAGTATTCTAGTATCCTCCCTAATAGGCAACGAATTTTGGAGAGATTACCCAAAGATAAATTCTGGCCGACTAATCTCCCCTCCGGTGATAAAAGCCATGTCATCTCCCCAAAATCCTGCAAAGCACCCACCAACTCCCCCTCCCCCCAGGTTAAAATAATGATTATTCCCTTACCTCGCGGGATGATTATCAGCGGAATTTTTCGTGATTTAATTTTTTTAAAATTAAATTTTATACTATAAACGAGTAACATCGTCTTTTTAACAAACGGAACTTACCCAAGATGACAGCACTCGGCACTGCTTTATTTGCAAAACAAGTAGCACAGCAAACCTCAGAGCAATGAACAGTAGACAGAGGTAAGTGGGAACTTTGCCAAGGAATTCAATATATTGCTTGGTTTTTATATCTTCCTAAAAGAATAAAATGAAAACTTCAATTTGCAAGTTCATGCAGAGCAGAGCTCGGTGGCTTAAGAGAATGAATTCTTAAGTCGACTAGCCTCAGGAATAAACAAACGAAAAAACGCAAGAACGAGCAAACGAACGAACAAAGGAAGGGGCGAGAGGGCGAGCAGGTGAATGATTAAACACACCGGCGCGCGCAACTCAGCGGTCAAGCTTAGGGCATGCGTGAGGGGATCAATTTTGGGCGCTCGCGCGCCAATCTCCCGCGTAAAGTTCCTGAGGAAAACACATGAACCGCTGTCTCACAAACTAAGCAGAAAAAAGTTGGAACGTTCAGGAAACCAATAAATAAAACAAAAGGAAAACTCGAGACTTATTGAACACAAAGCTTATTCAAGCACGGGTATCCCGTTGATTTACCATTCTGTTTCGAGCTTCACAAATCAGGTCATACAGTTCTAAAACACCACGACTCACTAGCCTGTGTGGTGTTTGGTGACTCAGTTTTGTGAGTCAACTTGGTTCTGACAGCCCAAAAGCACGTCTCATAGTCTTTACAACTTTTGTATATGAGCAGAATTTGACAACTGTGCCTAGCCAATGGCTCATCGAAAATAAAATCAGTAAATAGGAATGAAAAAAAATAGATTAACTACTATAACAACAAGCACCTTGGCGAATGCCAGATATTTACATCATGATGATGATGATGATGATGATGATGATGATGATGATGACGATGATGATGATGATGATGAATATTATTTTTATTATCTATTGATCTTATTAAAACTACGTTTCTTACTACATATGATTCCGTGCACTGAAATTCAATCATAAGTCCAACGATGAATCTGAAAATAATGAACGAAAAACAAAAAGATGTAACTGTGTTTTTGTGGGAGTTTACGAATTATTCTTTCACCACCTAAACAATTCATGGTTGATTGACTGATTCACTTACTGAATAACTGGCTGGTTCACTGATGGACTAACTGAATGGCTAACTGACTGACTGACTGACTAACTATATAAGGGACTGACTGCCTGACTGACTGGTTTACCGTCTAATTGAATAGTTTACTGACCGACTGGCTGGTGGAGGGACGAACTGTCAAAAATGATAAAGAAACTGTGGTGCTGCGTCGGTGCGAGAGGATAGCAGGTAATTTAGTGTTAACAACTGAGTTGAAAACGTAACTCAGCCACTGTAAAGAGTAAAAAAGCTGACGTTTCGAGCGTCAACCCTTCGTCACATTGAACGTGCGCCAAACGTAAATACAGGAAAAAACACAGTAGGGGAGAAAAGATGAGGAAAGAGAAATCCTAATTTGAACGAATGCCTTCGGAAAGTTTTAACAAAAACTGCTTTTAAACTACCTTTTATTCCCAAGATCAGATTAGTAATTCCCCTTACTGTCTGCCACACAAATCAGAGGATGTTAATTTGGAGAATTTGGTACTGGATCAACTTATAATCCCCTCCTTGATATTTTCTTCATTCTCATCAATTTTCTGCCTAATATGTAATTGATATTGAAAGGAGAAATTCTGTCTTGAACATTCATAGGAGTTAAAGGATTCAGTCATGGCCTATTTGTAGATGACATTGGTCTTACCGCATGGTAGCATAAAGAAAACCCAGCAAAGAGCCAGCCAGTCTGTTCTCAGTTGTCAAACAGGCAAAAAATGGGTAGAACAGGATTCCATACTCAAGAACAGAAAAAAGAGCAGAAAAAACTAAAAAGAAAGATAACGCACATTGTGGTTATTGCAGGGTAATAAACCTAATGCAAGGCATAATATTAATGTAGGGCGTAATTGAAGAAGATGGGTATGCTCATTTCCGCATGAGTTTGTTCTCTGTATATCCTGCAAAGCAATTCTATCGCGTAAAACATTTTAGAGAAATCCGTGGTCATTGTCACGTTCCTTCCTTAAAAGTACCGACCTTTGATAGTCTCTCTAACTTAAGTAATCCACTTTTACGCAAAATCTTTTGCAAATAGCAGTAATCCGAGAGATTCTCAAGACAAAAATCGCCAATGCGCAGACTCTGCTATCATCGTGTGTTTGGGAAGCCTGTGGATCTACTAACCTGATAACCATGGTGGGTCTGTGAATTCCAACGTTGAGTTAGAGAAGAAGGTACTGGCTGTTGCTCCAAAGGTAATAGCAATAGTATACCTGTTGATTTTGTCTATTCCTCCCAAGAAGTTGATTGGTCTGAAACACAAACAAGTACAAATTGTAGCTCCAAAGCCATTATTTATAGGTTTATTTCTACTGCCAAGATAGAAACGAAGCTTCAACTTACATTAACAACCCAGGGTATCCTTTGCAATATTCAAGTTTCCACCTGCTACGACGTTTGAGACATGACAGTATCAAAATAATGACAATCTATGGAAAAGAGAAGAATAATGTTATGTAAAAAAGGCCATTTTACAGTTGTGTACTTAGTTGCCAACCCTTTGACTTGGAGAGAGGCTGAAGGTGACCTCGTTATGATGAAGACCAGAATCTAGTCAGCATGATCGATAACAAAGTAATTTTCGATTGAAAAACAGCTAGGTTTGTATGAAATCAAGGTCAACCTTAGCCTCACTTCTGTTCAAAGGCCTGGAAACCAACTGTAAAATGGACTGTTGGGGGAGAATTTCGAGCCGTTGAGAACGATCTACCGAATGAAAGAGCAAACGAACTAATGAATGAAAGAACAAAACTAACAGACGAAATAAAGAACAAACGAACTGAACTGCAGAGGAAATGAACGAACGAACCGATCGAACCAGCTGACGAACGAGCACCGAGGACGAACTGAACGGAAAACGAACACGAATGAAGAACCCACGAACGGACAAAGAAACTGGACAAATAAACGAACGCACGAACTGAACGAATCCCATGAGCGAAAAATGAAGAGAAATAAAAAGAAAACAATGATAATATAAAATTAAAAAAATGAATTTCAAAAGCATCGTGAGGTTCATCAAAGCGATATCTTACTTCGTGCTGCTGCGAAGCCTTGGAAATATAATAATTATAGTGATAATAAACAATATTTAAATATTGACTTTTAGACCATTTATCTTTCACAACTATTTGAAAGATTGATTTCTAAATAGTTGCTTTTTATGTTGATAATTTTACCAGTGAACTCTTATTTTGCTTTAGCTATGCAAGTTCTTCGGAGTCAATATACATTTTTGTACATAAAGCACGATTTGTTTTCGTTCTGTATCCATCTGTAAATATTCTGACTGAGTTGTGAATAAAGCTCTACATATAATAATAATAATAATAATAATAATATTAATACTAACAATAATGGGATTAAGCTGTTGAAACTCTACGAGGTGGCTCTTCTTATCCACTGAAACAAATTGTAACGAAACGAAGACACAAAACGTCTTTTATAAAAACCCGACCAGGTGGAGGCAACCAGCAAGCAAAGGGGTTGAACTTGGGGCAACTGAAAACAAACTCCATGAGTAGCAGGATGGGGGACTTAAACTCGCGACCACCAGATTACAAGTCCAGCGGTCTAAACACTCGGCCACACAACCCCACAAGAAAAACAACAACATGTCAACGCATGAACGAACTGGTCGAACGAACAAACGAATGAACGAAGTAAGCGGAAAGAGTTCGATTAAATAAAGAGAATTATAAACTGGGAGCTAGATAGTTTATCTTCCCATCTCTTTATCCGTTTGTTTTATCAGCACTTCCTGCCTGTTCAGACGCTTTTTCACTTACCGCGGGAGCGAGACATCCATGATCAAATTTCCTCTCAGTCTGTACGCATGAACTGTAACGCAACAAAACATATATAAAAACATCAGTCAATCATATCGGTTTATAAGTGATCGTTACACATGAAGAACAATAGTGGTATGTGAAACTTTCTGAGAATTCTACAAGGGAGACTGCGTGACGCGTGGCCAAGCTTTTCTGATAATTATCAAAATGTCAAATTTGTCTGAGAAATTCACGTTCAAACCATGACGTTTCATGGAAACCTTCGCGGATTAATGAAAGTTTGAAAATCAAATTTGCCACCTTGTGGTTGCCAGGCGCTTCACTCATTTCTAAATAAGTTACCTGTAGTTTGCTTGTTTGTTTTTTTTTCCTTTTGAAAACTTTGTGCCTATAAAACTCGTCAAAATAAACTGATATGCGGCGTGATGTTTGCCTGAAGACGTTGTCATTGCGTGACGCTGTCGAAATGGCCGACATTCGACGTTCATTCAACATTCTTCTGAAGCACGCATGAAGTTTAGCATATAAGTGGACACTGTATGAAGTACTATGAATATTCCTGTGGATAACTATTGCTTAGAAAGTGGAGTTCTAGAGAACATAACGATAATCTTTTACCTTGAAAATTCTAAACGGGTTGAATGTCAAAGCAGAACTCTTCTCCAGCAATAATTATGGTGGAATCCAAATGGTATTTAAATCGCACAAACTTATCGACTGTTGCTGCAGGAATCGGCTCGGCTGAAGGAAAGCTTTGTTTTCGTAGAAGTTTGACATAAACCGGAAGTCTATTTTAAGAATATCCGAATTCATAAAAAAGACAATACTTACGACCCTTCGGTGTCGTTGGAAGAGTGATTTGAAGAAACCTCTGTCATGTTAAAGGCTGGGTGAATTATCGTGGACGTCAACTTAAACGGTAATTCCCACAAATATTCGCGTCTGTCAAGAGTTCCCTTCGGTTAAAAAACCTTCGCATTCGGCTCTACGCACTAAACTTCCACAAGACGACACGCGCACGTGTACTCGAAGCATCCAAACGTTTGTACCTCACTTTAACGTTATGCAAATTATTCCCCTTATCGAATTACACATGGATAATGGTCACACAAGCAAAGTTCTAAGAGGAATTTTATTGCGCGTAAGACAAACAACAAGAAGGTGATAAAGCCGACAAGATGGTAAGTAACCCTGCAGTATGTAATGGTACAAGTGTGGTGTTACGGAAAGTCAGAATGATGTCCACGCTGCCTTTTTAAAGCTGCCTTTACGCCTGGTGAAGAGGTTGACACCAGTTACACTTGAATAATAATGTCAAACCTGTTTTAAGAGGCACCGTTTTAAGCGATCGGTTGTCAAAGTCGCGAAATTTACCCCTTTATTGCTTTAATTTTCACCTCTGAACAGCGGTCACCTCTATTAAGCGGTCGTGGTTACCCTTGACTGAGTCCCAACGGCCTCTCTGCACTGTCTTCCACCTTTATTGAAATATCCCTTAGAGCGGGACCACTCAAATAAAACTTTCAATAATCATCTAAATAAAATTTAATCCGAAGTTAACGTCAGTAGTATTTTGAGGCAAAGTTTTGTACAATTTTGGCATAAAATGACGATTTATATCGTTCCTTTGTAGTACCCTTATTTATTCTGCGGAACCTGTATTAAGCAGCCAACCCATATTAGCTGTCACCACGCTATTCCCCACGGGTGACCGCTAAATACAGATTTTATTTTACCGATTAGATTGCGTCGAATAGTGCCCGGCGTCCAGTAGCAAGATGATCTTGCCCGAAGGAATCACCCTGAGTCCTACTGTATCACACCTAAAAAACCCATGCAATCGGACGCGTACACTTTCGCGCTGTGTTTTACTCAGGCCTGTCCAAAGATATTTTTAACGGAGGGCGCACTATAGATAGCACCCCCCCCCCTTCCCTCCCCGCTGCTCCTGCAGCTGATATTTCACTGTCGGAGTTTTGCTGATTAGATCTGTCTTGCAAACAGCTTATTTAGTTGATGGAAAATTCCGCTCTTTCCGCTGCAAATGCAGAAAAATATTCTATGAACCTTTAAATTTCTGCAGCGTATAATGCTTAAAAAGCCCTCAAATTCATAAGTTAACACCTCTGGAACTTTACTCCATCAATATATCAATATAGATTAAACACAAAACTTGATTTCCCAATTTAGGTCCTTTAAGATCCTTTTTCATTTTGAATCAATAACTGACTGGCGACGAATTGGCCTCACTTAGTCTTAGAATCGTCGTCCAACTTTGAAAGTTACAAAAGTAATGATAAACCATGTTAAGAAAAACCAAATGAAGGTCCATCTACCCCTTAATTGTCCCCAGACTGCAACATTATCAGCCTCATAGCCGAGCAGTCGATTTTATTGTATATATGTAACATAGAATATAACACTAACAGTACTTGTCTAAGCATTGTTAGACCTCAGTGTTATTTAATATTAGACTGTCTACCTTAGTCTTAAAGACACACTTAAACTTTGAACGTTTCACGATGATAAACTATATCGAGAAAAACAAAAGAAAACATTCTATTTTATTTTTACATGATAAGCAATTTTTTTCGCGCAGTATTTAACTTGAAGCATAAACCTATCATGGAATATGCAGCTGTTTCGAGAGAGGTGGTCCAACAAAAAGCGTAAACATGCACATACACGACAACCACTAAAGGTATTGTGGATAGTTTTTAGGTCACGGCACCTTAAACTCAGGATACAAGGGAAATCTGAGAAACGTCATTGTACGTACAACGAGTTTGATTAACTGATTTATTTTCTCTCACTTATTAAAATTTATTGATGACTGGATACCCACATTATTTTCCGAGGTTGTCGCGTGAAGTATTTGTCCGTTATTTTCTGATAAACTTTCTCCAAACAGCCATATACCTTACAGCACTTAGCTATTACAATGCCCTTCATTTAATACTTAAACTATTTATGTGCTATGAGCTAAACGTAAATATTAGACCATAGAATCGACTAAAACTGCTATTGAAGACGTATCGGCCTCACTCTGTTCAATAGGTACCGAAAAGGAATGGTGACGATACTGTATTAGCGTGGGATTACGGAGAAGAGTTACAGCCAGAAGCCAGCGGTTGACTACCCTCTGTGCCAGGCGTGGATGGCGTATTTCGCGTTTGAATCCTGTTTCAAAATACATGAACTGTATTACTAAAGTGTATTTGAGAAAATCCAAACTATATGTAGACCCCCTTAAAAACGGAACTCATGCCCTGTCCGATAAAGCTACGTTATATTAATTTAGTGACATACCAGTGACTTGTTTTGGCTCCTCAGCGTTGTTTGGCTGTACGGAAATGTTTGAATGTTCTGTGACGGACAGATTTTTGAGTCAGTTTGTTAAACACAGCTATATTTACTTGTAGAGATACGCGCAATCTGATTGGTCAAGGATTGCGTCATATATTGCCTTAATCACCTCGTGTCCGAGGAAGTGATAAATGCGACAGAAAAAAAATTTCAATTGAAAAGAGCACAAAAGATGCTATCATACTGAGTTTGGTGGAACACGGCTTTCAATAGCATTAAATGAAACTGTTAAATCTTGCTTATGTACGTAGATACGAATAATCAATACAATTGTGACAAAACATGCGAAACGCTTTCTTTATTTACAAAATTTGCATAATTATTTGCTTCAAGTTCAGTGAGCAATGATACAGGAATTATTCAACAGTATTCACTTCGCCTTCGGCGAATAATTGTTGATAAAAGACAGTTCGGCTGAGGGACAAATGTCGGAATAACAGATAGACAGACAAACAGAGATGCAGACTGAATAACTGACACGCTAACAGATTTACGTATTGTTTATTGGCTGACGGACTCACTGACTGACTGACGGACGGACGGACGGACGGACTGACTGACTGACTGTCTGATTGACTGACGAACTGATTCACTTGGTTACTGACCGAGCGACTGATTGTCTAATTAACCAATCCTACTCGAGTTCATACTCTCAGTGTGTTCTTCTGAGACCAGAAAAATTAAATTTCTTAAAGTTGCTTACGTTTCTCCTCCGAAGTTGTCGCCTTGTTGCTTTCAATGAGCAATTGGCAGAACATTAACACAACAGGATGTCTGTGGGCTACCAACACATGAAGAAATCCAAGATACGCAACAAAACCTGTTCGTTAAGTTGAAGGGGAAAATGGGCATTAGATGGGGACTCAACTGAAGTCTGCATTACTGTTGGGTTCGTTTTAGTTGAAGCTTTCCCGGCTGGAGTATCTTTAGCTAAGAGACCAATCATAATTTTATCACCGGGGTGGAGAAGGGGAAATAGGATTTTGCACGTGATCGAATGGCTTTCAGTGGGAGCGGAAGGGGAATCAGTCGTCTCTTACAGAGTTTAAAGATGAACTATTGCAAATTGACTGCCAATGAAGATTGAAGGGGGGGGGGAGAGTCCACACAACCAAAATCCTTCGATCACCTTCCCCCAGGCTTTTCTCCAGTCCATCGTGCCGCGTTGCATTGTTATTCAGATGCTTCGGTAATTCGAAAAAAAATCAAAAGCAGCAAGAAGCAAAGTCTGAGAAGCAACAAGCAGTTGACCAATTTTTCAACTTTTCGGCAGACATACCACCGTTCGGCAAGCACTGAATGGCAGATGATAGGTCAGAAGACTTGAACACGGAGGAATTAACTTTCTAAGCATGTGTTTTTCGGGGAGCTTACCTTTGTCCCATTTCTGAAATCCTGGCATTAAAACAGTTCGGTCGAGACGTGAGAAGAAGAAAAGCCCAAGAATCATAGCTTTAGCTATGCGAAGAAGACCTGACAGGAATCCAACAATGGCGTTGAGGAACACGAACGCATACGACATGATAGAGAACAGTCGTCTAAAAATTGATTCCAAAACGAGAACAAAAGAGAAAAAAGTGAAACAAAGAAATAATATTTATTAAATATTTAATAGATTTAATAAATAATATTTAATAGCTGCTTATAGCTAGTGAGAGGAACAACCTCGAGTAGCAATCGTGGCCTGTTTTCAAGAAGGTAAACATAAAGAGGAGCGTCTAAGTGGGGTTAGCCATTGGCTGTAAGGAGGCAAAAAATTTAGCTGTTACGCGTAAAAAAAAATGTTTCCTACCTACGATCTGTCATTTCGAAAGATTTCAAATAACTGTTGCCCAAAAAAGGCCAAAATTTTGGCTGTTAGCCATAAAAGCCATCACCACATTAAGACCCTCGAGGAACCTGGAGGCAGCCCTATATGCTGATTCACGATAAGGCTCTTAAAAACATAATGACTTTCTTAAGAGAAGAGGACAGGTAAATTCTTCAGGTGATTTATTGCAGAGCTACAGCACTCTAATTGGTAGCACATTATGATGAACTCCGCGAAAACTAATTTTCGTGCCAACATCCTGTGTCTTTGGCAAGTCGAGCAGCATTTTCTTTTGCTGCAAATGAGACGAACAGTCATTTTCTCTGTTAAGCATCAAAGCCACTTTCTTGGACAAATTGTCTTGAAAAATTTGCATACACAGCCAATGTTAGTTATTGCAAGAATGCAAGCTTTTGTGACGTAAATTGTTTCATTTAACGTTGCGTGGAGGTGAAGAGGAGTAAGACCCACGAATGGCACACCGACCGTTAACGCAAATGTAATCTCTCATTAACACATAGACGCCATGTTAACTTGCTTCTGTTCAGTAGTAGCGAACAGTTGACTCAAAAAGATGTGGTAAGAAAACGATCCTGCAGTGCAGGCGTCTTATTAGGGTAAGCTAACGTTATAAGCTGGCGATCGTTCATCCGACCGGCCATGTTTGATTTGGAGTTAGAGTGAGCCCCTCTCCTAATTTTTGACCGTCGATCGCCCCCTTAGTACAAATTTCTTTTTCTCCCCAGCCTTCTTCTGCCATTAAAATCAAGGATGGTGGCCAAGAAAATACTGAGCACCCGCTCGCTAAAAATTGCGTCTGCTGTGCACGCTACAAGAAAACAAATTGGCGCACAAGGCGCAGCCGAGTGGCTCAGTGATTTTCTTACCATAAAATGACATCTTTTGTGATCTATAACTGAACACAGCCACGTTAACAATCAATGATAAAGCAACGAAAATGTGTTTATGATGGCGTCATCTATGTGTCAAGAACCAGTCAAAGTACGTGCGCAGCTCAGCTTATCATATTAATAGATACAGAAACTGTCAATTTTAAGTTACCGGTTGTCAATCACGACTGAGAAATTTGGGTATTCTCTGTCACGAAAGACATATTGAGATAGGAACACGCGCTGGAACACTCGTAGTATGACAGCCAGCACTATCGATGGTCTGAAAAAAGAAAAAAAAGTGAAACAATCAGACAAACAAACATAAACGAAGTCAACACCAAAGGGGAAATGTAAACATTATAAAGCAACCTATTCACGTTATCAATCTACTTACACAGCTCCTTTTGCAGCTGATGAAATCAAATCGCGTATCACCTTAGAAGTGCTTGGAATGAGAATTAGAAGGAAGCCCAAATTTGACAACACGACAAAACCTGCAGAGAAACGAGCTAAAATTTGGGAAAACCAAAGTTCTAGTTGAAATTAGACAACCAGGCGGTCGACAAAAAGAACACTGAAGATCATAGTCCATGTGCAAATGATAACTACATTAACTTATGCATATTGTATTACGATTGTTTGGACCTACCAGGAAGATCAAAGACATCAAAGGTCAGGGGAAGGTCAGCAAAGGACGGGAAAGACCAGAAAACAGTGTGACGGCTGCCACAGTTTATTGATCTTTGTAAAGACTCTATTTGCTTTGAATGATTGGTTTCCTCTTGGTCAAAGAGCGTTCACTATCACGGAAATCTACTTACTAACTCTTGTAAATCCCGCGTCACGCACTTTTAAAATAGAAAATCACATATCAAGTCGTGATGTCCGGTCCCGCGTCCCGCGGATAATTTGGGTCCAATCACGCGTCACCCTGCAAATTTTGGGGCCATCACGCGTCCCGCAAAAACCCTTTGCCACCCTCTGATATCTTACTCTGGATGTTCCTTTGTAATTAATAATAAAATGGATCATGGGAACTACGGCGTTTACATATGTTTTTAATCATATCACGTTTGAGCAACACTAGTGTGAGCACGGAACAAATGCTAAAGCCCTTAGATTGTTTAAGGTTGAAATTTCCATACATACCAATCACGGCATAGGCGACTTGGTATCCAGTATAACTCAGACTTCTTCCCTTCAATACAAAATATTCAGTAGTAAGGCAAAATGAACACGACCTCCTTTAAATTATCATGATCGTGACCATGACTATAAACACAGCTGTAACTGTGATCTTGACCGTAAACCGTAACCGTAAACGTGATTGCGAACGTGAACGTGAACGTGAACGTGACGCATTTTGACTGTTATCGTCAGTTACATTCAACCATCATTGGATTATTCAAGGAGTAAATTCTCAATTTTCTGGAAAAGGCTGAGAGCTTTCCAACCTTTCAAATCATCTTGCCCTTCATGTAAGGTAATTTTTAAACAGATATCAGTGTAGGCAAAGGTTAGTCCTTTCCTCTTTAATTTTGATAGGAGCGTTGCAAGCAAGGTTGTCGCCATACCACAAAAGAGGTCGGTGAGAGGCAAATGTTTTGCATTAGACGTCTATCTCCACGGTAAAGCTGGAGCATGTGGTCCCTAAGAGAAAGAATTACAATAGACTTTACAATAATCTTTCAGTCCGAATTCAACAGAATGCCTAAAAACGAGTAAGGGTTGTGTTGCAGGAAAAGACTAGCACAGCAAGAGTTATATCATTTCACGAACCAATTTCTAGCCCGAGTCAGGTCACGAGTCAGGTTCGAGTTATATACGTTATGTATTCCACACATCATGTAACATGCCTTGCTGCTAAAATTCTGAACAATCGAAACCCGTATATCACGAGAAATGGAAGAAAAGTTAAAAACCATCATTCTGGTGAAACAAACGTTTTACAGAGGAATAACATATGTTCTCCACAATTTTGGCCGAGGAGAGTAAAGGATCCCTGCGGTTTATCGTTGAACAAGGACTTCTGCCTCAGGTGTGTGTGATAAAAATGAAGTCGGAATCTTTCGAGGAACTCGAACATTAGTTGAAATGTTTACTTCTATGAGCGCAATTCTGGATTACTAAAGAATTAACCTCGCAAACGGGTGTGAAAAACTTTTAAGCTTAAAAATGGGTGTTCTTGTATCCCTTATACCATTTTGTCACAGAAACAAAAACAAAAAAGGGAGAGAAAAACCAAGAGCTAAAAGAGGAGCAATTTTAATTGAGTCGAACCTGACTCGTGACTCGAACTTGCCTCGGATTCAAACTTGACTCGTGATATGTAATATGTTTTATCATATAAACTATGGTATTATACAGAGATTTCCAGCGCTGAGAAAAGCCGTAACAACACACGTGAAAAATGTGTGTTTTTCTAGTGATTCAACGCATGTTTTCATCTTGAGTGCTCCAACGCACTTTACTATTTTTTATTCGGGGATTGTCGATCCTTTTGTTTTCATTCATTCATAAGTCGAGTTTTCTAGTCAGTAAAGGGCTAAAATGTTTATATGATAAACAAAATAATACATGGTTGCTTGTAGATATGAAATTCCCTCTTCTCGTGTTCAAATAAACATCACAGCTATTGAGTTAAACACTCGAAGAGAAATTGCATATTTACGCGCGCCCAAGTATTATTCTCTATATAACTCGTATAGCAAGGGAGGAGAAAGGGAGACAGTCGGAGGGTTTTGATTTTTTTCGCAATATTCTTGGTTTTATCACTCATAACCTCCCCTTCCCCTTTTCATCAATGGTTAATTGGCAATCAGTTATCCACAGTCCCCCTTTATTCTCTGTTAACGACGACTGACTACCCCCTCCGTTCCCCCTGAAAACCATGCGATCCCCCCAAAATTCTACTACTCACCCCCTCCCCCTCCTTAGGCGATAAGTGATGAATGGACCTCGAGTAAATTTACATATTTTCACCTCAGTGCATTGGCCTCTAAGAGGTGAGCGAATAATAAAATCGGAGACTCTCGAGACCGAGATTTAGCAAAGTAAACTCCACAACTCTTCATAAATACCCCGGCTTTGGTGCGTTAGAGTTGCGATTAATTTTGCTGTTGTTATTGTTGTTGTTTTTTTGTGACATACCAGTTACAACATCGCACAATTTTCATGTACTTAGGTCGTTCTCAATAAAATTTGTGAGTTACTATAGCTCTAGAATCCTAGTCATACAGAATTACGAATTTTGAAAGAAATGCTGAAGAGCGATCGAGATCGGACGGTGTCTTAATTGAAATTTAGCGGTAGGACTTCCATGTGGTGACTTTCCTTGCTGTCACTCAGTACTGCGCCATCCCTGACCCCTCATGAAAATTTAGCGTCCTGTTTAACAGTTATGGTCCACACGCACACTTTAGCACACCTTTTGCTGTTCATTACGAGAAAATACGCAACCATTTGCGTGAAAAGGCGAACAATTGCGTGAAGTTACATTCATGGCGACAAAAAAACGATCATTTATGCGTAAATCAGATTGGCGACAAAAAAACGATCATTTACGCGTAAATCAGATTCAGTAACGATTTTTGCATTTTAACCAGCATTCCATAACAATTTTGGGCATTCTTATACGTCATTCGTCACATAAAAGAGTAAAAGATACTTTCATTTGCGCTAACCTTCAAGTCATTAACACCATCACGAAAGACAATCGAAACATTCCACAAACTTAATAATGCATAAACTATTTATTACCATTTTTTTCACACTGCTATTAAATAGCATCCATATAGGCGCTAGTATAATTAAGACAGTCATTTTATTGAGCGTTTTTTACATTCAATATTCAAATATCGAATTCCAATTCAAATATACTCATTCCAATTTTATTTTGTTCTGAATTTTAGTTTCAATAATCTCCCTATAAAAACATCTTGACGGATAGGTCTGCATAGAGCGGTACCATTATGCACTTTTAGGTACGGTCACAGTGTCGATGTTTCTTTGCAGATCTTCAAGCAGTTCCTGTGTTCGAAACCCATCTAGTGGGATTCCTCTGGCTCTGACCCCATCTCTGTTATCCATACGTCTTTGAATTTCCGGATGCGAGATGTCGGCCTTGATCGCCGCTTTCAGACAGCTTACTACCTACTCCACGTTGTTGAGGAAATGACTGTAGGGGGGAGGCATTTTAAACTCTGTGTTTGGGGCGGGAATGACCGGGTTTCGATGAGCCGGCGCTCCGTCATACACGAAGATCACTTCCTCCTCCGGATCCAGATTTGTCCTCGCCTGCGCCAGGAAGTTATTGAAACGCGCAGCATTCATTCCGCCAACAGCTGCTAAGTAAAACACAGGTCCATTGATGGGCGATATTGCCATGGTCACAGTCAAGCCTTCTCTCCTTGCCGCGCTCTACCGTGAAACGTTGTAGCCGCATTCGTTAACAAATACACAGTGGCACACTAGGGAATGGTTTATAGACCAGGTTATGTAATCGACTCGCTTGTTCAGCGCATCAGGTCTGTTTCTATCAGCAGGAAGGGGCCTTGTCAGTTCTACCTGGAACGGTATCCCGTCTTATGTCCTTGCTACCTTGCGGTCATGGCTCTCGGGTTTGAGCAGTAGCCGTCTCCTCAGTTCACTGTTTATCTGAGCAAGTGTGAGTAGACACGCATAGTTTTCGTTGATGATTTCCTCTAAGCAAATTCTCATCTCGTCGTCCACGCGCACGTTGTTTCTACCGCCTCATTGTCTTTCCTGGATCCTGCTCTCTAATCTAGCGCCCCACGATGCCTCTTGCCGTTGATCGGTTCACTCCAAGCGTGTCTGCGACCACAAGATAGTCTTCCTCCTGGTCTTCGAATCCTCTGTCTATTCCCTCTCTGTGTTCGAGTGGTATTCGATTTCTCCATGGCATCTTGCTAGCAGCCAGAAGACGTTCACAAGGCGAATGAACTGAACGAAATTTACTAACAGTGCAACATCAGGCAAAAAAGGTGTTCAATTAAAAATCGATATTGAATGCAAAAAACACTTTATTAATGTACAAGCGCTTTAATGCTTGTATTATTCACACTAATGCTGTCTAGGAACGCTATTGAATTGCAAACAGTGAGGTAAAAATAATAATAAATGGCTTCTGCACTAGAATGTTTGTGTATTGTCTCTATCGGCCTTCAGGATGGTGTTAATGACTTGAAGGTTAGCGCAAATGAAAGTATGTTTTTCTCTTTTGTGTGACGTTTGACGCATAGGAGTGCCCAAAACTGTTCTTGAATGCTGATTGAAATGGACAAATCTATATTGAATCTGATTTATGTGCAAATGATCGTATTTTGTCGCTAATGAATGTAGCTTCATGCACTTTTTCACCTTTTCACAAAAAAATGAATGCGTATTTACACATAATGAGCAGTGAAAGGTGCAAACTAGTCACACGTACGTACCTGTGGCACTTCATGAAATGAAGTGTTGTTATAACATAAATCAGACCTGCGATAATGAACGATCCGTAAAGACTACCTAAAGTCAACAGAAGAAATATATAAGGTAAAATTCCAAGAACTGAATGCATAATGTAGTATGGGGCTGTACGGAAATTTTACCATATATAAAGCTAACCAGCAGAAAATAGAAAACAGACCTATCCTGTTCCAAGAAAGCAATCAGGTAGTAAAACAGCGGATAGTGAACGGCGCATTTGTAAACGGTGTAATTATAGTGGCGGTGGAGCAAAAACAACGAGGTGGACTTTGGTCGGGTCACGTAATGATCCCGAACCAAATCTTTCTCGGTTTCACTCGTCTGTAACTATCGCACCGTTTATAATCGTTTCATTAACTGAGCGCCTAGAATAGGCTCAAATAGCCCCTAATACAAGAGCTGATAAACGTCTCTCTTTATATGATAAAGGTTTTTTTACATAGGTGATCTCCTCTCGCTTAAGCGTCGACTTCATAATCATCTCAGCGCGAATTGGAACGATTTACCCCCTGCAATATAGCAAAAGTTTCTGAGGAGCTGGTCGACCTCCTTACATGGTCTTTTTTTTGTGAGGTGTTCTGATGGAAATACTCACAGGGGGTAAGAGTTCCGATGAAATGCCGTAGGAAATACAGCTTATCAGAACGAAGTAAGTCCTATTTGACATATGATAATGAACAATGGTAATATGACTAATTTTTATGGAGCAGTTTTCGCGGATTATAATATTTTCATTAGTTTTAGGAAGATGTTTGATTAATTGACTAGTGGACTAAGTGACTAAAAGACTGATGAAAAATTGTCCGCTTCACATGGTCAAGTCGATCAAGGTTTTGAACTTGAAAGATTTTAGGAAGCAGGTAAATTATTATGTTTTACTGCCAACACATCACCTCTCAGAGTATGAATATTCAAATAGGAACCCCTAAGAACGCCTATATTTTCTTCCCACACTATGAGCAAAGGCAATGAGACCTACATATAACAAAGAGAAATAGATTATGTAAAAATCATTTCATGGCGAAAATTTGCTATAAAAATATGGGTCATAAATATACACACTCGCTTCTATTACACAACTTGAATCATTGCAAAAGCCAAATCGAAATGCAGAGAATGAAAAAATCCATTGCCAAATCGATAGAAAAGACATCTTCTGATACACTGAGTACTAACTTCAAAGACAGCTATCCCGACGAGAAACACTGTTGATACCAACTGAGTGGAGAACTTGAAATCTGAAATCATAGACGTTGTCCATGACATTAGTCCAATCGATAAGTCTAGCGGATCAATATCAGTATCTGGGCAAATGTCCACATACCCCTCCCCTAACTCAACATCAGTCAATTGACAACAAGTTAAGGTTAATGTTGGGTTAGGGGAGGGTAGGTGAGCAGTTGCCCAGATACTGATATTGATCCAAGTCTAGCTTTGAGCTCTTTAATAAAAAAAAGTAATGAAATAAATGAAAAAATTGATAAATAAATCAGGGCCCATTGACGATTGAAAAGCATGAGGTAAAAACCAATAGGGCGACCTAAAATACCAACGCTGTTTATGTTGTAACGAAAAACCATACACACCTGCCCTGGGTTTGTAAAAAAAGTAGAGAACCTTCCAATACCATTCTGTCTTGTTTTGGTATCTGAAAAAATACCGAAGACTGATAATAATAATAACTCTTACTCTCATCTATTGCTCACAATGACGAGAAAGGAAAGGACGAGGACGAGGACTTGCGGGGCGAGGGCCGGGAAAAGTGCAGAGACAATAACAAAGACAAGAACAAAGACAAGAACAAAGAGGACCAGAAGACAAGGACAAGGACAAGGACAAGGACAAGGACAAAACAAAGAGAAGGACAAGGACTAAGGCAAGGACAAATTAAGACAAGGACACTGAAAGATAATGAAATCTAACTGTTTTTTCAGTCGCACTGTAAGCAGGAGCTTGTTCAGAGGACCGACTTTTAGAGCTTTTACAAGATATCTTACATTGGAGGTTTTTGCCCTAAAATAAACTTCACGTGAACAACATCCGAATCATGAGCCAATGAGCGGGAGCCGGAGTCCTTTCCCTAAAAAGAAAGATTTGAGGGACACAGTAAAAATAGTTATCGAGACCTGCAATCCATTAAATTTGTAACCTTCTGTCGTCATTTTCGCCTGTTAGCTTATAACGTCTTGTATTCTACCAGATTTCATTATGTTTTGTAATTTTCTCTTTTATTTCGATTTTAAGGTGTCATGAGAACCTTGCTCAACGCCTCTCTTTGAATTTTATGATGTTACTATTGCCTCACCGTGCTTAAGTAAATAGGGAATGATCTAAAAATTCCAAGCAGTCGAAGACACATGCACAAATTATACACTTTTGTATCTGCTGTAAAGGGAGGAAAACATACATGTATGCAACTCTAACTTACAGCTGACTCTGTAGAGGGTACAGACCACATCTGTCTAACTCGTCGAAAAATAAGGAAAGCAAATCGCGTTGTTATAAAGATAAGGCACAGTGTTGTAGGCAGGTTAGAAATAATAAACACTATTCCAAGGGATCCTGTTTTCTAAAAGGAAAAGAAATACATAAGTAACTTAAGCCGTAGAGGCCATACTGATTTTGTTCCATGACTCATTAAATCTAATTTATAGCCAGCTGCAATAATGGCACTCGAAACAACAGTGATCAAAAATTTCTCGGGGGAGTGCTCCCTAGCCTTTTCTAAATAAAACAAATTTGTAGTATAAAATATTTCACACCCCTTTAGGGACTGAAGGGGTGTGAAATGACTCATTTCCGAAAGTTGTTCATGGCTTGAGAAAGATTACGCTTTTTTTAGTATTTTGGATGATTCAACTCTTTCTCTGTAATCCATTCCCTTAATTTCATTCCGTCGTTCATAAAAACCCAGCGTGACCGTAATGTAACACAAGTAATTCGTGCTTGTTCATACATTCCAAAACTAATACCTTATACACAACGTAGCAACGTATCTGTGTAGCAAGTTGAAAAGAAAACCTGTAAGAAACCATTGGAAGTCAATGAGTCGCGTATCATCTGACCTTCTCGACAAACTGTCGAAATCCTGGAGGGATTCTAACCTGGTAAAGCATCTAGACCAAGAAAATAAAGACAATATACCTAACAACATAGCGCGCACAAGTCCTACCTAATTCCTAAAAAGCTACCATGGTAAAAATCTTTGACGCACAGCCGTGCATCCATAACATGACGTTTGCAGTTTCACTTCGGCTGAAGGTTCCCGTCGATCGAGCTTAGCCGCGAGCTTTCAAAACTTTCAAGATTTTTTTTACATTCTATCGTAATTGACATAGACCTTTTCCAGCTCAAGATGAAAAGAAAATATGCTAAATAAATTCGCTTCGACGCAATTAGTGTTCGAGTTGACGATATTTCATTCCCACACACGATGCGAATCATGGCTGAAAACAGAACTGAGTTTCTTCACCTCAGCTAAGGCTTTGCGATGTTGGGAACTCTTCATTAGATTGGTAAATATCATATTGAAGTGTTGATATGTTCCAAAGGTATTGTTCAATAGCAGATTTTGTTTTGAAATCGTACAATTTTCAGCATTTTTAACACAAGGCTACGCAATCTTCTGGTCGCAATTTCCAGTTAACAACAATTCAAGAAGGTAAATCTACCACACTGGTCTTGTAAATACAAGAAATTTGTAAGTTTTTCGCATCGTTTTTCGAACGGCTCGTATTATTTTTACGTGCTGACATTTCCTAAAACTGTTATCCAATAGAAAATTTTGATTTTAAAACCATACAATTAAAAATGTCATAATTTTTACTCAAGAAGCTAGAGTTGGTTTCGGCTGCGCCTCAAGCAACTCTTACGCTTCTCTCGTGCTCTGCAAACTTCCCGCGTGCACCTATAACTCGACACACATACGCTAAGCATAGAGAAATTCTTTAGTACTCAGCGTGTTTATTGTTTATTATTCAGATATATCACAATAATGTATGCGACCGGACGTACACGACACGCCTGTGTAATGTTTTTCCTTTTTTGCGTTAGTGGTTTCTCTTTATTATCTCTGAAACATAGTTCTTATGGCCACGAATATGGTATGGACGTTAGGCCTGGTTTTGGAAGCTTTTGAATGCGACATTCGCTGTTCACGGAGACAATTTGTACCGAACAACTCTGCATCGCCCGCCATCTTCGTTACTTCGATCGATTTATACGAAGAATGAAGAAAGGTTACACCTACAGCCGGTTACCTCATTACAGTAACCATGTCTCAACCTTTAACATCGATTTTATTAGCTGCCACGGCGATATCCATCCCCATCCAGGTCCACAGACTGGTCATCGGAATTTGAGAGTTAGCAGTGAGGGGAACAACATGGCGTATGCAAATCCTAGGTCAGATGTATCTGTCTTTTACGCCAACTCAAGGAGTTTGGTTAACAAGATTAATCAGCTGGAACTAGAGATTGCTACCTATCAGTATGATCTTATGGTATTTGCGGAGAATCACTTGGACAGCTCTACCCTTCTATTTATACGGTTTTCAGGCATGATCGTGTTCAAAATGGTCGACGTGGTGGCGGTATTTTGATAGCTGTACGCGATACTTTGCGAGCGTCTGTGAGAGAAGATGTTAGTTTCGATTGAGAATTATTATTTGTCGATATTATATTCCCGGCGAATAGAAAAATTAGTTTAGGTGTCTTCTATAGGCCGCCTAACAGTAGCATTAACTGCCTGTTGGATCTACAAACGGCTCTTGATACTGTGATTTCTTCATCACAAAACCCAGAAATGGTCCTTGTTGGCGACTTTAATATTCCCGAATTCGACTGGAACACCGACTGCGCCTCCTATTCATTTAAGAAGGCGGATTGGGATCACCTCAGGAATCTTTTATATTACACTCCATGGCATTGTGCCTTTATGGATACTGACATTGATTGTATTTGGGCTGCGTGGTCTGATATGTTTTTATCTGCTGTCAACGAGTGTACCCCTAGGCGGTCAGTCAAGAGAACTTCAAATCCACCATGGATAAGTGGGGATCTAATTAAGTTGTGCAGAAGAAAGAAAGTGCTTTATAAAAGGGCAAAAAAAACCTGTGCTCTGTCTGATTGGAACAAATATCGTAAATTCAACAACTATGTGAAGAAGGAGTGCAACTCTGCACGTAGGCAATTTGTAAACAATCTGGCAGATGAACTAAAGACCGGAAACAGTTCAAAGCCTTTTTGGAACTTTGTTCAATCAAAAGAGAAAAGTTAAACGCGATTCGTATCTTAACGACGACCTGAGCATTGCCAATTGTATGAATTCTTAATTCTCATCGATGTTTACTGTTGAGGATCACGAAAATTTTCCCGACCTAGAATATATTACCGATGAGAAATTATGTAACATCTTACGCAGGTTTTCAACTCATTGATGCAATTGAGGACTAATGTCAAAAGCGTTTTCAAAGTTTCACGCAAAACACCCACCATAACAAAATTAAGATGACCAGAATTCTTACTCTGTCCCACCGATGTAGATGATATCTGACATAACTAACTTATGTAAAAAATCTCATAATTAGAGGCAATACTCTCATACATACCTCAATACACCATAAAGGAAACCAAGGATTGAGCCAACGAACTTGTATTCAGTCGTGAGGCAGGCAAAATATGGATAGAATAGAATTGTAAAAAGGAGGACAGCCAACAAAACGTCAATAACTGAGTAAATAGAAAGAAAAAAATTGCTCGTAGTTTTAATCAATGATTCTTGGACCTCAAATATTTTTTTAAACTACCATAAAAGAACTCATATAAATCTAGGTTTTTGCAATTACTTTGTCTTTTCTCCTCGAATACTTTTGGTTCAGTCTCCTAGCTTTGGTTGTCCTTGCAGTGGTCGTTTTTGTGTGTGTGTGTGTGTGTGTGTGTGTGTGTGTGTGTGTGTGTGTGTGTGTGTGTGTGTGTGTGTGTGTGTGTGTGTGTGTGTGTGTGTGTGTGTGTGTGTGTGGGGGGGGGGGGGGGGGTGTTCTTGTGTACCTGTTTCGTTTTTGCTCTCAATTTTTTTTCAATTCATGTTTTGCTAGCTTGTTTAAATGTTGGTTTTGTTTGTTTTCCAGGCCTAATTTTGCCTCTATATAATGATTTAGTTTTGAATTTTGGGATGTTATTACAGGTTTAACTGAAACATTTAGTAATATGCCCATGTGCATGTCGTGATGATAGTGCTGTACTTTGGAGACCACAAGGGTTTAGCCTGTTATTACAGAGTAATTTACTGGAACCTGGATTAGACATGCATCGTGCATAATGCGCATGAAAGAGAAATTTCTGAGGGTATATGCTTTACATCTATTTCTGTATTTTTTATCTTCAAAGCTTTTCTTGGGAAAAGTTCCGTGATGATTCTTACTGCCAACACAGCTAAGAAATTCGATCATAATACCGTTAGAGTTACCTACTTTTTACCCAGGGAGATTCAGATGGGACAATCGAGATACTGCTGCTTCCACGCAATGCCATTCTTATAACAGTGCTACCTGTGGCTCCAAACGTGACAGCAATAGTCCACCTGTTACTGAGACCACCAAGAAGGTTCATCGGTCTAAAGGGAAATGATGCAGATATAATGTCACTAAGGAAAATTGTACTGCATCTTGATCAGAAGCCACAAAACCAACAACTTGTTGATAAATTGCCCAACCTTTTTTTTTTTAAATCCTGGTTGGCGTTAAACTAGCCTGAAGATCAAGCGAAATTTTGGCGAGAGGACCAGAGTGGAAGTTAGTCAGTCATCAGTTAAAACAACTTACCGAACCTATGCTTGAAATTTGGAGTCAAATAATACACTTTTACATGTGATGGACAAGCTTTTGAGACACGCTTTCAGCTTTGAACCTTTATCTTTTGAATTATACTTACATTGTGGCGTCTATCTAGATTTGAATTATTTTGTAACGTGAAGACTTCATAATATACGGGATCAATTGCAACGCAAAGCACGACGGGTTCCTGTGGGCCAAATCACTGAGGCAGAGGCTTCTATCTGGGTGCATGCGCATGCGTGTGGCTGTGTGTGTGTGTGTGTGTGTGTGTGTGCATTTGCGCTTGTGTATGAGGGCCGAATCGCTCAAATTCTAAATTTGCTATGAAACAACTATAAAAATATCTATTTTAATAAACGGACAACATACATCAGTAGTCCAGGACGCCCATCCCAGAGTTCCAATTTAAGCTTAGTGCGTCGCTTCAGGAATGAAAGAACTAAAATAATAACCAACTGCAAAGAAAAACATGAAGAAACATTAAATGATTCTTTAAAATAAATCTTATTACATGGATTACACAAACAACACCGCATATAAGGAAAACTTGATTCCCAGCGCCAATTGTACAATCACGTATCGCACACAGGCTAACGACCTTTCATTACCAGTTTTATCATGATTGTTTTCCAACAGACATAACTAAGAACACTTAAAATTATTTCCTTTTCTTCACTATTCGAACTTTAACAAATAATGGCTCCTTTCCAAGTCCATATCAACACGGTAAAGAGCAAGGAAAAAAGGAAATCCGCTATCGCCGCCGTTAACGTTGTCGTCATAATCATCATCATCATCATTATCATCATCATCATCATCATCATCATCATCATCATCATAATTATCATCATCATATCATCATCATTATCATACTCTACACACTCCTAACCGTCATTATGGCTGTCGTTATCATTATTTTTTTAATCATTACCCAATAAAATATACGAAATATAACAGAGCACTCACTGCAGGAGCAAGACATCCAAAATCAAAGTCTCTTTGCTGGTTGAGAGCTTTAAAACAGCTACAGCAAAAGAAAAAAAGAAATATAGTAGCTTACGCATCCATAACTTTCAATATGTATCATCTTATGAATGTAGTATGAAAAAACGCTCTACAGACAGAATTCATAAATGGCGCCCTCTCGGAACGGCCTGGTTTCGAACACATGTAAACGAAGTCCGAAAGCCACTCAATGAAAGGGCAACTTTATATCGAGATGCTTTTTACGGTACTTCAAACCCAAAATATTAGCGTTCTTTTGTTTATTATCGTTTGTGGTAGAATATCCGGGAGACTATATGAAAGTTGAAGAGTTTTGAAACCTCGTAAAAAGTCTTTCCTTATGGATGAGAACTCAGAAATGCCAACACATGACTGTGTTCCTTTGTGTACGAAGAAGATTTATCGAGACAAAGTAATTGGTGCCAAAATATCTTACCTCCGTTTTCCATTCGAAGAAAACCTGAGAAAACAGTGGATTCACACAATGTGAAGGGACTTAGGCAAGAATTTCTCTATATCAAGTTCAAACAAGGTTTGCTCGAGGCACTTCATGGCCGAAGATTTCAAGACTACCTCAACGCACGTGGTGTCTTTAAAACCGGGAGTAGTGCCTTCAATTTTTGCGTGGAAACGAAGTTCTCCACGACAACGATCTCCGCCTACTCCTCGTTTGAAAAATAGGAGAGAAATTTTGATCGAGACGCCATGGGAAAAAAGTCTGGAAAGAACGTCTATCGAAATTCCCAGTGTGATATCTTCATCTTCATCGACGACAACAACAATCGGTGACAGAACCGGACTCTTATTTCACCGAGCGTCAATCCGTGAAGGATACCAAAATTTATGAACTAGAGGACCAGATTGTTGCATTGTTACAAAACAACATCTGAACAACATCTAGCCAACTTATTTTATATTTCTCAGTCGACTTTCAGTCGAATTTTTATTACACGGTGCAACTTTATGTACTTAAAACTAGGCCGGCTAAATATTTGGCCATCCAGAAGACTTCTTGATGAGACAATGCCAGAGGATTTCAAGGCTAAGTACCCTTCAACAAAGATGATCATTGACTGCACAGAGATTCGCTGCGAAATGCCACCTATTCTTCTTTTAAATAGTGAACTGTTTAGTTCTTATAAACATCACACCACTTTAAAGGGACTAGTAGGAATCTCACCCAAGGGGTCTTTCGCATTTATTGAACAGTTGTACACAAGCAGCATATCAGAAAGGGAAATGGTTGAGCGCAGTGTTTTTCTACACCTCCCTTTTACTAAACGGGACTCTATAATGGCTGACAAGGGTTTCACCATTGAAGACGTACTTCCCCTGGGTATCTCCCTCAATATACCCCCTTTCTTGGGGATGTCAGATCATATGTCACCTGAGGATGTGATTAAGACACAGGATATTGCTTCGCTGATAATTTATCGAGAAAGAGCTATTAACAAGGTCAAGAACTTTTTAATTTTTGAAGGAGTAATTCCTTTAAGCCAGTTTGGCATAGTAAATCAAATGTGGTGTGTGTACCACGTTGTGTAATATGCAAGATCCTATAATTACATGGCAAAGTACAATGATAGTAACTTAAACAAGATGCCCCCATGATAACAGAAATTGGCAACCCCAATCTCATCAACATCTCTGCGCATGCATAGAAATTATGAAACAGATTAGATCATGCCTCGCTTGTGAGGCACCTAATTCTGTTCACTCGAAAAGACATTAAAGTCCAATGTACATAATATTTAGATGGAGGTTGATATGCTTTTCTTAAACTCCTGTGATGCAGTTTTAATGAAACCTTTAAGGGAATCTCCTCGACAGCCAAAACCTCAATTCTTCGCTCTTCAATAATTAAGGAATTCTCCCCTCCAGTGAAGCCCCTTAAATATCATCTTCTGTGAGAATAACAACGCTATCCGATGAACTTGCCAAACAAGACGCCATAGTGATACTGAATAAAATCCTTTCGAGCCTCGTTTTTAACTCGTGAATTGCGCGCATGCGCAAGAGCGAGTTATAGATATGATGTGGGGAATAGAATTCGCTCGCTCGCTCGCTCGCTCGCTCGATTGGTCGATTCCTGTAACCTTTTTTTAGATTTTAGGCTTTTGAGTGCATTTGATAGTTTTTGGCGAGCAATAAACAGACGAAATGGCGACCTTTGTTGCTAAGAATAGTGGTGGGGTGAAAAAGGAGCCAATGATAATCTTAAAAGAGTTTTTTTTTTTCGTTTTAGTTTCAACAAGCGGCGCCAGCGACTGGCAGGCATGCAAGGATTCACACTGAAATAACAGAACAACCTTCGTTTTTCATAAAATTGTAATTTACAATCCTTGAACCTGAAAACAATCCGAAGATTCATTGAAAATATCACTTACTGCTAAGAGCTCGGAGTTTACAGATGTTCACAACTTTTTCTGTTATAGCGTGAGATTGAGGACAAAATTGATCATTACGTTTCGTCGCGTGTGTTTTTCCTGTGTGAAGCAACAGAAGATACCGGCGACTGACGAAATAACAAGTTAACACGAAAATCAAATAACACCTAAAAAAACAATTTTAGCTACTGATTTTCAGTGAATTTTTAAAGAACAATTTTCTTTTAAGTTTCAAGACAATTTGAAGATTCAACATACATACAACGTACTAAAATGCGAAAGTTACACACCACAAAATTGATAAATAGGCCTGAAATGAAATTCTATCTTGTTATTGATTATACGTTGCCTAGCACGTGACTTAAATCTACCCAGGCGGAGATCCAAAATGACGGTGGCAGGCTTGGCTTAGATATATCACTCAAAACTCGTTCCCGTTTGTCTCATTTGATGTTTTCATTAAGACAGTATTGCCTTGATTTTCTAATATTTACAACGAAAGACAGTAAATTTCACTTTTCACCCACATTTACTTCTAACCTTTTCTTTTGAACCAGAAACAAAAATGATAGACGTTTAAGAGAGTGTCTCTGTAAGAGCGGTCCGGTCGATTTTGCTTGAGACACGGATTTCGCTCGTTTCTCGTGTGTTGTAAGACATTCATGTACCTATACTAAAACCACAATCAGTTTGATCGGATCTCTTTATTTTTCAGAGTTTTATGGAAATTAAATTTCACTCGAGCGAAGGCTTGTTGTGACACTTTTCAAGACTTTAATTTCATACAACTTTAGAGGACAATTTACAAAAAACTACGGAACTCAGCAAAAAACAAATACCACAGCCATGTATATTAACTCTATCTTATCTATCGAGGCGACTTTCGTAAACATCACGTGTCAATCAAGGAAACAGGAAGACTTGAATGACACCTTATCGGTTCGCCTAAATCAAACACGCCAAAACCGATCAAACTCAAGGTAAATTTTTGAAAAAGTGAGGCGTTCTTAACTGATCCAACTAACATAGCTAGGAAGTAGGTGCCATAGAAAAGATAACTACAGAAAAAAACTTTGCGGCCCGACCTTTACGAGAACTTTATAACTCAGTGAACTTACCTAATTTTCGGCAATCTCCAAGTTTGGCCGCCATTTTGAGGGACTTGTCAACATGAAGCGTAACCGATATAAATCAAGCAGGTTAATCAAAAACCGTCAGAAATATATAAGAAAGCAATTCAAATGAACTTTACTTTCAATTCAAGCGGCAAAATTTGAAATTGTTTGTTAAACTTACCATCCCCATGCGACCATTTATTCCAACAATACAAACACTACAACTTTCTGAATTCCCCTCGTCGATTCCACCGCAAGAAATAACCTGT